TCCTGAGATAGGACTTTTTACCAAAAATAAGTAAAAGAGTCCCCAGCCTACAGATCTCCAAACATGCATTTCTTGGGAAAGAATCCCTGCTGTTGAGTAGGGAGCCTTCTTGTGGAAAGTCATTTTTACTGGCTAGGAAACTATGGACATCAGGAAATGTCACCTTTTCCTTAGGTTACTTTATAACAAGAATTTTTCAATATTTGCCTTTAAATACCTTTGATTTTTTTTTTCTTTTTTTTTGTTTTGTTTTTTTGAGACTGTTTCTCTGTGTAGCTTTGGAGCCTATCCTGGCACTCGCTCTGGAGACCAGGCTGGCCTTGAACTCAGAGATCCGCCTGCCTCTGCCTCCGGAGTGCTGGGATTAAAGGCGTTCACCACCAACGCCCGGCACCTTTGAGTTTTTACTGTTCACATTTGATTTGAATAACAGCCTCCATAGTATTGGGGTGTGTGTATTCCATCCAGATTTGAGTTTGCGCAGCATTTCTTACATCAGCGGCATTTCAAAGCAGAACTAGTATAGGTAAAGCTCTAGTGTTCTGTGGTTATATTCTCTCTCCCTCCACATCTACACAGACACACACCCACAATTGCTAAGAGATTTCTAGTAAACAACATAAAACTTTTAAAGGAAGAAAACGGGGGTGGTGGGGTGGAGGATGGACTATGAAATCCCAGCACTTGGGAGGCAGAGGTAGGCTTTGTGAGTTTGAGGACAGCCTGGTCTGCAGAGTGAGGTAAGACAGTCAGGACTACACAGAGAAACCCTATCAAAACAAAAAACTGAACCTAAGTCTGATAATGGTGATCATTACATTGCTATCGTGTTCTATATTATTCACGTTTCCAGTGTTAGAAACATAGTTTGCAATGAACAGATAACTGTAATTGCATGTTTATGCTATATGAAGAACATTAAAGTCTTCCAAGGGGAAACTCTTGATGGAGCATGGATAGCTGTAGCTGACCTTAGTACAAGAGCTTTTTTTAGATACAGCAGATGTGAAGATTAGTTATATGATTCTCTTATCATTTTTTAAAATGTGAATGGGTGTTTTGCCAGCATGTATTGTCAGTGTACATGTGCCTGGTGCCTGCAGAGGCCAACAGGCATTGGATCCCCTGGAACTGGAGTTTACAGTCACTTATGAACAACCATTTGGGTGCTGTATTCAAACCTCAATCTTCTGCTGCTCTTAACCTTGGAGCCACCTGGGACTGATAATCTGTGAAAGAGAACTGCGATGATCAAGAACTAATTAAAAAGGCTTTTCATTTTTGCTTTTTTTTTTTTTTTTAGATTTATTTATAATATATAGTTTTCTGCATGCATGTATGCCTGCAGGCCAGAAGAGGGCACCAGATCTCATTACAGATGGTTGTGAGCCACCATATGGTTGCTGGGAATTGAACTCAGAACCTCTGGAAGAGCAGTCACTGCTCTTAACCTCTGAGCCATCTCTCCAGCCCTTTGTTTTGCTTTTCAAAATACCGTTTTTCTGTGTTGCCCTTGCTGTCCTGGAACTCACTATGGAGACCAGGCTGGCCTTGAACTCAGAGAGAGCTGCCTGCTTCTTCCTCCTGAGTGCTGAGATTAAAGGCCTGTGCCACAATGCATGGCTTTTCTTTTTTTGGAAATGGACCATCATTAGCACCACTTGGTGCTAAGCCGAACCACCTGAGTTTGATTTCTGGAATTGACATGGTAGAAGAGAATGTCCTTCCATAGGTTGTCTTATGACCTATGTTGTGGCATGCCCACATATACAAAATAATATATAAATTTTCAATTGTTAGCAGAGTTGAATTATCTTTTAGAATTTAGTGTTAATCTGAATCTTAATTTAGCCAGTGTTAAGGAAATAGGGATTATTTTGGATCAGAGAAATTACCCTCTGAATAAAAATTTTTTAAAATAAAAGTAGTCCATGCAAAAGTGGTATCTTATTGAAGTCTTGATTACTGTTAGAAAATCTTTTAAGAGACCAGCTACAAGGTTTGATTTTTAAAGGGCTAAATCTTATTTTTCTATTTCTAGGTTGTTAAGACATGAAACTGCTGAAAGTCCAACCACTGGTCTAATTCAGAAGAGCTTAAAAGCCAGGAACGTTGGGCTCTCTCAGCTGCACTAGGTCAGTTGACTCTTCAGTTTAGAAGGGCGCTTCCTCGTGGATTGTGCTCACTACAGTTGGCATAGGTAATATCCCAGTGGTGGTGTTGTCTGGTTTGAGACAGTCTTACTATGTAACCTACTATGTAGTCCAGACTGGTCTTGGACTTTCTTAAATTTTTGTATATGAGTGTTTTGCTTCCATGATGTGTGTGCCACGTGTGCCAGGTACCTACAGATGCCAGAAGAGGGCATTGGATTCCCTGAAACTGGAGTTGCAGGCAGTTGTGAACTGGGGATCAAACTTGGGCTTTCAGAGAGCAGCCAGAGCAGTGGTTTCATCTCGTACTCTCTTTGCATCAGCCAGGAGAGTACTGAGCTAACAGGCATGCACAACTCAGATTCTCCCCCCACACAAACCCTGGTTTTCAAGACAGGATTTCTCTGTGTGTGTAGCCTTGGCTGCATTGAAACCCTGGAACTCTCTGTAGACCATGCTGATCTTTAACTCACAGAGATCCTCTAGGTGTGCATCATCACGACCACCCAGCCAGCCACTCGATCGTGTCTGACGAGTTCTAACAATGATATCCTAACAAGTGTGTTTTCAAGACTGCCAGGGCTACATATAGGGAGACCCTATTTGAAAGAGTGGGACGGAGGGAGGCAAGGAAGGAGGGTGTCTTTCCCTTCCAGTCTGGAAATCAGTACATATATAGTACATGCATGCATTTTCTTCTTTGGGTTGAAGATTTTCTCTAAGTTGCTGCCTACAAATGATATTATCACTCATACATCCAGCTGGATTAATCCATTGTGTGGGTCTACTTGGAGACCTTGGCTGAAGCACCCCCAACGTTCTGAATACTTGAAACAGTTGCTATCAACAAGATTGGCTCTCTCTAGCATCTTTTGCACTGCCCTCCAAACTCATCTGTCTTTGATCTTGGGGATTAGGTGCTAGATTCCTGTCATCAGATGATGTTTTGAGTCTGCAAATAGGGCCAGAACCTCTCATCGCCAGACAGAAAGGCGCACTTCAGCAATGAATGTGTCCATGGCATTGTGCTGCAGATTTGATGCTCAGGTGTGCCTACGGACTTGGCCATGCTCCTCTCAGCCCCAGATTTGCAGCTTTTCCCTTAGGTTCCTTTGGAAAGTATGATATTAAAAATGCTGTGTGACATAAAAGATATGCTAGGGATACTGGCTCCTTTCTCCTCCCATCTGTTTAGGAAAGAATAATAAATTTTGTTATGACAACATTATCAAGGTTTTTATAGAGAGCCTAGTGGTGGTTGCGCTTGCAACAATCAAGAGGAAGAGGCAGGTGGATCTTTGTGAGTTCGAGGTCAGCCTGGTCTACAAAGCAAGTTCCAGGACAGCCTCCAAAGCAATACAGAGAGGGAAGGGGGAGAAGAAGGAAGAAAGAAAAAAAGATTTTTATAGAAATACTTAAAAATGGCCGGGCGTTGGTGGCACACTCCTTTAATCCCAGCACTCCAGAGGCAGAGGCAGTCAGATCTCCGTGAATTTGAGACTAGCCCGGTCTATAAGAGTTAGTTCCAGGACAGCCTCCAAAGCCACCTGGAGGGTTTCGAGAAACCCTGTCTCGAAAAACAAACAAATAAAAAATAAAATAAAATTAGGGTCATGGCAAAAACCCTGATAATATTTTCTGGTGTTCTTATCCTGTTCTGGCTGTTTCAGGTGTGGTGCTATTGACCAACAGGGAGGGTGTTGCCTGAGATCTGAGAATCAAAGGCATGTGCCACCACCACCCGGCAAGTGTGGCCTTCAAAGAGGGAGAAAATACAGATTTTTTTTAAAGGTAAGTATAATATAGTTAATAGATTCCAAAGATATGGACATAGTTAATTACTAAAAATGTCAGACAACAAATAAGTGACATGAATCTGCTTTTATTACATATTTAGGAAAATGACATTTCATTGGGTATGGTGAGTCTATGCTTATATTTGGCAAAACCTTGTTTATAAGAATGGGGCTTAGCCAGGCGTTGGTGGTGGACGCCTTTAATCCCAGCACTTGGGAGGCAGAGGCAGGCAAATCTCTGTGAGTTCGAGGCCAGCCTGGTCTCCAGAGCGAGTGCCAGGATAGGCTCCAAAAAGCTACAGAGAAACCCTGTCTCAAAAAAAATTGGGGCTTGTTGGTATACTTGCAGTCAAGGGGAGATTCTCTTACTTTGAGGACAGTCTGGTCTGCATAGTGAGTTCCAAGACAGCCAGGATTATTATAAATTATTATTATTATTATTATTATTATTATTATTATTATTATAAATTTTTTCTTCCCTGGATTAGAGAACACCTAAATAGATAAAAATGTTGAAGGCTTGGTGATTCTAGTTCAGGTAGAACATGCCTATAAAAAATCCTGAGGCATGATTGCAGGTTTGAGCCAGAACACAATGCCTGTGTGTACATGTATGACTCCTATTTACTGATGTTTGTCTCTTACAGGTCACATGCTTTGAGCAAAACTCCAAATGGCCCAGAAGCAGCAAAGATGAAATGTGTCCTGTGGCACATACATAAATTGCAGTCAAGCTTGTGTGTTTTTTTTTTTGGGGGGGGGTGGGGTGGGGTGGAGTAGGGACAGGTTCTTGAGCTTCAGTGTATTTACTGTACAAAGCAATGGGCTAGGTTTTATTCGAACACCTTAATACATGTATAAATTCAATCCCAAGTAGCATTTCTGTCTCTCAAGGATAACCAGGAAATGAAAAGGCTTTACTAAAACAAGTAAACAAGACAAGTAAACATTCATGCCACGGCCTCCTAGATTCTAGGGTTACAACCAGGAGCCACCATGGCCCACTAATTTAATCTTTTATTTTTGTTTTTCAAAGACGACTCACAAACACTTGAAGTTCAAAATTTTAATTAAATAGTTCTCACATGTACTGTTCCACATTGTGGAAATAAACTATGCAGAACATTGAACATTTTGAACAATGGCACAAACACACACATGTAGACTATGTATGATAAAGCTCCTGTTGTACTTTACCAGGCAACAGGCTTAGATTGCAAGTTTACAGGAACTATGTGTGAACATTTCAGGTGCACCAGAATTCCTCACTTCTACAAAGATGGTTCTTATCTCAGTCCTTTGGTCAGTGCAGCTGCACTCTGTATGCTCCTATTAGCAACTTAACCTAAAGAAGAAAAATGAATGTTAGCAATAACCCAAAATAACCCAACTTCCAGCCAGGTAGTGGTGGTGCATACCTTTAATCCCAGCACCCTGGAGGCAGAAGCAGGCGGATCTCTGAGTTCAAACAAACAAAAAGTCCAGCTTCCTCTAATAGGGAGATAGGCTCCCCAAGTGAGGCCAGCCACATCAGTGGCAGTTTATAAAGTACTCAAGTCAGGAGTAGACTGCTCAGCAGGGATCCTCCCCCTTCAGCCAGGCATTACACAGCTGCCTCAGTCATCATTCAGATACATCAGTGTAACCCTAAATATGTTCACCTTGGCAAAGGGTGCTTCTGTCAACCGTATAAACAACTTATTGGGGCCGGCAACAGGGCTGAATGAGTAAACAAAGTGACTGTCCTAGAGGGGAAAGAGAGAAAATAAAGTCAGACTCACATCTGTGATATCTACAAGACCTAGAACAGTAACCAGTGAACTGAGGGCTTGTAGCCCAGACTAGCCTCATACTTGATTGCTCTCTAAGTACATCCCCACCCTCAAGTTTGTTTATTCTGTGTCAGTGTAATTAACTTTGATGTTTTTAAAAAAAGATCACATCTCGGGATTTGGGAGGCAGAAATGGGAGGAACAATGCAAGTTCAAAGCCTACCAGGACTGCATGTTGAGACCTTACACAAAAATGTAAGGTTCTAAATAATATAATATTCTAATGTAATATCTAAAACTTTCAGAGGTCCTGAGTTCAATTCGCAGCAACCACATGGTGGCTCACAACCATCTGTTGCCCTCTTCTAGCATACAGAGAGAACACATGAACCTGAACACACACAGACACAGTCATATATATAGTACAAGCACAGAAGAAATAGGACCATACTCAATTAACAATACTTAGGATAGAATTCCAAAAGTGGCAAAATGCAAAATTAAGTTAGGACTGTGATGGTACACATTATAACTGACCCTAGAGAGATTTGACGGTAGCTTTATTTCAACCAAATCAAACCAAACATACCAAAAGAGAATACACTAATTTATTAACAGGCATAAACATAACCACTTTATATTCTGGCTTCATGTAAAAGTTCTAGGACAGTGAATAAGTAAACATTAAATGTTTTAAAACAAAATTTGGATCATTTTCTTTTATAACTGGGACTTGTCCAGGTCGTCCAGGTCTCACTAAACAGGAATACACATTTTCTATATGTCTGTGCATGTGTGTGGGATGTGTATGTGTGGTGTGCACACAAAACACCTGCAGACTTCACAATTTTCAATGAACTACAGAAAATCTTACCAGAAAAACAGGAAGTTGAAATTTGTCATTTAAAACTACAGCTTGTACACTGCATGGTCCACAGAGCCGAGCAATAACTTCTTTACCCAAAAAGTTAGCATGGAAAATGAAGAGCAGGACACCAGAGCCTGCAGAAGAGAAAGGGAAGATTAATGCTAACACAATGGGGGTGAGGTCGTCCTCTTGCCACTTGTACTGAAGGCCCCCACTCACAACACTTGTACTTTATCCTACATTTTTCAAACCACAGAATTTGACTTCTTATCCAAGTAACCCCAAGCAGCACTTGCCTGTGTTTGACTGGTATAATCATAAGGCTGCATTTCCTTTAGAAAAAAATTTTTTGTGAGACAGGATTTCAAGTAGTCCTGGAGAGCTTCAAATTCACTGCTGTCCAAAAAGATAACCTTGAATTTCTGATTATCTTGCCTCCAATTCCTCAGTGCTGTATTATAGGGATGTACCACTAAACCCAGTTTATATGATACTGGCAACCAAACTCAGGTTTGTTGCATATTAAGCAAATACTCTGCACTGGACTTGGGCCTCCTGCCTCAGCCTCACAAGTGCTAAGGTTGTCCGATGGCCCAGAGATGGCACCTGCTGCCAAGCCTGACCACAAAATTTGACTCCAGAAGAACCTACATGGTGGAGAGAACCAATTCCCCAAAGCTGTTCTCACTTGGACGTGCATCCTGTAATTAGCACACTCACACACACAACACATATCCACCAAGCCTGACCACGAGTTCTACCCTAGGATCCACACTGTGGAGGGAGAAAACAGACTCCAGCAAAGTTATCCTCTGACTGCCACCCATGCACTGTGACCTGAATGCACACATGTGCACACAAATATATGTAGTTTAAGTGTTCTAAGTGCTAGGATTATAGGTGTAGATAACCACACCTGGATTATGAATGTTTTAGCTCCTGTAAGTATGACATTACAATGTAGGTTGCAGCAATGCTTTAAAAACAACAATACCCTTTTTCTGTGTGCATGCATCCACAAAGCAGGTGTTTGCAGGCCAGCGGACAACTTTTGGGAGTTGACTCGCTCTACCACGTGGGTTTAAGGATCAAACTCAGGTCATGAAGTTGGTGGCAGAAGTCTTACCCACTGAACTATCTCACCAGTCCTAAATACCCATTTTTAAATTGAGGAGAAAGATGTCTAACAGAATAGCCAGGGCCTCTTATGTATGGTATAGGACGTGTATGGTATAAACATGGAAGACAGCCCTTAGGAGCAGGTTTTCGGTGATTGAAATCAGGTTAGTCCTTCTGCTTTTATTTACTCGTTTACAACTTCATATATTCATCTAATATACCTTGATCATATTCCATCATTACTCTTATTCCCTTCCCCATCCACCCACCAAACTACTTCCTCCCAATAAGTCTCCTATTTTTGCTTATTTTTGGTTTTTTGAGACAGGGTTTCTTTATATAACAGCTCTAGCTGTCCTGGAACTAGTGCTGTAGTCCAGGCTGGTCTTGAACTCACTCACAGAGATCCGCCTGCCTCTGAATGCTGGGATTAAAGGCGTGAGGCACCATTTTTTTTTTTTTTTTTTTTTTTTTTTTTTTTTTTCAAATTTTTTTTTCACGGTTATGAGCCACCATGTGATGTGGTTGCTGGGAATTGAACTCAGGACCTCTGGAAGAACAGCCAGTGCTCTTAACCTCTGAGCCATCTCTCCAGCCCCTGGACTACTTTTTGTTTTTGATGGCTCACTACATTTAATTCAGGTTCCCTGCATGAGCATAGCTAGGTTATTCCCTTAAATAAGGTCAGCTTACTAGCAACTGAGGAGTATGCCCCTCCAGGTATTATAAGCTGACTTCTCATAGCTCTGTCATTAATTCCAATGGGAGGAGGATAAGCACTTATACTCCTCCCCAAGCCAGGCTTCTTAAAAAGTTACTGGGACAAGACTATTAAAATACAAACAAGCAAAACCCAAGCCAGGAATGGTAGAGCACATCTTTAATCTCAGCACACAGAGGCTGAGACAGGTAGATCTCTCTTGAGTTCAAGGCTAACTTGATTGCATAGCATGTTCCAGGCCAGTCAGAACTACATAGTGAGACCCTGAACCAAAAACACAACAAAAACAAAGCAGAAAAAAGAAACTAAGAAGAGGAAACCCAGATATAAAAAAATTTAGGAGGAAAAAAAAATAGGTTCTAGGCTTAGCAATGTGAAGCTATCTTTTTTTTTTTTTTTAAAGATTTTATTTATTATGTACACAACATTCTGCTTCCATGTATATCTGCACACCAGAAGAGGGCACCAGATCTCATAAGGGATGGTTGTGAGCCACCCTGTGGTTGCTGGGAATTGAACTCAGGACCTCTGGAAGAGCAGTCAGTGCTTTTAACCTCTGAGCCATCTCTCCAGCCCATGAAGCTATCTTTTAGTGTAACTTAATAACAACTCTAATTGTCAAGAACCAACTCCTCCATTTTAAAGAGGACTCACAGTGGTAGGTAAAGTAGGATGCATGGCGAGGCCTCCTGCCACAGCAGCTCTGCCAGCTATCACACAGTGGTTTCTGCTAAAGAGTTCCTTCAAAGTAAAGGTTTTACTTAGGAATAAACTCATTTTTACAGACTATAGCTTCAAACACTCAAGTTTGAAGGGGACTTTTGTTTACCTTCTGGTATGTTCTGAGGTGGCTTGTAATTGAAATCTGTTGAGAAATCTGGTCCCTCACAGAGCCGATGACATGCTATTGGGAAAACAGGTTCCAATAGAGCAAGGCGGGATTCAAAGTAATCCCTGATTGTTTCTTCTGCAACTCTTGAAAGTCTAGTGAGCAAAGACAGAAGACTGTTAGTAACAGTTGGGCATGGTGATTCATACCTCAAAACAAAGAATGCTAATAAATGCCATGAGTTTGAGGTGAGCCTGCATTAGAGTGAGACCCTATCTTTAATCTTTCAATGTAGACATACTGAATATACTGTACTACATATATTAACAAATTAAAAATACCTTCAGCTACCCTGATTTGATCATTATACATTGTGTACTGTATCATTATAACACTGTATCCAACTGTACAATTAAAGTTTAAAATATATACCTTAGGGGTTGGGGATGTAGCTCAGTTGGTAGAGTGCCTGCCTAGCATGCATGAAACCTAGGGTTTGATCATTAGCAACACATACGTCAGGTGTGATGGCATGCATCTATAATCCTGGTACTTAGAAGGAAGTCAAGGAAGATCAGAAGGTCAAGGCCAGCCTCAGCTACAATGAGTCTGAGGCTAGACCGGAATATATGAGACCCTGCCCTCCTTTATCCCTCTACAAAAGGAAACCACCAAAAGATGTATTTATGCTTTACAATGCCCATAAAGCCTTCCCCTAATTTTTATTTTTAACTTTTTTTTTTTTTTAAAGACAGGGTTTCTCTGTATCCTTGGCTGTCCTGGAACTCACTCTATAGAACAGGCTGGCCTTGAACTCAGAGATCTGCCTGCCCTCTGCCTCCTAAGTGCAGCTACCACTCAGTTTTACTTTCTATTTTTTGCATTACCTAGGCCCTTGCACATGGCTAAGACAAGTGCTCTACCAATAAGCTACATCCCTAGCCCTGATCTCACCTTTTAGAAACCCCTTTTCTGATTTTATGTTGTGTGTTCGTGTGTGGGTGTGTGTAGGTAAAAGACAACACTGTGTCATCCTTTATCACTCTCTGCCTTATTCATCTGAAGCAGTGCTCCCTCTGAATCTGGGACTCACTATGCAGTTAGGCCGACAGCCAGATACCCACAGTGACCTCGTGTCTCCACTGTCTCAATGCTTTGGTGACAGGTGTGAATGAGACCATGCCCACCCATCTTGGTTCATTCACAAAGGTGCACAGCAAGCACTCTTAGTGTGCTATCTACCTCTCCAGTCTCTCTTCACTTTTTATGTTGAGATAGGATTTCACTATGTTGTCCAGATTGGCCTTGAACTCATTCTGTAGCTCAAATAGAGCTGGAACTGGGAATATTTATGCTTTAGCTGCCTGAGTAGCTGGGATTATACCACACAACCCAGCATCACCTTTGTGAAAAGGAACTACAACTCTGGCCTCAACTCCATTAACCTCTCTTATGACAATGATCTTTAAATTTCCTTTTCATCCATCTCCTCTTGTTGGAACAGTGTCTGGCACAGAATTCACTTAGCACTTGGCTAATGCATGCTTGAAAAATTAAAAATGAAAGCCCCTCAGTTCTGAGCAAAGGAAGATGGCTGGGCACCTCACTGACAGGCTCTCTCCAAGTGTTCAAAAAAAAAAAAAAAATGAGATGAACTGGCCTTCAGGGATTCTTTATGGGAAATGCCAGACAGGCTGTCAAGGAGACACACCAGATAATACAATACAGTACTCAGTCCCTTGCCTAGAATTTACTTTACTTTCTGTTTAGAGTACCTGGTGTCTAGTTTTCAAGCTCAGAAGGCCAGGGGTTATTTCTTCCAGGCTGTCTTACCAGGGACCTGGGTGAATAATAAGGGCCTCATCTTCTCTACCAGCATTTTTGGCAGGTGTTGCCAAATAATTTTGTTTTTATGTGGTACTGACAATGGAATTGCAGGCTTTAGCATATGCTGGGCAAAAGCGCTACCATAGAACCACACCCCAGCCCATCAAATGAATTCTTCAATGACAAAGACAGAAACTTATAACAAAATATGGTTCAGAATGCACTTAAAAAATAAATGCACTTGAATAAGGTAGAGAGCCGTTGAGAAAGACACAGATGTCAATCTCTGGTCTCCACATGTGTGCGCACACACAAAGAATACAGAAAATTAATATTAGCCAGATTAAGAGTAGATTTAACTTTTTAAAGGAAGAGTCTTACAGTCTAGGCTGGTCATGAACTAACTATGTAGCCCTAGCCTCCTAAAAGCTGCTACTGCAGGCATGTGCCACCATGCTTGGTCTGAGGACTGAACCCAGAGCTTGCACATACTAGGTAAGCACTTTACTGAGCTACTCTTCCAGTCCTAGATTTAACATTGTATGGCTCCATAGTAACCTGCACAAATATGCACCTAATAATTTGGCTGCTAGACCAACAAGATAACTCTTTAGAACATTTTCCTCCACAAAGTACTCCAAATACACAGCTGTTATCTCATTCAGACTTAACCCCAGGGCACATTCACCTAACACTTACGTTTCCAAATGGCTCTTCAGCAGTTCGTACACAAGCACATTATTACACTGTTTTGCAAAGTACAATGCACTATTTTGGTGCTTTGACAAAATGTTGCAGTCAGCTCCACATTCAATCACAAGGCGCACAATGTCCGAATTTCCTCTTTTACAAGCCTAAGTCAGAAAAGAGGAGTGACAATTTTTTCATTGTAAACCATAGTAACTTCACTTGGTGTGGGTAGTTTTTGCCACACATGTCTGGCAAAGCATAATGCAGGAAAGAAAGGGAAGGAAGGCATGGGCCAGGTCTCAGCCAGCATTAGCAACAAGTCTTTGGCAAGGAGAAGCAGTCCCCAGGACAAATGCCCTGAGATAATTCTTTTCTCCAGGCTCTCTAGACTTTCGGCTACAGTCCCACTCCACCTTTCCCAGAAGCCCGTTTTGCCTTTCAAAGGTGCCTTCTCACATGATACCCAGTTCCTACTTGCCTTTGGCTGCTAGAGCTCCCTAACTCAAGAAAATCAGCTATCACCTGTTACCATGTTCTGCAAATTCAACCTCTAAAGCCCTGGAGAATTGCTTGCTTATTTTGAAAGATTTAAAATGCCAGAAGAGGGCACAACATTTCATTATAGATGGTTGTGAGCCACCATGTGGATGCTGGGAATTGAACTCAGGACCTTTGGAAGAGTAGCCAGTGCTCTTAACTACTGAGCCATCTCTCTAGCCAAGAATTGCTCACTTGACTAATTTACTTCACTTACCTCAGGAACCTCCCTAAATCTGAAACAACTGTCTTTTCCTGAATCCATCTCCCTACTGAACTAACCCACCCCTTAATCTTAATTTCCCAAGTACCCTCAGGAATACTCCCAATCCTGTATGGTCCTGTAAGACACACTGTGCTCCCCTTCCTGTGCTCTTTCTTCTACTGAGGTGCATGTGCCTTTCTCAGTGAGACAGTACTCTTTGGTCCACATACGTGCTAGTAACAGATAGATACCAAACAAAGACTAGAGACATAAGCTCAGACTCATGACTAAAAGGATTATTTACGGCTGGGTGGCGGCCGTGCATGCCTTTAACCCCAGCACTTGGGAGGCAGAGGCAGGCGGATCTCTGTGATTTGAGGCCAGCCTGGTCTACAGAGCAAGTTCTAGGACAACCTCCAAAGCAAGACAGAGAAACCCTGTCTTGAAAAACCAAAAAGAGTCTGACAGGAGGCCCAAGAGAAAGGAAGAGCCGGGGTTATTAGAACACAGAGTTCAGGACAAGTCTGGGGTGGTACTGCAATCCAACTGACTGCTCATATCTGACAGAGTAAAATCACAGAGTAAGATCACAGCTTAGGCAAAGCTGTACCCCAGGGAAGAGCTAAGACAGAGTCGCCTATGGACACCTGGATCTGCTAAGTCTTAGCAGCACTAGGAACCAGAAACCTGGAACCACTGTAGAGGAAGGAGGCACACACAACCTACCACTCAAAGAAGGGTACAAGCAGGGTGGCTGGGAGCAGCAGAAAGACTTAACAATCTTCAAAAGGTATCTGCAAGCCACAATTCCAAAGGAGGTGGATTGGCCAAATACAAAATAATGAGAGCACACCATATTCCTTTCCATCCCAGGCCTCTAAACTTGTGAAGATGGATGTTGGGCACACTTTCATGTGACTACAAGGCACCTTTGGTAGCCATATTGCCCAATTCCAGCTAGATTCAGCTGAGTATGTATGGACCTTGATATCAGTTTCCTAACTGGCACTGGACATAGTAATTGCTTCTAGGAAAAGCCTGTCTAGCTTAGCAGACAAACTCTTCCTTCTGTCTTGGGGAATCAGAATTCACTTGTCTAGAGACTACCCAAGACACCTATCTGTAAATCTCTAATAAATTACACTGTACAATCCTGGATCTGTCTACCTCTTTCCAGTACCTTCTGCTTCTAGCAGAGTTTCTCACTCAAACACCTATAGTCCCTTCTGTTCCCGACTCCTGCCAATGCATTTCTTCTGCTGACTCAATACTTACTGCCTCCACCCCATGACTGTTGCTGGAGCCCTTAAACTGAGCTTATTCTAGTACATCACTTATTCCAGCACATCATTTTACTGCTCTGCTGATTCACATCTACTACATGGGAGTTGCTAAATTCCAGGGACTGCCTTGTTCCTATGCTTTTCCCACTCTGCAGTGCCAACATGAATACCCAGTGTGAAACTGAAGACTTACTTTCATGAGTGCAGTCTCACCATTGCTTTGCTGGACATTTACAAAAGCTCCAGCTTCCAAAAGAATAGCCACAGTGGTTAAAAAGTTCTATTTAAAAAAAAAAAAACAAAACAAGAAACAAATTTAATTCCAAGAATTCTTTAAAAGACAGACCTATCTTCTAGATGTTTTGAAATCAGAAAAAAAAAAAAAAAAAAAAAAAAAAAAAAAAAAAAAAAAAAAGCAAAATAAAAACTCATCCCTGCAGGAGACTGGCCACCATCTCCCTGACTCTTCACTGTAAGGCCACAGACGCCCACCTACTCTGAGCCTGGTCTGCTCACTGATTTGTTACCAAGTGCCATTGAAGTCTACTTCCTGGCTTCCATGTGAGAATTCTACATGCAAGTCCTCTAAATCACTTAAGGTTGAAATAAAACTGTCATTGTAACTAGAGATTGAACTCATTATAAATTACTACATAGATAAATCACATTTTAAATCTGAATACAAAGTACTGCTAATAGCAAAATTAATTCACATGTCACAGACCCACTGAACCACAAAGTAAGGCTACATAACATGACCATTGTATATCACTGAAAAAACCAGATTCTCAGTGTCTCTTCATGCAGTCAAGTCTCAAACCTTCTCAGCGGCATGAATAAGGGCTGTAGTCCCGTTCTTCTGGCGCCCATTCACTTTTGCACCTTTGGTGATAAGGAGTCTCAGAAGGTCATCCTGCCCCCCGGCTGCAGCCAACATCACCAGTGTCATCCCACTAGAATCCTGTGCGTTCATTGAGAAACCATGTAGGCTTTCATCAGAAACATTTTAAAAGCAAGTCTCTGATGTCAAGACATTTCAATGAGAAATCACTAATGTACATTGATTTAAACATCCACTTAGGTTAGGATGCTTACTAAAATAGCCTAACAGATAATCTTTCAGACTTTTTGTACATGTGCACAGGGGGGAGGTGTGTGTGTATATTCATGCACATGCATATAGAGGCCATTGTTTTCTTCAAATGCTTGCCACCTTAATTTTTTAAGGTTTGTTTTTATTATTATTATTATTTTGGTTTTTTGAGACACGGTCTCTCTGTATTGTTTTGGAGCCTGTCCTGGAACTGACTCTGTAGACTAGGCTGGCCTCGAACTCATAGAGATCCGCCTGTCTCTGCCTCCCGAGTGCTGGGATTAAGGGTGTGCACCACCAATACCCAGCTCGTTTTTATTATTTTTAATTATGTATTATGTCTGTGTATCTCTGCTGGGGTATGTGCATATAAGTCCAGAAGACATCAGATCCACTGGAACTGTAGTTACAAGCTATTGTAAGCCACCTATGTGCTGAGAACTGAAATGCAGTTCTCTACAAATACACTCAATCACTGAGCTCTCTCTCCAGCCCCTCTCCACCTTACTTTTTTGAAATAAGGTTTCTCATCAAATTCAAAACTCATTAATTCAGCTACACTGACTGGCCAGCAAGCCCAAGAGATATACCTATCTATACCTCCCAGATAGGTGCTGATGACCCAGTTCTTTATGTATGTGTCAGGAATTCACACTCAGGTCCTTCATGCTTGTGTGGCAAGCTCTTATCTGACTGAGCCTTATTCGCAGCCCTAGAATTTTAACAATGTGTGTGTATGTGATGTGCATGACATGTGTGGGCACAAGGATTGTGTATAGGTAGAGATCAGAGGCCAAACTAGGCCCTTGCCTTTCACCTCATTAAGAGCAAGGCTGGTTCTTGTGCACTACTGCATACAGTAGAATTTCTCCAGTCTCTACCTCCTATTCTGCCTTAGGAGCACTGGGATCACAGATGCAAGCTACTGAACCTGGCTTTATGTTTATTCTGGGGATTCAAACTCAGGTCCTCACACTTAATGGCAACAAGCCTTTTACACATTAAGCCACCCCCCTAGAATTTTAGAAAGATAAAGGCTGCTATCAGGCATGGTGGTGCACCTTTAATACCAACTCTCAAGGCAGAGGCAAGTGGACCTCTGAGTTTCAGGCCTGTGAGAGATATACAGTGAGATCCTGTTTCAAAAAATTAAAATAAATGTTGCCATTAAATTTTACAACCACCCAGTATAAGCAAGCAAGTATAGTGGCTCATGCACTTGGAAGGCAGAGGCAGAAGGAATTCTCCAAGTTTGTAGCCAACCTGAACTACATACACATTAAATTTTAGTGGGGGCAGAGATTAAGGGGCTACAGAGATGGCTCAGTGGTTAAGAGCACTTGTTGCTCTTATGGAAGACTCATTTCAATTTCTAGCATCCACATGGCAACTCACAACTATCTGACTCCTCTTGTAGCTCTGCAGGCTCCTATATGCACATGATGCACAGCCACACACATGAAAATTGAATAAGGCCTGGAGAGATGCCTCAGTAAGCAGATGCATTGGCTGCTCTTTCTGAGATCTTGAGTGCAATCCCCAGCACCCAGACAGCATCTAACAACTATCTATAACTGTAATCCCCGGGGATCTGATACCCTCTTTTGGTGTACAGGCATACATGCAGACAAAACACCCATATATATAAAAAATATAAATAAACCTTTTCAAAAATTAAACAAACTCACTGTAATAAATTCTATAAAGTTTTCTTTCTTTTTTTTTTTGGGTGTGTGTGTTTTTGGTTTTGCGAGACAGGGTTTCTCTGTGTAGCCTTGGCTGTCCTGTAACTCACTCTGTAGACCAGGCTGCCAAGTTTTCTTGATATAAAAAGAATGGCAAATTTTGAGCAGATGATCAGTTCTCTACCTATAAAATCCAAAGCACTATTTAAAATGATCAAGTAAAGAATTCCACTAAGTGAGTGTTGTCACTCACACCATTCAGGAGGTAAAGGTAGGAGGATAAGGTATTGGTTATATAGCCTGTCTACATGGCCCTGGCTCCCCCACCCCCCAAAAAATCCTTTTAAGTGACTGAAGGCTACCTATACATACACTTCCCCCACCAACAAATAAAGATTAAAAAAATTTTAAAAGATCCCTCCCCCAAAAGAAAATCAATAAAAAATTGTTAGTAAGGTTGGGTGGTGGTGGTACACACTTTTAATACCAGAACTTGGGAAGCAGAGGCACAAAGATCTCTGTGAGTTTGAGGACTGCCTGGACTACTAGTTACACAGAGAACCCTGTGTTGAATAAAAAAAAAATTAAAAAATTGTTAAAAAAAAGGTTTTAAAAATTAAAAACATTCTATTAAAGCAAAAATCCTTATTAGACTATAATCATACAATCTCTGTCTAAAGATGAGACACTTAAAAGTCATAAAATACATCAATAGATGTACCTATATAAATGTGTTTTAGGCAGGTGTACGTGCAAAACTTAGGCAAGACAATTATCACAAGTTCAAGGCTAGTATAATGAGACTATTTCAAAAGAAGAAAAAGAAAAAAATTCTCAACGGACAGTAGTGGCCCACACCTTTAGTCCCAGCACTCAGGAGGCAGAGGCAGGCAGATCTCTGTAAGTTCGAGACCAGCCTGGTCTACAAGAACTAGTTCCAGGACAGCCTCCAAAGCTACAGAGAAGCCCTGTCTCAAAAAACCAAAAAAAGAAAAAGGAAAAGAAAAAAAATTCTCCACACAATTCAGGTCTCACCTAAAAACCAGAGGGGGAAGAAAAAACTCTAATATGCTTCCATGTAAAAACAAAAACAAAAGCTTACACACGTTGGTATGATTGTCAGATCTCTAAGTTTGAGGCCAACTTAGTTTACAGAATGAGTTTCACTGGTAAACAGAGAAACCCTGTTTTGAAAAGCAAAAAAAAAAAAAAAAAAAAAAAAAAAAAAAAAAAAAATAATTAATATACTACTTAAACCAGTCATTTTAGAGGGCCAGAATTTCAGGGATTCTAATGTAAATTTATACAAGTCTGTAGTGGTCCACGTATTTATTTTTCTATGAAAATAACTGAACTACCATATCATGCCAGAACTATTTTCCATGCTTCTTTGCGAGAGCCCACACTCCCAAAACATAGTACCTCTTGATCTAAGTTGTATTCTTCATTTGAATTCAGGGCAACCTTCACAGCAATATAATCTCCATTTTTCACAGCATCCCTCAACAAATCTATAATGAAAAGAAAAGTGCATTAGATTTTATAAATCTAGATTTCTGGAAGAGCCAAATAATTTGCAAATTACTCACTACTTGGAATTGTATTTGTTGTGGTAAAGGTCTCATCTTCCCCATCAAGATGCTTTTGAAAATCTTCTAATTTCATCCACTCCAACTGCAGATCCATGCCCAAACTCAAAATCTGTTGCCGGCCATCTGGAATACATAAAGGCATCATTAACACATCTTATGCAGTACTATTAAAAAGCACAAGAAAAACTCACAAAACCGCAAGACTGATTATTAAACTTGTCACATTTTAAACAAACTTTTATGTATACTGCATCTAAATGTTATTTATTATTCATTTTACTGGGGGTGGGGGGTCTAAACAGGGTTTCTCTTTGTAGCCTGGCTGTCCTGGAACTCTACAGACTAGGATGGCTTCAAACTCAAGAGATCTACCTGCATCTGCCTCTCCAGTGCTGGGATTAAAGGCAAACAAACAAACAAATCTAAAATAGCAAATACAAATCACTGCTATGATGTTTCCCTTCCTACTATAAACCAAATGGTCCTACAGGGCAACTAGGCCGCATCTCATGTCTACTGAGTGTCTATTCCCACAGCTAATGGTCTTCAGACTCCCAAATACTAGAATGCACATGTTCAACCCTTACACTGTAATACATGCCTGATCTGCATACTCTACATGTTACTTTAATAAAATGAAAGCCAGAGCACAGACTGGTGTCTCATACCTAGAATCCCAGCACTTAAGAGGCTCAGGCAGTAGGACCATCTATGGTAAGCTTAACCTGGGCTTCAGTGTCAGACTGTCAAGAAACAACAAAACCCAGCTAGCCAGGTATGGTACCAAATACTTAATAATCCCATATTCAGGAGGCAAAAGTAGGATTGCCACAGGTTTGAGGCTAACCTAGTCTACAGTGAGTTCTAGGCAAGTCAGAGCAATATAGCAAGACATTGTCTTTAAGGAAAAAAAGACAAGGAAAACAAAACAAAACAAAACAAAACAAAAAGATGCAAAATATTTGATGGCAAGAATAGGATTTCTTTGGGAGGCAGAGGCAGGCGGATCTCTGTGAGTTCGAGACCAGCCTGATCTCCAGAGCGAATGCCAGGATAGGCTCCAACGCTACACAGAGAAACCCTGTCTGAAAAACCAAAAACCAACCAACCAACCAAACAAACAAACCCAAACAAACAAACAAACAAAAGAATAGGATTTCTTTTCCCCTTAAAAATCAACTTTATACAGGTTAGAAAGATAACCTTTTGGTTCTGTATCCCAGCTGCATAGCTTTGAGCAAATCAAATGATTCTGAATAAGGAGCAGTGGTTATACATAGAGCAGCTGATATTACAAGCTCATCTTTATAACATATTCATAACAATTAATTTACTTCACAATTACACTAACCTGTGTAAGGGAACAAGTCCCAGCTAGGATAGGCTTAAAGTAGCTTTGAGAATTATCAGACACAACACAAAGTGAGAGGCCTAGTTTCAGTACACAGTCAGCTCTCAGTCCACAACAGAATCCTTTATTCCTATCATAGGAAGGAATGTCAGTCACTGCAGTGGGAGAAACTGAACAGGATAGATGAAGGTCCATGGAAGCCAAACTTAACACTATCAGCTTACTGTAATTACGAGAGCTTGGCTACAGCAGTTACTTAGCTTACGCTGTGGCTCAGTTCATCTAAACACTTCTCATTTCTACCCCATGCTCAAAGCTACTTCTGGACCTAAAGACTTAACTTTCTCTATTTTTAATAAAGAGATAAGCCAGGCAGCTGTACCATACACCTCTAATCACAGCACTTGGGAGGCAGCGGCAGGCAGATCTGTGAATTCCAAACAGCCAGGTTAACACAGAGAAACCCTGTTTTGAAAAACAAAAACAAAGAGAAAACAAACCTTGAGATATAATACCAAATAACTAATGCACACTGAAGATAAACAACAATCCATGTGCAACCATACCTGGCTGCTATTTATGGTGCTATCTACATTGGGAGTCTAGGTCAGAATCTGAATTGATCATACCCTTTGTAGATTAGGTGGTGACAATCTATCCTAACCCTCTTAAATGACAGCTTTGATGACTTTAATACATTACCCTTATAACAATTTTTACACTTTTTGGGGTGAGGGAGTGAGTGAAGGACACATGCCATAGCACAGAGTAGAAGTCATCAGTCTGTGTTCTCCTTTATAATGCAAGCCCTGGACACCAAACTCAGGTTATCAGGCTTGATGACAAGCAATTTACTTGCTGAACCATTTTGTTGGCATCTCTTTTTCTTTTGTATTAAGAATCTTGAGGACTGGAGAGATGGATCAGCAGTTAAAAGCGTTGGCGGATGCTTCTTCAGAGGATTTTGATTCCTGGCATCCACATTGTAACCCATAACTTCCTGGAACTCCAGTCACACATGATGCACAGACATACATGAAGGCAAAACACCCATACACATAAAAATACTTTTTAAAAAAGTCTTTGGAGATAATAAGATGGCTCAGCAGATAAGCCAGTTGCTTAGCAAGCCACCTGAGTTCTGTCCCTAACCCCATGGTGGAAGGAGAAACACCACTCCTAGAAGCTGTCCCCTGGCTTGCACACATGTGCAGTGGTAAATGACTGTGTGCATGGTGTTTTCACAGTCTTCCCCTAACCCAAGATCAGAACTTAGCCCCATGACTACCAGCATTTAAAGTCTCCCTATTCTAGTAAGAATTTGATTTCTCAAGAGTTTGTGTTTGTGGATAATCTATTATCCTGAAAGAGTGACCAAGAGCTTGTTTGTTCTATCAGCATAAGTCTGTAATGTCTGTCCCCTTTTCTCCACAACACAGCTATGCATGAGTCTGACTGAAGATTCTGTTGTACTAATAGAATCTTCCTAATGCCAATATGTATGTATGTATGTATATACGTACATACACGTACACACACACACACACACACACACACACACACACACACTGACGCGCGCGCACGCCCATTTTGCTTGAATGTATGTCTGTCACATGCATGTAATACCATCAGAGGCCAGAAGGTGTAAGATCCCATGGAACTGGAGTTACTGATGGTTGTGAGCAGTCAAGTGGTTGCTGGGAATTGAACCTGAGTCCTCTGCAGGAGCAACCATGTCTCCAGCTCAACGGCTACAGACTTTGATCAATACTGACATAATTGGATTTGGCTTGAGTCTTCCACATAAATCTTTTTGTTTGTTTGTTTGTTTTTCTAGAAAGGGTTTCTCTGTGGCTTTTGGAAGCTGTCCTGGAACTAGCTCCTATAGACCAGGCTGTCCTCAAATTCATAGAGATCCACCTGCCTCTGCCTCCTGAGTGCTGGGATTAAAGGCGTGGCACCCACCACCAGCTGGCTTTTTTTTTAGAAAATTATTGTTTTTGTAGTGTTGAGGATGTAAACTAGGGCCCTAAACTTTGTCACTGAGCTAGATTTCTAGCCAGTGCTAGGAGGTTTGATTCTAACTAGATGAAGGCTATAAAGCCTGAAGTAAATGTTTTTCTATTAATAAAAATGGCAAACCTTTTAATAGCTTCCTTGCAGTGCTAGAGATCAAACCCAGGTCTTCACATAAGCTGGGCAAGCAGATTTTAGTGACTTCCAAGAGATATTTTACAATTTTCTCCATACAGATCTTAAGCTATTATCTCTTAAAATATTCTTAGCAATCTTTTAGGTATTAAATGTTGTTTGGAAGCTATAGGAATGGTGATAAACTTGGGAGGCTAACATAGGATTAGGAATTTGAAGCACATCATCTACTGTTCTAACACTTAGGGGTAGAGATAAGAGGATCCTGAGTGCACAGCTACATGTCCTCAAACTCCCTATGTAACTGAGGGATAACCTTGAATTCTCAGTCCTCTTGCCACTATCTACTGAAGGCTTGTGTCACCATGCATAGTTTTTATCTGATCATTTTTGGAATGCATCTCAGATAAAAAATTAAGCTGGAAAATAAAAATATAGTAAGTGTATTACAAGAACTTAGAAAATATGCATTTAGATGACAAAGAATGATCTGAATCTTCAATATTAAAAGTTATTCAGACCCAAATGAAATCTTTACTATATTCTGAGAGAAGAGTAGACAATAGGGGGCACACAGCACTCCAAAGCCACTTTATTCAACAATGCAATGCCAAGCAAACTCACCAGAATTCTCATCTGTTTGGCACACACTGTCTGAAACTTCCTGATCGCCTTCTGCAGCAATGTACGCCCATGTGTCAGTCTCATCTCTAGTATTTCTTCTGTCTTTAAGTGAACACTTGTCCTTGTTTTTGGGATCATCTGTAGTTTTACAATCCAAGGGTACTTCTTCTCTTTTCCAATTATTCTCAAGAACATCATTTTTGTCTTCTGTTTTTTTAAATAAATCAAATGCACTTCTGATTTCTTTAAATGCTAGTGCAAATATTAAAGTCCATGGTTAACTGTAACTTGCAAATTTATGTTACAATCAAAAGAAAATCTATTCATACTGAATAAACATGTTTTCTGTAGTTTTACTAATACTTGCATTGTTATAAGGCAAAGATTTACTATCAAAGTCATAAAATCATTTTAATCAGTCTTTTGACTGACTACTCAGTATCCAGAAAGCTGTGACAAAGGTATATTCAATCTGCTTGAGTAGCTTTTTCTTGGGGGTGGAAGGGAGGATTTCCCTGTGCATTCTGGAAACACTTCAACACTGCACCAGACCAGATCCTTCATCTTTTACACCAATTTCAAGTGCATTTTACTTTGGCCTTAAGAGAAACTACTATTTATTTTATGTATGTGGAGTACTGTCTGGTTTCCAATATCCCTTCTAGCAAAAAAACTATGTAACCAGCACTTAGCCCTTCCAAATTGCTTTATGTATTTTTTTCCTACCACACCCCACATCCATTTTTGGTACTCAGGATAGAACCCAGGACCCTGCATGCTAAACACACTCCCCCACTAATCTAATCAGTTTTTCTCCCATTTCTTTTTTAGTTCAAAGCTGGAGGAATTTGGTAGCTTTATCAGGTACATGGTCAGTGCTCTCAACACCACGCTCTTTTCCCCATTCAGCACAGGCCTTTGTCAGGAGGAAAGGTGGGGTGTGACTAGCATCACTAAGATTCCTTCCTTCAGTAGTCCTTTATCGCAACCACAGAAGAGTTCAGAACACCTAATCAGCAGCATTCACCCTGGATATCTTGCTCAGATATAATTTGAGAGTATCTGACTCTCCAACAAATAGATGTAGTCCTTATGTTACTTTATGTATGAGCCACTAAGATACATGGCATTACTACTGCCATGATAAAATCTACTTTTACAACTGGAGAGATGCAGCTAAGTAAGCACTTGCTTAGCATGAATAAGACCTTCAGTTCCACCTCCAACCTGAGGAGGAAAAGGTGTGTTGCTGGCCAGGTATGGCAGTGTACCTCTTTAATCCCAGATGCAGAGACAGGTAGGCAGGGCTCTGTTAAGTTTGAGACCAGCGTCAAAAAAAACCAACACACCTGAAGTCAGGAAAGCTGAAGAAATGGTACAGCATTTAAGAAGGCCTGTTGTGTAATCATGAGATTGGAGTTCAAATCCCCCAAATAAAAAAGCCAGACATGCTGTGAGTGACTGAAACTCTAGGACTATGTGGGGTGTGGACAAGTGGATTGCCAGGGCTTGCTGACTGGCAACTCACCCCCAGACCCAGTGAAGGTAGACCCTGGCTCAAGGGTAGGTAAGGTGGAAAGTAACAGCAGTAACCCCATGTCCTCCTCTGGCCTCTTGAGTGCACAGGGCAAACGCCCACACACCTGCCTATACCACATACATATACACCAAACAATAGAGAACTCCCCAATGCCCCAAATTAAATATGAGTATCAATATGAAGCCACAAGTAGAAAATTTCACTCTTAATTTCATGTTAGACACAAAAACACTGGAAAACTAAATGAAAAATCAGAAAAATTTGTTTCAAATATTCCAGGGAAGGGAACGCTCAACATTTATTTATTTGTTTGTTTGTTTGTTGTTTTTCGGGGCAGGGTTTCTCTATGTAGCTTTGTAGACCAGGCTGGCCTTGAATGCACAGAGATCCATCTGCCTCTTGTGTGCTGGTATCAAAGGCCTGCACCAACACCATCCAGCAATTAATAATTTCTTTTTACACTTACATTTTAATCCCTTTGGCTCTTTTCGGCATTTTTCTTCTTTGTCCAAATCATACTTTTTCTGGTATTTTTCTTTGGATTCATTTTTTTTGGTGTCTTTCTCCTAGGGAAAGATGAATACAAAACCCAAAACAAGAATAGATAAAAAATTTGAATACTGTATATTTATTTACAAACCAAAATATTCAAGCATCATGTCTGTCTACAAACACTTGAACACATTGTTGCTGATTATTCAATTTTTCTCCACTGCTCCTCAAATCAAGATTCAGACATGGTAACAAAATCAAACTCAAAACCTAATACCCATTTCCCCATTTTAAGAATTTATTATTTAAAATGTTTGAGCATAGCATGGCAATGAAAACCTTTATTCCCAGCATTAGGGAGGCTGGGATCTACATGAATTCAAGACCAGCTTGGTTTATGTAGCAAGACCTAGCCTCAAATAAATTAACAAACAAAAAACAAAAAAAAACCATGAATATGATCAAAGTTCACTATATACATGTATGAAAATGTCATTGTAATATCCATTCTTTTGTATAATAAAAACTAAATTGCTACAAAATCAAACTCTATAAAAAACCTCAACCAGGAAGTGGTGGCACATGCCTTTAATCCCAGCACTCAGGATGCAGAGGCAGGTGGATCTCTATGAGTTCGAAACCAATCTGGTCTACAGAGCGAGTTCCAGGACAACCAGGGCTGCTACTCAGAGAAACAGTGTCTTGAAAAGCCGAAACCAAAAAAAAAAAAAAAAAAAAAAAAAAAACCAACCAACCAACCAAAAAAAACCTTCACCTTGGGTTGCAGCGATGGTTTGGAGGTTAACGGCATTTGGTGCTCTTATAAAGGACCTGGATTCAGTTCCCAGCACCCATGAATTAACTCCAGTTACAGGGGATTTGATGCCCCTTTCTGGACTTTGCAGGCACACACACACACACACAACGTAGACAAAATATTCCTAAAAATAAAACTAAAAAAAAAAAAAAATCCCACTTTTTTTTTTTTTAAAGATTTTATTTATTTATTATGTACAACATTCTGCTTCCATGTATATCTGCACACCAGAAGAGGGCACCATGTGGTTGCTGAGAATTGAACTCAGGACCTCTGGAAGAGCAGCCGGTGCTCTTAACCTCTGAGCCATCTCTCCAGCCCAAAAATCCCACTTTCATTAAGCAACCATAACTCCTTCATTTCTCTACATTCCCCTGTTTCTTGGTAAGCATTACAGATAACGCTTTTGCTTTATTTGCATTGTATGTAAGTATGTTTGTTTTCACTATCACATTTTCTGAAGTTTTCCTTCTGGTACAGACCTTATATTTCAATTGACTATTACAGTCCCCAGTACTTTCTGAACCATTTTCCTCATGGCTAGAAAAAAATTTTTTTAAAAGATGTATTTATTTATTATTATATACAGTGTTCTATCTGCATGTATGCCTGTATGTCAGAAGACAGCACCAGATCTCATAAGGGATGGTTGTGAGCCACCATGTAGTTGCTGGGAATTGAACTCAGGACCTCTGAGAGTGCCAGTGCCAATTAAGAGCCAGTGCTCTTAATTGCTGAGCCATCTCTCCAGCCCATGGCTAGACAATCTTAACAGTTTTGTTGTTGTTGTTGTTGTTTTTTAAACTAAGGATAATACTACCACAAATAATTCTTTAAAGTTTCTCCAGACAGAGTCTTGCTATAATATAGCCCAGGCTGGTGTCAAATTCCCAATCCCTCTGCTTCAGCTCCCCAAGTTCTCAGGTTACAGATATGTACCTGCAAACAGGACTTACTATCTCACTATAGACCACAGCTTCAATTATGCCGTCACTTAATGCAAATGCCAGGGGAGCAAGAAATTTTACAACAAAAACACATTTCTAAATGTTCAACAACCAAAAATTAGCTCAAGCTCAAATGCACCACCACACAATGTCAATCCTGCAAGATTTTTATACTCAATTCTATCTATGATTTTACTGTAAAAACATCTGTTCTTATAATCGTTCAGTTGAGAGTGCTTGCCTAGCATGCACAATGACCTTGGTTCAAGCCCCAGTGTTACATAAACTGGCAATAATATACATGCCTACAATGGAGGATGAAAGAGAATCAGTTCAAAGAAGGTCATCCTCAGCCTTGCAGCCAGCTCATTCTAGACCAGCCTTACACCTTGTTTCATAATCTAATCTTCTGGCTTGAGATCAGAACTTCAAAAAAACAGTTCTGAAATGGCCCTAAATTATTTGCTATTTCGTATTACATATTTGTGTAAGGGGAGATCTTCCTCATCAACAATTATAAAATCAAGATAAGAATCAATTCCCCCAAAAATGCATCCTGCAGTATCAAATATTCAACCAAGATTTAAATTTTTATATTAAAATAAGCATATTCATTAGTGTGTTAATTTATATACTAAATGCTAAAAGTATATGAATACCAGAGATTGTTTTTTGAAGTAAATTTATGATTTGTATTATCTACTTTATATGTAAGGATCAAGCATGGAAAAAGGCGGTGTAGTGCATGCCTTTAATCCCAGCTCTTGGGAAGCAGAAGCAGAGGCAGGCGATTCTTTTTTTCTTTTTTTGGATTTTCGAGACAGGGTTTCTCTGTGGCTTTGGAGGCTGTCCTGGAACTAGCTCTTGTAGACCAGGCTGGTCTCAAACTCACAGAGATCCACCTGCCTCTGCCTCCCGAGTGCTGGGATTAAAAGGCGTGCGCCACTATCGCCAGACCTCAGCAGCAACCTATACTACAGAGCAAGTTCCAGAACAGCCAAGAGATGTTACATTTTGTCTCAAAGAGTGGGAAAAGAAATAGTTTCCCCTCCCTTTAAAATGATTAAGATAAATTATCAAAACCAAGAATAATGAAAAGAAACATCTTTTTAAAAGGTTTTTTTTTTTTTTTTTGGTTTTTTGAGACAGGGTTTCTCTGTGTAGCTTTGGAGCCTATCCTGGCCCTCGCTCTGGAGACGGGCCTGCCTCTGCCTCCCAAGTGCTGGGATTAAAGGCGTGAGCCACCAATGCCTGGCTAAAATGGTTCTTGACAGATATTTTCATTATTTTGAAAACTTCTACTTAAAAACATAAAAGTAAGGGGCTGGAGAGATGGCTCAGTGGTTAAGAAGCACTGATTGCTCTTCCAGAAGTCCTGAGTTCAATTCCCAGCAACCACATGGTGCCCTCTTCTGGTGTGCAGGCATATATGGGGGCATATATTATACATAATAAATCTTAAAAAAAAAACCAACAATATAAAAGTAAATTATTACAATATTGGGATAAAATATAATTTATTTGTTTGTTTTGGTTTCTCTGTAACTTTGGAGGCAGTCTTGGAGCATGCTCAGTAGACCAAGCTGAGAGATTCACATGCCTCTCCTGAGTGCTGGAATCAAAGGCATGCAGTACCGGCTTCCCAGCAAAATATATATATTTTTTAATAATTGAAAAGCTTGTAATAATAATGTGCTGTGTACTTTTTTTTCTTTCTGTACTTAAAATAACTGTGAAAAACATACATGGAGAGATGACTCCGTGGTTAAGACTGCTCACTGCTCTTACAAGACCACAGCTCAGTCCCCAGCATCCGCATATTCTGGTGGCTCACAATTGCTTGTAACTCTAGCTTGGGAGTTACAGTTGTGAGTGCTGGGAACTGAACCAGGGCCTTTTGGAAGAGTAGCCAGTACTCTTAACCACAGAGCCATCTCTCTAGCCCCCTCAAATATTTTTAAAAGAGAACACATACACACACCCCAAAATGAAATTAAGTAAACTGAAGCTAATAGGTTTGTCTATACAAATGCTACACAACATCTGAATACCTCTATAAAAAAAATTTTTGTCATGTTTGGTAAAAGAAAATAAAGTGATGCCAGGCAGTAGTGGCACACGCCTTTAATCCCAGCACTCAGCAGGCAGAGGCAGGCAGATCTCTGTGAGTTGGAGGCCAGCCTGATCTACTGAGTGAGTTCCAGGCCAGCAAGGCTGTTAAACAGAGAAACCCTGTCTCAAAGAAACCAAAAACCAAACCAAACCAACAAAACCCACCTCCTACCACCACACCCCCCCAAAAAAAGGAAAAAAAAAGGCTAAAACTAAGATATAAACTTTGGGTTTGAGTGCCTGAGGATCTGAGCACATGCAGCTGTCCTCAGTGACACCACATTCAATAATTACCTGAGGAATTACACTTTACTCTAGTCTGAAAGTTTCTGACCATACAATACCCAGTAGTAATCTGTACCAATTATTTTTGTACTCTACAAGTTCTCTACTACCCTTACCTCCTCTGCCGAGTCAGAGGATCTTAGGCCCTTCTCTTCCCCACTCAGCCTCGAACTTTTCGGAGCCTGGATAGACATAGGTGATGGTAACCTACTTAACTCTAGGTTATTTCTGCTCTTGTCTTGGTATCTTTGCTTTTTAGGTATCATCTTCCTTTCTAAAAAGGTGTCCATGTTCTCTAGCTTCTTGATTTCTTTTGTTTCATCAAATATCCTTGGCTTTTTCTTCTTCCTTCTAACTCGGGCCCCAGCATCCTCGTCAGTACTTACAAGGTCATCCAAATGTTTCTCAAAAATACCCTCTTGCACTGTATCCTGTCCTGCCTTATCTTTTACCGTTCTTATCTTCTGCTTCTCTTCTTTGTTGTCAGAAACAAAGTCTTCCCCATCATCCTCTGGGGAGAGGGACTCATTAGGTACAGGTGACTCAAACTCCAGTGGACATTCAATAGACCTCTCTTTCTTTGTTTTTCGGTTGTCTTTGATATCTTCTCTTATTTTAAACTTTAAATCTCTTATTTCAGCTCTTTTAGCTTTCTTTAACTCCTTGTTTTCCTTTATTTCATCCTTTTTGAGCTTTTTGGAGTCCTTTAATTCTTCCTTGGCTTCCAAAATTCTTTTCTTTGTCCTTATATCAAAACCTAAATTTTCAGAGGTGCTTTCCAGCTCTGACTTGAACTTATCTTTTAGTTTTCCCAATTTTGCTTTTTTTTTTTTCAGATCATCTGGACTTTTCTCTTCTTTGCACTTTATTTTTTTCTTTTTCTTCCTCGGTGAAGTATCTTCTTTTGTGTCACTTTGCTGGTCACTATCAAAGTCTGCTTCAAATATGTCATTGCTTAAAGACAGTCTCTATAAAATACAAAAAAAGCTAAAACCATTAACATAATTTCAAGGGTTTTGAGAGGCAGTACTAATGAAATCTAATGAAAACATTTTTAAAGCAGATTTGACTTCTTTAAATTACCTAAATTCAATGTGTGTATCACTTATATTTCTGACTTAGCAAACAGGACTTGGAGGTGATAAATGTCAATTTAAAAAGGAGACACAAGGGCTGGAGAGATGGCTCAGCCGTTAAAGGCTAGGCACACAACCAAAAATATAAAAAGGAGACACAAGAAGAAAAATGTTAGTACTTTCAAGTCATCAAATTGAAACATGAGTTAAAATTAATAGCTTCATATATGATGGACTGTAATTGACTTTTTAAAAGATTTCTTTTGTGTGAACATGCGTGCATATGCATGAAGGCTGCAGTATACATGTAGAAGTCAGAGGACCACCTGAAGAATCTTGTTCTTTCCTTCTACCACGGGAGGACTGAGTTCTCAGCAAGCACCCTTATCTGCTCAACTATCAGTCTCCACCAAAGTTCTTAAACTTGTTATATTTCAGTTAAATGGAGCAAGCACACTAACTACACAGGAATCTTACTGATTTGATTGATTTGTGTTATATGATCTTAAATAGTTCCTACTGAAATGGTTTTCTATTCTAAAAAGAAACTTAAGAATAATAATATTTAGCCAGGCACAGTGGTATATGCCTTTCTTTAATCCCAGCATTCGGGATTCAGAGGCAGGCAGATCTCTGAGTTCAAGGCCAGCCTGGTCAACAAAGTGAGTTCTAGGACAGCCAGAGCTAAACATAGAAAGCCTGTCTTGAAAAACCAAAAAAAGAAAGAATTCTTTAACTAGCAGAAAAGGTTAAAGACAGACTAAATATGAACATATGAATTATCTAAGAATATTGTGAATTAGAATAAAATAAGCAAAAATTTATGGCAATAATCTCTACATATAATGAATAGTTGTTCACATTATAGGCAAATATGAAATTATGATATGTCTTTGTGTTCCTTCACTTTTATGTTTATCACTCCTGCTCCTCAACATGATGCTGGTGCTTGAATCCAGGGCCTGACACATGCCAGGCAGGTGCTGAACCATTGAATACATCCTTCTCTTTTGTCCTTGAGCTGGGGTCACATTATACAGCCCTGGCTGGCCTTGACTTTCCCAACTGTCCCAAGTATTGGAATTACAAATATGCCCCATCTTATTAGCTAACATTCATGTCTACTATAATTTAAATGCTGAATGTACCCCAAAGGTCCATGTGTTAGAGGCTTGGTCCCTGGGGAGGCACTAATGGGAGGTGGTAAACTCGTAGGGAGGTAACATGACACCAAAGAGGATTGGGGACCCTAGTTTCTTCTATGCTTCCTAGCTTATGAAAACAGGGAGCTTACGGTACTTTGGTGCTCCGAATCAGAGACATCCACAGAGGTAAACTAACACCTCAGACATCCACAGAGGTAAGCTAACACTTCTACAACTGTAAGGCAAAATAATCTTATTTTTAAGTTATGGTAAGTGTTACTATTCAGGCATCTGTACTGGCTTGCCCTTAGGTTCCTGACAGGATATGTCCTCAGCTGCAGCCACTAAGTGCACCTGTGCACATTCACTACATTCCCTTTTAAAAGGTGGACCTTGCCAACCTCCCCTCTATCCCTCTCTTCCCCTCTCTCCTCCCTCCCCCACCTTCTCTCTCTCTCTCTCTCTCTCTCTGTGTGTCCCATGCTACCCCCCTTTCCTCTTTTGCTCCTCTTGTCCCCAGAGGTTGGTCTCTTCCCTCCCCCTCCTTTCCATTCCCTTCCCCCAATAAAAAAACCTCTTCATGTGAACTCTGTCACATGGCGGCATGGCGTTTTTTCTCTCTGGCACCACTTTTTAAATTACAACAGATGGTATTTCATTACAGTGTAAGCTAACACAACACAAAAACTACACTTGTCTGGCAAATACAATTACAGGTTGGAAAAGGAAAAGTTGAGCAAAATCAGCAGAAGCAGTCTGTGAGGTCAAATCAGTAACATGGAATTCACAATAGAAATAGTGAACATCATATTTTTTCATAAATTATTTACTATACATATTGTCTATAAACAAAATTACGAGCATCAAACCAAAAAAGTATAAGATAAAACTTGATACCTGAATATCTTTCTTGATTGCTTTAGCTTTGTTCTCGGCAACTTTCTTCCTAAATTCAAGAAGAACTTCTTTACAGTCCTCCAGATGAATCTCAGGCTCCCAGGTATCATCATCAGACGTATATCCTTTCCATCGAACTTTATAAAGGTTCTTACCCTGTAGTACAAATTAAAAATGGATGTATTGCCGATTAAAATTTCAAAACCATTCAACTGCTAAGAATATGAGAACTTGAAAACTGCATCAAAATGAAAATTAACATCTTATTTAGTATGACTATTCATCATTTGAGGCCCACAGTAGCTTAAGAAAAAAACAACTTCCATTAACTTTTTTTTTTAAGAAACAAAAACTTTTCAGGCAGTGGTGGCTCATGCCTTTAATCCCAGCACTCGGGAGGCAGAGGCAGGTGGATCTCTGTGAGTTCGAGACCAGCCTGGTCTACAAGAGCTAGTTCCAGGACAGCCTCCAAAGCCTGTCTTAAAAAACAAAAAACAACAACAACAACAAAAAACAAAGACTTAGCCAGGTTGTGTTGGCTCATGCCTTTAATCCCAGAAGGGGGATTAATCTCAGCAGAGGTGGATGGATCTCTTTGAATTCAAGGCCAGCATGGTCTAAAGAGTGAGTTCTAGGACAGCCAGGGCTACACAGAGAAACCCTGTCTCAAAAAACCAAAATAAATAAATAAATAAAAATAAATTATAAAGCAATGTATACTTATTTTATAGCAATGAAAAATAAAAGGCAAGTCACTCAACAATGATTTTTAGTAACTGAAGATTATAAGCAACAGTGTTTAGAATTTAAAAACGATGATAAAGCAGTGGTACACTTGTACTTCTTTGACAATGTTAATAAATCCTCAAAGAGGAGATCGGTGACATTTTAAGAGGAGGTTGGGAGCAGCAAGATGGCTTAGCAGGTAAAGGTGCTTCTGGCATATACCTGAGTTAAGAGCCCCAGACTGACTCACAACAAAATGGCAGCTGGGAGCTGGAGACATAGCTTAACAGTTTGATCTTAAGTGCTTATTCTATCTGTAGTCTTCAGATTCAGCACTTTGCTGCTCTTGCTCTTTTCAAGACTAGAATCTGGTTACCAGCACCAAAAGGCAGCTCACTGTCATCAGCAGCTCACTCCTGCCAGCAGTTCCAGGGAATTTGCTGCCCTATTTATTCTGGTCTCCACATACACATAAAATAAATGATAAATCTTGTAAAATAAAAGCAAGTAAGGTTTGCTGCTGAGTATGGTGGCACACACACACACACAACCCTTTGAGAAGCAGCAGAGGAAACAGATGTAGAGTCTGAGGCAAGTCTATGTTTCATAGTAAATTTCAGGCCATCCCGGGCTACATTGTGAGAGCTTCTTCTCATAAAAAAGGAAAAAGCAAGCATATGCACTTACTGTTCTTGCAGAGGACCTGGACCTAGGTTTGATTCCCAGCACCAACATGGAGGCCCACAACTGCCTGTAATTCCAATCTTAGAGGATCCAACACACTTTTCTGACCTCTCTAAACACAAGGCACACAAGTGGAGCACATACATATACTCAGGCAAAACACACACAAAAAATAAAAATCTAAGAGAAAAAAAAAACACATACACAAAATAGGCATGTAGCTCAAACAGATCTAATAATGCAGGGCTCACAAAATGCTTTGCAAAATGTCACACACTGTCTAAATATTTCAGTAGCTTAAATCTTTACAACAGCCTATGAAGTAGGTACTATAACTCATTCTATAGTTGAATCTGAAGACTACAAATAGAATAAGCACTTAAGATCAAAGAAGTAATCAGTAGCTCAGCTGAAACTCACAGGAGTTTTAAATTTATTTATTTGAGACAGGGTCTTCACTATGTAGTTCTGACTGTCCTGAACTCCCTATGTAGACCAGAATAACCTCAAACTCACAGACACCTGCCTGCCCTTGTCTCCTGAGTGCTGGTATTAAAGGGTGTGCCACATACCAAACTTGGATATTTTTAAAGATATGGAAGTCACAAATTTGAAAGAGAGCAAGTAGTATTATATAGGAGGGTCTGGAGGGAGAAAAGAAAGGGGGGAAATGGTGCTATTATATTCTCAAAAAATTTACCTCAAAACTGGAGCTAGAAGCTAGAGCAATCATTAAGGCTGTATATTGTTCTTACAAAGGATCCTAGTTTGGTTCCCAGAATCCATATGTAGCCAATTCACATATGTGGGGCACAGTGTAGGTATGAGTTTGCCACAGTTGCAGGTAAACCTCAGAGGACAAACTCAGTCTTGGATCTTGCCTGGTCTTTCAAAACCGTACAGCACTACAACGGAGAGTACAACAGGTCCTCTCCTGTCTCCATCTCCTAGCAGGAACACCAGGATAACGAATGAGCTTTACTTGAGCTCTGGGGATTTGAACTCTGACCCTCTTTCTAGTTCCAAAATGGCCCTGAATTTCAATTATTTAACTCAAGCTTGACAAGAGAAGTTTCCTTTGTCAATAATTGCAGGAGGGTCTCAAGATCTAGGTCAGCCAGGGCTTCAGAGAGAGATCCTACCTCAAAAAACAGGTGGTGTGAGTGGGAGACACAGAGCGAAGCCTGAAGCAAAGCCTTCACGGCTAAGAGAACTGGTTTCTCTTCCAGAAAATTGGGGACCGATTCCTGGCATCCATGTGGCAGCTCAAAACCATCTGTAACTCCAGTTTCAGGGGATCCAATGCTATCTTTTCTGGGCATGCATGTGGTGAACACCCATACACATAAAATAAAAATAAAGTCTAAAAATTTAACCTGTACCGCCGGGCAGTGGTGGCGCAAGCCTTTGAATCCAGCACTCGGGAGGCAGAGGCAGGCAGATCTCTCTGTGAGTTCAAGACCAGCCTTGTCTACAGAGCTAGTTCCAGGACAGCCTCCAAAGCCACAGAGAAACCCTGTCTTGAAAAACCAAACCAAACCAAAACCAAAACCAAAAAAACTCTGTACCATTAGGCCGGCAGTGTAGGAAAACACCTTTAATCCCAGAATCCAGGAACCAGAGGCGGGCAGATTTCTGCGTTTTAAAGCCTTCTACACAGAGAAACCCTGTCTCAAAAAGAAAACAAACAAACAAAAAACCCCAAAACACAAAAAGGGGCCTCTTAGAGAAAAATCTATCATCAAGCCAACATAGTAAATGGTAAACAGCAGTTGATAAAATTAACAGACGAAAGACTGCATGTGGCAGGTAGGAAACGACAGAAAATACAACAGAAACAAAACATCGTATAGGCAAGACACTTATCTACAAAAGAAGACTGGCCAATGATATTACTGGACTATATCAGTGACTCAAACATTAATAAAACCACATCGCAGGGACTGGAGAGATGGCTCATGGGACTGGAGAGATGGCTCAGTGGTTAAGAGCATTGGCTGCTTTTCCAGAGGACCCAGGTTCAATTTCCAGCACCCACACGGTAGCTCAATTCCCTTCCACAGGCAGAACAAAACACCAACGCACATTAAAAATAAAAACAAACCACATCCCGGAATAAAAGAGCCCAGGATCTAGAGGGGAAAAGGCAATAGCTTAAGTAGAGGCCCCCACAGAGCACAACTGAGAAAGCAAATTTTCTGCAGGGCTCGGAAAAGGGAAGAAGGAAAGGCATCACAAACAGATGGACCCCGAGACTTGGAGAGTAAGAATTTCTCCTGGGGAACAACAGTCCCAGCAAGAAGGATGTTAAGTGCCTAAGTACGGTGTGCTAAGCCTTTCCTTTCAAACCTTACTCTAAATCTGACTTACAATCACAAAAACGCGCAGAGGAGAGAGAGATGACACCTAGGTTTCAGAAACGTTTACCGTCCCAACCACTCGGTGTGATTTGGGTTTCTTCGTGAGGACGAATGGGAGTTCCTAAATTTAAGCCACGGGGCATTTTCCACTTTTAGAAAATACTGGGACAACGGTGTGGAGAATGGACTAATGCGATGGTTTCCAACAGTCCTTCCAAACGGAGAGCAATGGCCCTAACCGTATATCCCGAACGTCGAAGGCTACATAAGTCCCTCACCAGCTGTCTGGCACCCTACTATTCTCGACATGACCTGACACTGCTTCATCTCCTCTGCCAAAACAACGCTCAAAACTTCCCTACGCATCCATCCTCCACAGAAGCGGCCGGCCAGGGTCCTGTCCGAGATGTCTCTGCGCTCGCCCGACACGTCCGTCCTGCCAGGCAGCTCGGCGTCCCACGCGGATTCGCCCCCACCGTCCCCGCCCCGCCCCGGCTCTCCAGTCGCGTCCTCGCCGCGCAGCCCCCACATACTCCCTCGCACTTCATGTCCAGGATCTTCTCCACCTCGAACACGTCGTCCCCATCCTCCTCGCTATCCCCAAAGGCCTCCGTTCCTTTAGTGGTGGCGTCCTTCTCTTCGCGAGCTACCCCAACTCCTTCTCCTTCGGCCCTGGGAGACCCGACGGTGCTGTCCGGGACTGACATTGCTAGCGCGGCCATACTCATGCTTTCCTCAGCCGCCGCCGCCGCCGCCATCGCGAACGCCCTACAAACCGACGCGGAAAACCGCCGGAGACGGACAGCGAGACAGCCCCATGCGCATGCCGCTCCGCCTTAACCCGCTTCTGCGGCGTGACTCGACCCTGAGCAAAGCCAGCCAATTGTGGGCTCCGAGTGCCGGATTGACACACGTAGTAACCAATCACAAAAGGTGCCCGCCCACCTCGCGCGTCCTAAGGAGCCCACGGGAAGTGGATGGGCGGGTGGAAGGACGGAAGAACGCTACCTAGGGGAAGAGCGGAAGGGGTCTCCAGAGGACAGTGCGAGGGGCGGTGCTAGTGCTTGTCTTCTAGATGCTGAGAAGGGCCTCTGCCTGAGGAGACTGGCTGCTGGCTAACTGGAGAGGCGACTGCGCTGGGCGGGAGACCTTGAGGGTTCTGGGAAAGCGTGCTAACGAGACCTGCCTGCGCGCGGAATAGCTGCCCAAGAGTTTTTACGTATAGTTTGGCTGACTAAACTGTTCTAGGGTGTTAATTAAATATAGCCTATAGAGACGCTTCATTTTAATGAGTAACGTTTAAAGAAAGATAAAGAAAGAATGGGAGCCAGTATGAGGACCTGAGTTTGATTCCCAGGGACCCACGTAGTGAGCAAGAGAATTTCCGAAAAGTTGCCTTCTGTCCTCCACACACATGCCCAATGAAATGAAGAGAGGATTTTGGGGAACTCAAGGTCAACCTACACAGCAAGACGCTGTCTCAAATAATACATAATTCATCAGACTTAAATTATTGGAATGTGAATGTAGTTCAGTGATACAGCGTTTGCCTGCCAGGTGAAGGTTGGAGGTTTGGTCCCAGTAACCAAGTAAGTGAGTGTGTGTGTTAGCATGCATATGGAGGTCAGAGGACAATTCGCAGAAATCAGTTCCTTCCTTCCACCTGTGGGTTCCGAGGGTAGAACTCTGGTTGTCAGGCTTGGCAGTTCGTGGGCTACACGTAATTAACCAGATAATTCACACCTGATACGTCAGACAAGACCATTTTTATGTTCCCAAGTTCCCCTGCTTTTTATTAAATTGAAAATATCAGAGGTGTGGGGTTGATGCTAGAGAAAGGAATAATATTGACGCTATAATGGATTTACTAATAAACTTGCCTCCATTGTGACTGGAAGATAAGTAGTATAATAACCAGGGGTATTAGAAACTCTAGGAAGGAAATCTTTGTGCCAAAATTGAAGTTTTGGGTTGCTGAGGAAGTTTCTGCTAAGGATTTTGCACTAAGTTTTACCTTCAATTAGGCTCCATTCCCACAACAAATGGAGACAACCCTGACTTCCAACTGGCTATTAAACCTCTCCCCTTATTAAAAAACAAACAAAAAATGCCTCTAAGGGGCAGCTCAGTTCCAGAGCCCCGAGTCACGAGTCACGACTATAATTAAGTCCTAGCCTGCCTTTAAGTCCCCTGTGTCCTTATTAGGAGAAGCATGATTCTGTCGGGTGGGCAAGATGACCGTGGGTGACAATCACTGGAAAAGAACAACATTGGTGTATGTACTTAAGAAATAATTCTGACAGTGTCTGTGGTGATACTTTGTTTATGATCTAACAAAGCTTGGCGGAAGATCAGAGGGCAAAGCTAGCCACACGAGTTAGCCATAGAGGCCAGGAGTGGTGGCACACATGTTTAATCCCAGCACTAGGCAGATGAATCTGTTAGTTCAAGGACACCCTGGGCTACTAGAAATTGATCCAGTTTAAAAGAGAAACAGAGCTCACACCAAGGTGATCCCAACACTTGGAGTGATGTACCTTTAATCCCAGCACTAGGGAGGTGGAGACAGGAAGGGATATGGCTGGGCAGAGAGAGGGAAACCCTGTCTTGTAAAAAAAAAAAAAAAAGACTAGTGACTGACTGTTTTACTTCTCTGATATTTCAGCTTTCCCCCCTAATATCTCACTCCAGGTTATTATTATTATTATTATTATTATTATTATTACAGATTAGAATTTATGCTACAAGTATTCTTGCTGTGTAAATCTCCCATCTGCCCAGGTGGCCAGACTTGCAGTCTCCTGTCTCTGTTTAAACTGTTCCAAGTGTGAGCTAGAGCTGGGACCTGAATGAGATGTAAGGATAATAGCACAGGTGGTATGCATAAGCTTAAAAGTTATATAAGCTATTTAAAAAAAAAATTGTTCACAGCTGGCTTTTCTTTGGGTATTATCCAGAGCCAGATTTGTGGGTTTTTGTTTTTGTTTGTTTTTTGAGACAGCGTTTCTCTGTGTAACAGCTCTGGCTATTCTGGAACTAGCTCTGTAGATCAGACCTGCCTCTGCCTCCCAAATGCTGGGATTAAAGGTGTGTGCCACCATTGCCCTGCTGATTTATGCTATTATTCAAGAGCTTTTATTTCCCTTTATTAAATCTAAATGTGTGGAGTGATTTCTCACCAGGGAGACATATTAATTTTAGAACAGGATCACATACCTAGAATCCCAGCCTTCCAAAGGCTGAGGCTGGAGAGTGGAGAACTCAAAACCAGACTGGCTTATAAAAAACACCTTTAGATAGATTAATAAATAGGTATCAGATATAGATGGAATACATGATAGATATATATTAATATATATGAGAGAATGGTATAGTAAATTGATTTGTCTAGATTATGAATAATTGACAGTTGTGCAGTGTTCATAAAATAGTGTTAGGGAAATCCACTTAAAATATTTTTCAGCTGGGTGGTGGTGGCACATGACTTTAATCCCAGACTCAGAAGGTGGGGGCAGGCAGATCTCTGTTAAGTTTGAGGCCAGCCTGATCTATAGAGTGAGTTCCAAGACAGCCAGGGCTACACAGAGAAACCCTGTCTTGGAAAAAAAAATCTTACTTTGAATTTCAAGTCAGTAGCAAGTCTGTGGTAGGGAACTTTTTCTTTCTGGCAATGCATTATGATAAAATATCTCTTATGTTCAAAGAGACTGGAACTTTTGCTGGACCTCACACCAGAGTTAATAACTCTAGGTACTACACATGCCCAGCAATCTGCACCTGATATGCTTAATCACATGTGGGCAGGAAGTACTTCAGGATATATGCTTGCTCCTTATTGGACCTGATGGGAAATGCAATGAATTATGGGTTTTCCTTCCAAAACCCTTGCCATACTTGATTCTGGGCCATTTCCCAGGAATCTGGGTGTGGACCTGGCCAGAGCCCATCCTCTCGGCCAGTATTTAATTAAAGTTTGCTTCAAATTTGGCTTTAAACTGTGGCAGTGATCTTATTCTTGATTAGTGGAATTAAGAGGTCTATGAGGGGGGCTGGAGAGATGGCTCAGTGGTTAAGAGCACTGCTTGTTCTTTCAAAGGTCCTGAATTCAATTCCCAGTAACCACATAGAGGCTCACAACCATCTGTAATGAGATCTGGTGCCCTCCTCTGGCCTGCAGGCAATATGCAGACACAACACTGTATACATAATAAATTAATTAATTAAAAAAAAAACCGAACAAGTCTATGAGGGACATTTCATAGTCAAACCAAATGTAACAATAAAAAATGTAACTCAATGTGCATCATAACCCTAAAATAAAATTCAAGACCTCCAAAATGTCTAGAAGGTGAAATAGCAAAAATTTTAGATGACTTTTGGCTTATTGATTTTTAGAATGTAACAACAAAACAAGATCCATGGAAGAATTGCTTGTGATGCCACGTAACAGTGTATCCACAGACAGAAGAGATATAAGAGGAAACATGTGCACCAAGTTGTACTGTCTATTGACCAGGGCCCCAGAAACAGGCATTTGCCTAGAACACAACTACCAACCAAAGACCAACTCCTTCCTATACTGCTTGATCTGTCAGTCTTCTATTGGACTCCTGGAGGGAAGACACAATGAGCACCCCCTCCCCAGGACATTGAGACAGTCTCTAATATTACAGTATTTTTATTGTTGTTAAATGATTCATCAATCCTGCTTCCATTTATTTCATTTTAAAGGGGCTGATAGCTACAACAAAAAAAAAAAAAGAAAAAAAAAACAACTAAAACTAATTACAAGTTATTATCGGTACCTTTTACTATTTGATTATTTGCTACATAGAAATATGAGAAAGATAGCCAGGTGGTGGTGCACGCCTTTAATCCCAGCCCTAGAGAGGCAGAGGCAGGTGGATCTCTGAGTTTGAGGCCAGACTGGTCTACAGAGTGAGTTCCAGGAGAGTTTGCAAAGCTACACAGAGAAACCCTGCCTCAAAAAACAACATAAAACAAAACAATAGCAAAAAAAAAAAAAAAAAAAAAGAGAGAACTGTTTAAAATGCAATTTCATTGGATTCATCCTTGATTGCTATGTAGAATTCGGTGAAGAGAAGTGTTGGGTTGGGGCTGAATTCCCAGAAGTTGCTTTGTAGCTGACTCCCAGTCTTTACCCAGCTCAAGCCGTTGGCAGATAGATGGATACTGCCCTTCAATCCTTGTGGCCCATTCACTTGCTTTCTTTATGTTCTCAAAAGCCCAGGGAATATTCCTAGATTTAAAAAATAAAAAAAGTTTCTATTGGTTCAGAATATGTGAAAGGCAATGTGGTACCAAATCTATAACACTGTATCAGATGCAATGATGGTGTCAAAAATGAGCATATTTAATAAAGGCAATTCTTGAAATCTGAATAAAGTTGTCTCCCTCTAGCACGGGGATTTTGAATGTACTCAGTACATTTCTACATGACTTACCTGCCTCACTTCCCAGTTCCCACTGTGCTTGCTCCCTAGGGACAGCTGCAGCTTTTTCTTGCCACTTTGTTTCCTGTTGTTCCTTGTCCCTGAGGTCCCTTTTCAATGTCTATTCACTGTCTGGAGTTTTCAACTTGTTCCAGATACTTGAAGAACACCAGAGAGTCAGTGATAAAGAGCTACATCCCCAGCCCTTATACCAAAGTTTTTTAAATGTAATTTAATTTGTGTGTGTGTGTGTGTGTGTGTGTGTGTGTGTGTAATGCAATATTAATTCAAGTGCACACATGGCCATGGCTTGAGTATGGAGGTCCAAGAACAACTTTGGGAGAGTCATTTCTCTCCTTCCACCATGTGGATCCTGTGAATTGAACTCAGGTTATCAGGTTTACACAGCAAGCACCTTACTAACTGAGCCATTGCACCTACCTTACAATAAAGTTCTAAAGAAAAATTCCATGTGGATGTGGCTCAACTGGTAGAGACAGGAAGATCAGAAGTTCAAAGCTATCAGCTACACAGTGAGTTCAAGGCCAATTTAAGATACACGAGGCCCTTCCTTAAAAGGAAACCTTAGCTGAGCAGTGGTGCACACTTTTAATCCCACTTGGGAGGCAGAGGCAGGCAGATCTCTGTGAATTCAAGTCAGCCTGGTCAGCATAGTGAATTCCATACAGCCAAAGCTACATAATGAGACCCTGTCTTGAAGAAACAAATTTATTAGAGCCTGTGAGATGGTTTAACAGGTAAAGGTACTTATTGGCAAGTCTAATGACCTGAATTCAATACTAAAAGCTGTCCTCAGATTTCCACATGTATGGTATGTTGCATACTCCTGAACACACACACACACACACACACACACACACACACACACACACACACACACACACTCTAAAAGAAATCTGTTGTTTCTATGGGGTTAAAGACATTAGATCTTTTCCATCTTCCTGATTCTTTTCTTTGGGGTGAGGAGCTTATCTCACTTGGCTGTAAGATATTTTACTCAGGAGTCAACCAATGCTAAATTTGAATCCGATTATCTAAGTGGTTATGGGATTGTATTTGTCAAGACTGTTCAGTTGGAGCCTCTGGCTCACCCCTGCAGTGTCCAGAATGCTCAGCTCACCCTGTCCCCCACCCCCACCCTGCTCACTTAGAGAGTCTCTAAACAAAGGAAAGGTGACAAAAGCCCAGTTCCAATTCTTGGTAACCACTGCAGCACCCCTCCTCCACCCCTGTCATGCCACCAGCCACCCAAATCTCCACCTAAGCGCTCAGCTTTTGACCATACTTAGGCATAGACCCAGCTTCACCCCTCACCTACAATCTATAAAATCTCCCTGCCTTAGTCCAGGTGCGAGACTTCTCTGACCTCAATCCCTGGGGCCAGTGAACCTGCCTGGGAATTGCTCTCAATAAACGTGCACGTTATACTTTTTGAATTTGGCTTGATCTGGTTTACTGTGTCAGTGGAGAAACTTATTATTGTGGGGGCAGAAAATCTATTAAAGATAACAGATTCATGTTTTGTTTTCTTGAAACAGAGTCTCTTTGTTATATAGCCTGGGCTGTCAGGAAATTGCTATGTAGCCAGACTGGCCTCGAACTCACAGAGATTCACCTGTCTCTGTTGTGCCCAAATTCTGAATCCCCAAATCACCAAGAGGCCCATTTCGATGTAAAAGCAATGAGTCTTTTATTGCAGTTGTTTAACGAGCTAACCCCATGTTAGCTCAGGCCTTTCATCCACCCATCATGGTAGATGGCTAGGAAAAGACCCTGAGAAGCCACGCCACGGGGCAAAGATCTTATAGGGCAGTGTAAGGGGAGTGTCTAGGGGTATGCACAGGCTCAGGATTGGTGTGCCTCCAGGCTTGGATGACTTGCCCTGTGTTGATTATAACCAACTGGTTGTTATGGCCCATAGGCCCTCCCAGGGCAGTTGCTATGCTCTGCACATCATTGCATAAAAGCACACCCAGAGCCATAAGCATAGCACTACCAGCTAACTTCTGATTGGTTCCTTGCTACGAGGCAGGCATCTGACCTCCTAGTGACCAATGCAAGGTCTGGCAAGCACATGTTAGGCTGTTAGGGCTGCCGAAATGGGGAGCTGGTCCCTTCATCTCTGCCTCCTCAGTGCTGAAATTAAAGGTGTGTGCCACTATGCCTATGCCTGGCAGAATATCCTAAGGTATTTTATTTAGTAGTTTGATAGGTTTTTGTTTCCTTCTGTTGTTTTTTGTACTGTGTAGCCTAGGCTGGCCCTTAAATCAAGATTTCCATCTATAACCTCTTGGGTGGTGGGGTTACAGGAATGTGGCACCAGGACCTGGTTGATACTTTGATATGCAGTGTGTGTGAGCTGCTGAGGACAGCAGGACTGAGCCATGTTCCTGTACACTAGGCAAGCACTCTACTACTGAGCTACATTCCCAGCTTTTGCTTCATGACTTTTAAATATTTAGACATAGGGCACATGGCTCCCATTTGTATTCTTGTGCCAGACTATACAGTTGTCTGGAACAGGCCAATAATTATACTGTGGCTCCTATAGAAGTTTCTTATTAGGACATTAAAGCACCTGGAGATGAAGGTGTCATCCATCTTTAGCAGTGACTTGGCAACCATTCCTTCTTTTTCCAACCAGCTACGAAGAAACTGCAGTACCAGCAGCGTGGCAATCAGGTCCAGGAGACGATCTCTTCCTTTTGTACCTAAAAAAGCAAAGATCTCCTTTATCTCATGTGGTGGCCTGGATGAGGAATGTCCCTTGGGCTCATTCATATATTTGAACACTTGGTACCCATTTGGTGGCATTGTTTGGGAGGTTTTGGATGGTTTAGGATAAGGAGTTACTGGAGGAAGTAATTCCCTAGGAGTGGGATTTGGGAGTCTATAGTCTTGCTCTGTTGGGTTCCTGGCATAACAGCAGCCGGCTTCCTGCTCAGGCCACCTGCTGCTATGCGATCCATACCAACCTGGATTCTCACACTGGGGAACCATGAGCCAAGACAAACTTTTCACTAAGTTGCTTCTGGTATTTTAAGCACAGCAACAAAAAAGTAATTAACACATTCTGTGTCTCAAATTGTGAAGTTTTATTAAAGAATTACATCTCTATTAATCCAGGTTGCTTGCTCAGGCCTATAATCCCAGAATCTGGGATTCTAAGGCAGGAGGATTGCCATGAGTTCAAGGCTAGCCTGAGTAGCACAGTGCTTTCTAGACCAACAGAATTATACTACAATTGAATAATAATACATTAATAGATCATAAAACTCTATACTATTCCAGAATTATGAAATAATACATGTAGGTTGTACAAACCAATAAAACTAACCCCATGTATTCTAAAGGTTCTTCTTTTAAATTTTTTGTTTTTTTTTTTTTGGTTTTTCGAGACAGGGTTTCTCTGTGTAGCTTTGGAGGCTGTCCTGGAACTCACTCTGGAGACCAGGCTGGCCTCGAACTCACAGAGATCCACCTGCCTCTGCCTCCCAATGCACCACCAATGCCCGGCTCCTTTTTTAAAAATTTTAATTAAAATTTTTTCCTTTACATTCCAACCCCAGTTCTCCCTCCCTCTCCTTCTCCACCTCCCCACCTCCCTCATCCCATCCCCCAACACCCCCCTTCTAAAGATCCTTAATTAGCATTTTATTTAGTAGCCTTAAGAGCATTTCAAAAGCCAGGTAGTGGTGGCGCACGCCTGTAGTCCCAGCACTCGGGAGGCAGAGGCAGGGGGATCTCTGTGAGTTCGAGGCCAGCCTGGGCTGCAAGAGCTAGGTCCAGGACAGCCTCCAAAGCCACAGAGAAACTCTTTCTCAAAAAAAAAAAAAATGCATTTTATTTAAACAGAAATTGTGAACAATCAGAACATGTATGCCTATTACATTATCCTGATGGCTCTCTGGACACTGAGCTGCACTCAGAGTCTCTCACCCCACCACAACAACCAGGCATGGAGTATGATGAAGACCTTCAGTTTCTAGGTTCTTGCTATAAATATCTTGGAGGAAACCTAAACACACAGCAGATAAACAACAGACATATCTGACTATGCCAGTGTAGCAATCATTCTGGCTATCAGTATCAGACAAATCCAAACCATATTATAAGTTAGGCCAAGGTGATACTGGTCACTGAGCAGGGGCTGCATGAAGTTGTGAGTCACCAAGTGGAAGTTGGAAACTCTAACTCAGGTCCTCTGCAAGAGCAGTAAGTTCTCTTAATACTCTTTTTTTTTTTAAAGATTTTATTTATTTATTATGTATACAACATTCTGCTTCCATGTATATCTGCACAACAGCAGAGGGACCAGGTCTCATAACGGATGGTTGTGAGCCACCATGTGGTTGCTGGGAATTGATCTCAGTACCCTTGGAAGGGCAGTGCTCTTAACCTCTGAGCCATCTCTCCAGTCCCAAGTTCTCTTAATACTCTTCTTCTTCTTCTTTTTTTTTTTTTTTAAAGATTTTATTTATTTATTATGTACACAGTCTTCTGCCTGCAGGCCAGCAGAGGGCACCAGATCTCACTCATGGTGGTTGTGAGCCACCATGTGGTTGCTGGGAATTGAACTCAGGTCCTCTGGAAGAGCAGTCAGTGCTCTTAACCGCTGAGCCATCTCTCCAGCCCTCTCTTAATACTCTTAACCAGTGATCCATCTCTCTAGTTCTGTTCACTTATTTTGTATTTATACAATGTGTGGGGAGGGTGAGGGGTATGCCACAGTGTGCATGTGGAGGTCAGAGGACAACTTTTACAGAGTCAGTTCTTTTTTTTTTTCTACCTTAACATAGGCTCCAGGAAGCATGCCAGGTTTGAGCATTAAGTCCTTTAACCATTGAGCCATCTTGCTAGTCCATATGGTATATTTTGAAAATCATTTTCAGAAGGCTCACTAAAGAATACTCATTTTTGCCAGAGTGGTAGTGCATGCCTTTAATCCTACCACTTGGGAGGCAAAGGCAGGCTGATTTCCGAGTTTGAGACCAGCCCAGTCTACAGAGCAAGTTCTAGGATAGTCAGGGCTCTACAGAGAAACCTTGTCTTGAAAAATCAAGGAAAAACAAAACAAAACAAACAGAATGCTCACTTTATTTTAGGGTTGGGACTACAACTCAAGTGGTAGAGTGCTTGGCTACCCTACATGAGACCCTAAATTCAATCTCCAGTACTTTAAACAAAACAAACTAAAATGAAACTAGGTTTAGTCAATTGTGGGGGAGCACATCTGTAATCCCTATATGTAGGAGGCTTTAGTAGTAGCCAGCCTGGGCTATATAATGAGACTCTATCTCTAAAAAAGAATCTTTAGGGCTGGAGGGATGGCTCATCAGTTAAGAGCACTGGCTACTCTTCCAGAGGTCCTGAGTTCAATTCCCAGCAACCACATGGTGGCTCACAACCATCTGTAATAAGAGCTGGTGCCCTCTTCTGAACTGCAGGCATGCATGCAGGCAGAACGTTGTATACATAATAAATAAATCTTTAAAAAAAGGTCTTTAAAATCTTTAATAAAACCTCATCTACTTTAATACAAAATACATACATAAACACACACGAGTATGTGCATACACATAGCTCAGTTATCCAGAACATCTCAGTTCAGTGTCTGAGGACTTGCTTCAAGGTACCAGGTAATCAAAGAAAGAGACGTAGACAGATCCAAGACTGCAGAGACTGTAGTCCAAGACCAGTTGGATTTTCCCAGCTTAGTTCAGAAAGAGAAGTGTCTTTACAGCCTAGAACAAAAGCGACTTTACCTGGATAGAATGTATTTGATTGTTGTTTGTTTTGGGGGGAGGGAGCTGTCCTGGAACTAGCTCTTGTAGACAAGGCTGGTCTCGAACTCACGGAGATCTGCATGCCTCTGTCTCCCAAGTGCTGGGATTAAAGGCATGTGCCACTACCGCCCTATTTGATTTATCTTAAGCTATTTCACATAGGCAGACTCTTTCCTGGAGTTAGGGTTTGCCTGTGAAACTCAACAAACTACTGTTATGTTTGCATACTTTTAGTATGCTGGGAAACGATACAAGAAAAAATAATGAGAAAAACAAAATCAACAAAAAAGGAAAACTGGTAAGAACTACACTTGTATAGACTTTGAGGCCTTAACGGGGGGACAGTAGAAGGAATGGCACACTCAATCTATATATTAATGTTGCCTTTTAGCTGTCTTTGTTTTGTTTTTAAAGATTTACTTATTTTTGTTTTATGTGTATGAATGTTTTGCCTGCATGTATTATGTGTACTACATTCTTGAAGTGGTCCTTAAATCCCCTGGAACTGGAGTTACATATGGTAATGTGAGATGCTGTGTGGGTGCTGGGAAAATCTAGGTCCCTGGCAAGAGCAGTCAGTGTTCTTAACTGCTGGGCCATCTCTCACCCTTGTTTTAATAGGGTCTTACTCAGAAACTCAGGCTGTCTCAAACTCATGGCAATCCTCCTGCCTCAACCTCCTCAACTGCTGAGATACAGGCATAAGCCATCGTGACTGGTTCATTCTTCTTTATGTCTGAATAAAATTTCATTGTGTATAGCACTGAATTTTCTTTTTTTGTTTGTTTGTTTGTTTGTTTGTTTGTTTTTCAAGGCAGGGTTTCTTTGGTAGCCCTAGCTGTTCTGGAACTCACTCTGTAGACTAGGCTGGGCTCAAACTCAAATCTACCTCTCAAGTAGTGGGATTAAAGGTGTGTGGCACCACTGTCTAGCTGAATTTTCTTTATTCCTATGTCAATGGGCATCTAAAGTAGTTTCATATCTTGGATGTTATGAACTGTGCCACACTAAACACGGGCAGGAAATTATCTCTATGATATGCTGACTTAGCTTCCCTCAGACATAAGCCCAGGAGTGGTATAACTGGATTATATAATAATTCTATTTGTAGTTTTTGTTTGTTTGTTTGTTTTTCAAGACAAGTTTTCTCTGTGTAACCACCCTAGCTGTCCTAGAACTCAATCTGTAGACCACCCAGGCTGGGCTTTGAACTCACAGAGATCCATCTCCCTTTGCCTCCTAAGTGCTGAGATCAAAGGCGTACCCCACCACTGCCTGGCCAATTATTTTTAGTTTTTTTTTTAATCCATCCTATTGATTTCTGCAGCACTCACCAATAGTATATGAGGGTTTGGCCTGCTTCCATCCTCAGTGTTTGTTGTTTTCTTTCTTCCTTTTAAAAATATTTATTTGTTTAAATCATGTGTATATGTGTGTGTGGGTTCATGCATGTGAATGCTGGCACCCTCAGAGGCCAGAAGATGATGTTGGATCCCTTAGAACTGTAGTTAAAGTCAGAAGTGGCGGCACACACCTTTAATCCCAGAACTCAGAAGAATCTCTGTGAGTTTGGGGCCAGCCTGGTTATATACAGTGAGTTCCAGGGTTGCTAGGATTACAATGGAGAGCTTGTCTCAAAACACTAAAAAAATAAAATAAGGAACTGGAATTAAAGGTAGTTGCCAGCCAGTTGATGAGAGTGCTGGGAACCAAACTGGTGTCCTCTGCAAGAGCAGTTGGTGTTTGTCACCCTTGAGCCATCTCCTCAGGCCCTGTTTCTTGATGAGGAGTTTGCCTATAAACAACTGGAAAAAAGAAGGAACACAATGACTTAATTAATTTAAAAACAGTGACTTACCTAGAGATCGAATGCCTTTTTCTTCAAGAAACTCGTGTAGAACATTTACATTGAGTTTTAGTATAAGTCCTAGTTCTGGTGTCAGTTTCCAAAAACCATCCTGTGAAATTAAAAATATATATATTGTTAATTGTAGATCCCATGTCATACAGTATTTTTCTAGCATGATTCCTTTTTCAGTATTAAAAATATACCATCAGACAAAGTGTGACATGGCCCCAGACCTTAGCACAACTGACTCCATGATGAAAGTACCATTCAGGTTGTTAGACTCAGCAGGTAGGCAGCATCACCTGTCAAAAAGTATGTCAACCCAGGACATGGTTTTTGTGCTTAAAACCTCACCCTGAGAAAGGCTTGGGGCTACAATGGGATCTCGAACACTCGGTGTAGTTGCCAGCAGGCTAATAAAGACTTGTGCAACTTGAGATGTTAAAGGTCCATAGAACTCCTTTGATCAATTGCTGCCTAATGCTTCACAGGGGTCTGATAACTCCATCCCAAAAGGAAACAAATTAGGCACCTTCTGTTTGGATGCTTAAGAGAGGTGGGACACAGTTGCTGATCCACTGTCTGAGACCCATATGAGATGTCACTGGATCTCTCTGTCTGTTCAGGTGTATAATTGTATGGTGGCTGTCTTTATTGTGTCTCTCTGTGTGTTTGTGTCTCTATGGTCTTTCTATGTGTTTCTGTCAGTTCTGTTTCACTGTATTGACCAGTGACTTTCTCTGGTGGGAGAACTCCTGGCTAAAGACCTGTGCTCCATCCCGTTGGGGACCTGAATCCTTTTTGGCTCTGCCAGGTCACCCAGAGAAACCCAAAAAACCTCCACCTGTCCCACTCCATCGGGGAGGGGGTCTTGTTTTGTTGCTTGACTCTTGCTCATGGTCAGGGTTGGTCCCTGTGTGGAGGTAGAAGGGGATTGGGACTCTCATTCAGAGGCCCCTGCTGTCCAAGCTGAGTGCACACAGGGAGGGGGAAATAGTTCCCCCAGGTGAGCATCCCCTCTGCTTCACTCCATGCCTGCTCTAAGCAGCCCCCACCCCTAAGGAGAAAGTTCCCCTGGACTGAGCCTGAGGGAAAAGAGAAAGTTCCACTCCTTTCTCTTTTTATAATTTTATAGAAAGATTTCCTTTTGAAGGAACCAGCTTCCCTTTCGGCAGCCATAACGGTCGAACATGTGCTTCTATGACCTTGCCCTAGACACTAGAAAGTCAGATTCCTGTCTTGTGACAAGGAACCAATCAGAAGTTAGCTGGTGGCGCTATGCTTTACTTCTGGGTGTGCTTTACGGACAAGCGCACAGCAATGACGTAGAGAGCATAGCAATCACCCTGGGAGGGCCTATGGGCCATAACAACCAGTTGACCAATCAACACAGGGCAAGCCCTCCAAGCCTGGAGGCACACCAATCGTGAGCCTGTGCGTACCCCTGGACACTCCCCTTACGCTGCCCTATAAAGATCTGTGCGCAGCGGCTTCAAACTGTCTTTGCTAGCCATCCGCCATGGTGGGTGGATCAAATACCCGAGCTAACATGGGGTTAGCTCGTTAAATTACAATAAAGCCTTGTGCAGTTTGCAGCAAGCTCTCGAATCCGCCTGGTGATTGGGGTGACCGAGAACATGGCCTGGGACCCTGGATACTTGAGTTTTTGGGGGTCTAACATTTTGTCACCTAGTCAGCCCCAGATATTTAAAAGAAAAAGTTATAAAAAGTTAAAAATTAAAAAATATAAGCAGGTCCTAGTTGCTGGAGATAGCTCAAAGGGTGTTTAACAATAGGTAACTGAATGGGACAAGATCGTTTGCATAACCTGAAAGCAACCGTCACCTTCTCTGACAATGAGATGCAGTTAGACTTACAGATACCCAGCAAAATTTTGGTGCTTTACCTCTATCAGAAGAATATCTCCTAGCTGAAAGTTCTGCCTCCAAACAAAAGATACGGTTGGACTATAAAACAAAGATCTCTCGTGTATGGGCAGAAACCAACACCCCAGGACTAGCCCAACATCAAGTTCCTATAATTGTTCAACTAACCAGCTCAGCTACACCCATTCAGATTAAACAATATCCAATGACCTTGGAAATAAAAAGGAAATTGCAGTGCATATTGCCTGGCTTGGAGAAACAGGTATCCTGGTGCCCTGTCAGTTACCCTGGGATACACCTCTCCTGTCTGTGAAGACACCAGGGACCTCTGATTCTCATGAGCCTGATTCTTCCAGAGAAACACGTGTCCACTTCCACTGTCTTGGACCTGAAAGATATGTACTTCAGCCTCCCATTGGCAGAGGAGTCAACCCATCTTTGGTTTTAAATGGGCAGACCCAGTGGGAGGTTATGATAGGCTGTCCCAGGATTTAAAGACACTAAATACAGACTTCCTGCCCTCTGTCAAAGGTTTCCTGGGAAAACAGATTATAAAAGGGCCACTGAGGGACTGCTACAAGAGTTACAGACCTTGGGTTACAGAACAGCAGCTAAGAAAGCCCAACTTTGAGCCCGGCGTTGGTGGCGCATGCACTCTGGAGGCAGAGGCAGGCGGATCTCTGTGAGTTTGAGGCCAGCCTGGTCTCCAGAGCGAGGACCAGGATAGGCTGCAAAGCTCCACAGAGAAACCCTGTCTCGAAAAACCAAAAAAAAAAAAAAAAGCCCAACTTTGTGCATCAGAAGCTACCTATCTTGGCCACCAGTTGAGGAGAGGCAAAAGGAGCCCACCCTAGAGTAGGATTGCCACCATCCTTCAGATGCCAACTCCAAAGACTAAGACACAAGTTCAAGAGTTCCTAAGCGCGGCTGGACATTTCTGTTTCTGGATACCAGTGTTTGTGATAACAGCAAGACTGCTATACATAAGCACAAAGATGTGGCGGTGGTGGAGGGACTAACCCCCTAGTCTGGACTGAGACTAAACAAAAGACAAAAGGGGTTTTAACTCAAACTTTGGGGCCATGGAAACGCCCTGTAACACACCTGTCCAAACAATTGGACTCTGCAGCCACAGGATAGCCCACCTATCTAAGAGCTGTAGTAGCTACTGCTGGTTTAGTGAAAGAAAGCAAACAAATTAACTGTAGCTCAAGATCTTACATTCACAGCACTCTACAACATTGTTTTGGCAGGACCACCTGCCAAAAGTAAAATGAAGACCTCATCCATCAAAGTCCATAGTTCTGGGAAAGTCTCATAATGTACCAACCTTGCTTTTTTTTTTTTTTAAGCTTCTGTAGTTCCTTTTCTGCCTAACTGTTCCTGTTAACTGTAGTATGTCAACCCAGGACATAGTTTTTGTGCTTAAAAGCTCACCTGAGAAAGGCTTGGGGCTACCCTGGGATTCTGAACACTCAGTGTAGTTGCCAGCAGGCTAATAAAGACTTTCTATTGGCTTAAACCCATGTCAGAGCAGTTTTCTCTGGTGAATATCCCACAATAAAAGGAGAAAGAAAAAAATGTATATCCTTATTTAATTTGAAACAGACAGCTTTTTCTAAACATAACAGTGTGTATGCATGTGTGTGATGTTGAGGAGGGTACATGTGTGCCATAATCCCAATGAGCTGGCTAGTTTTATGTCATCTTGACACAAGCTAGAACTTTCTGAAAGGAGGGAAGCTCAACAGAGAAAATGCCTCCATAAGATACAGCTGTAGCAGAAAAATGTGGTACATTTACACAATGTTGTACTACTCAGCGGTAAGAAACAATGACATCTTGAAATTTGCAGGCAAATGGACAGAACTAGAAAAGGCCATACTGAGTGAGGTAACCCAGACCCAGAAAGACAAACATAATATGTACTCACTTATAAGTGGATATTAGACATAAAGCAAAGGATAACCAGCCTACAGACTGCAACTGTAGAGAACCTAGGTATGCTGGGGCCATTATTATGGGTGGGGCCACCCCAGGCTGGTAGCCCTGGGTTCTATAAGAAAGCAGGTTTAGCAAGCCATGGAGAGAAAGCCAGTAAGCAGCCCCCCTCCATGGCCTCTGCATCAGCTCCTGCCTCCAAGTTCCTTCATGATGAGCAGTTCAGTAGGCAGAATAAACCCTTTCCCCCCCAGCTTGCTTTTGGTCAAGGGCGTTTCATCATAGCAATAGTAACCCTAACTAGGACACAGAACATGTTTGTGCAGGTTAGAGGACAACTTTGAGGACTTAGCTCTCTCCTTCCACCCTAATATTGGTTCAATGATCAAACTCAGGTTTTCAGGCTTGAAGCCTTTAACCGGTGAAGATCTCTCTCTGGCCTTTTAATTTACTAAAACAGTTTTACTTATTATAGCCAGGTGTGGTGGTGCAGAGGCAGGTGGATCTCTGTGAGCTCTAGGCCATTCTTATCTACATAGTGCATTCTAGGCAGTCAGGGATACAATCTTGTCTCAAAAACAACACAAATGGGACTGGGCTGCTTTCCCAGAGAATCCGGGTTTAATTCCAGGCATCCACATGGCAATATACAACTCCAATTCCAGGAGATCCAATGTCCTCTTCTGCCATCCTCTGATACCAGGCATGCACACAAATAATTAAAATTTTATTAATTGGTATGTGTGCACCTGTTTGAGAGAGAGGAGAGAGAGAGACAGAGACAGAGACAGAGAATATGTAGGCATGCATAGTATAGAGGTCAGAGAAAAGGTTTTGGAAGTCAGTTATTTTTCCATGGTGGGTTCCAGGGATTGAATTTAGATTATTGGACTCATGTGTTAAGCACTTTTACCCACTGAGCCAGCTCACTGGCTCCTAAAATTGATCTATTGAAGATGCTATTTTTTATTTTTGGGGGGTTTTGGTTTTGGTTTTTTGAGACAGGGTTTCTCTGTGTAGCTTTGGAGCCTGTCCTGGAACTAGCTCTTTAGAACAGACTGGCCTCGAACTCACAGAGATCCACTTGCCTCTGCCTCTGCCTCCCCAGTGCTGGGATTAAAGGGGTGTACCACCACCGCCTGGCTTTTGAGATGCTCTTAAGGCTATTTTCTTAATATGAAACTCTATCTCAACAAAATAAAGAACAACAACAAATGCTCACTGGTTGGGAGCATTTCCTGTCTTCTGGAAGCCCGGAGTTTAGTTCCCAGTATCCATGTTGGGCCACTAACAAGTACCTGTAACCCTATCTCCAGGGGATCAAACACACTCTTCTGGACTCCATGGGCATCCACCACCACCACCACTGCCACCACCACACACCCACACCCACACAACCCCACCGCCTCCCCACGCCCCACACGAGAGAGAGAGAGAGAGAGAGAGAGAGAGAGAGAGCATACAGATTTATATAAATAAGTCCCCCCAAATCCCAAACTACTTTATTTTTTTTTTTAAGACAGGGTCTCTCCTCTACAAAACCCTGGCTGTCCTGGAACTCAGGTAATAGACTAGGTTATCCTTGAACTCACAGAGATCCACCTGCCTCTGCCTCCCCAGTGTTGGGATTAAAAGTGTGCAACACCACTGCCCAGCTACACTACTTTCTTAACCAAGCAATGCTGTGAAGGTTTATAATTCCAGTCACTCAGAAGCTGAGGCAAGAGGATTGCAAGGTCAAGGCCTGACTGTCTCAGAAAATATAAGAGGGCTGAGGACATGACTCAGCAAAGTTCCTGTTGAGGAAGCATAGGGATTGAATTTGGATCCCAGGTGCCCAGATAAAAGCTGGTGCAGTGTGTGCTTCTGTAACTCCAGTGCTAGAGGGGCAGAGAGAGGCAGACCACAGGAGCTAACTGGCCAGGTAGTCTAGCAATGCCAGTGAGCTCCAGGTTCTGTGAGACATTCTGTTTAAAAATAAGGTGGGGGCTGGAGAAACAGCTCAGCAGTTAGGATTGCTTGCTGTTCTTTGGAGGCTTGAGTTCAATCTCTGGAACCCACATAAAGGTACAGGAGAGAACAGACTCTACAGATATGTCCTCTGACCTCTAAGTGTACACCTTGACATGTGTGTATCTACAGTCATATATCAGGCACACACATAAAATAATAATAATATATAAATAATTTTTTTCTGAGACAGGGTTTCTCTGAGTAACAGCTTTGGCTGTCCTGGAACTTGTACCGGGGAGGCACAAACGGGCAGATCTCTGTGAATTCAAGGACAGCCTGGTTTACTGAGTGAGTTCTAGGACAGCCTCCAATGCTCAGAAACTCTGTCTCGGAGGGGGGAGGGGAGATGTATGCCAATAATCCTAGGTATTTGGCAGGTAGAGGCATAGAGGCAGGTGGGTCTTAACTTCTAGCCAAATTGGACCACACAGAATGTTCCAAGTCAGCCTGTGCTATACTTCAAGATACTGCTTTAAAAAAAGTTAAACCTGGAGCTAGAGAGATGGCTCAGTGGTTAAGAACATTTAATATCCTTGCAGAGGACCCAGTACAGCTCCCAGTACTCACATCAGGTAGTTCATAACCACCTCTAAATACAGTTTCTGGGATCCAGTGCCTTCTGTCCTATGCAGACTTCTGCATGCACACGGTACACACAAACTCATGCAGGTAAAACATGCATACATACAAAAACAACCTTTATGTGGGATTCAGAGATCAAACTCAAGCACTTTCCCCACTGAGCTATGGTGCCAGCCCTCCACCACATTTTCTAATTTTTATTTCTTATTAAGATTTTATTTTAGTGGTGGTGTGGTGCACACCTTTAATCCCAGCACTCGGGAGGCAGAGGCAGGCGGATCTCTGTGAGTTTGAGGCCAGCCTGGTCTCCAGAGCAAGTGCCAGGATAGGCTCCAAAGCTATATGGAGGAACCCAGTCTCAAAAAACCAAAAAAAAAAAAAAAAAGAAAGAAAGAAAGAAAGAAAGAAAGAAATAAGAAAAAAAAATAAGCTAAGGTAGGGCATTTATAAGTAAGAAAAAGTCTCTGTGTGTATTTACTTGGGAGCTGGGTAGTGGACCTCAAAAGAGCCAAACAGTAAAAAAAAATTCAACTACAATTGACTAGCTTAATGTATGGAGTGCTGCGCCCCTCCACACTGCTACATATTAACTGCTATCCATATCTCCTATAGAAAAATATTTAGAATACTCACCGCACCTATGTCTACTGGGCAATAGGAAATTCCTATTGGTTTCAATTCCTGGTACTAGAACTTAGGAAGTTAGTCCATGACCTCTTCAGGGATGCTAATTTTAACCGACAAATTTTAACAGTTGCTAACAACGAATGACAAACATCACCCATCACCATGCAGACAGAGTTTTAGTTCAGCTACCTATTCTCCCACGAGGGCACATACCCTGGACCACTACGGAGGACGGAGGACCGGCAATACACTGTTCTGTGGTCAACTGCTCTGAGAAGCACTGCTGTAAACTGTGAAGCTAACTGACCACAGATCTGAGGAGAGATATGAAGAATACCTGGGTTTGTAGAGCAGAGAGTGAAGCCCACGGTAAAGGACAGCTTTCTTCATAGGGTACAAATTTCCCATCCTCCTCTGAGGAAGCATCACTTGTTACAGAAGTTTTCTTCATACTTTCTAAAGTCACGCCTTCTGCACATACTACTTCGTCCATGTCTGTTTCGAAAGAACTTTCATCTGATGAGGTGGACGAAACCTTGTCTGATGACGCAGTGCTGGGAGAACCAGCCAATGGGAGAGCCGACTCAAGTGGATCCATCCTACCAATTCCAAGGCGTTTGGCACTTAGAAAAAGAAGAGAAGAGGGACTCTGGGGATGCTCAGAGCTAAGAACATTGGTGGGAAGAGGAGGGACAAATGGTGGCTTAGTAGGACTGCAAATAGGCGGCATAAAATTAGTGCAAAAAAGTGACCCATGAAGAGAATCCAGCTCACGGGCTTTGGGAGAGAAGACGCCGACGTTGGGGTCTTGGGAACCTTTCCCTAGATCAAAATCCCCTGAACTACGGAAAGAAGCCACACGGCCAAAGCCCACAAAGCGCTGCCCGGGAGAAGACCCTAAGTCATGGGAAATGTTGATACCTCCTAAAGGCTTAGGGGTTTGGCCGAACATATTTGAGCCAAACTTAAATGGGGTGAATTCTCTGGGGGAAGGAGGAAGATGGATGCCACCAGGGGGAGGGGGAGGAAGAAGGGTGCCACCAGGGAGAGGGGGAGGAAGAAGGGTGCCACCAGGGAGAGGGGGAGGGGGAGGAAGGCCACCAGGGAGAGGGGGAGGAAGAAGGGTGCCACCAGGGAGAGGGGGAGGAAGAAGGGTGCCACCAGGGAGGGAAGGAACGCGAGGGGGAGCGGGAGGAATAGGAGAAATGTGGCAGGAAGGAGAGAAGAAAGCAGACTGGGAGCTGCAGGGAGAATGGAAAGGAAACCCAGCAGAAGCCGAAGAACCCAGGGAAACAGGCCCAGCACTTAGTAGTTTAGGCGTCCGCAGTGTTCCTTTTTTCATAGCCTCCACCCGAATCACACCCGATGGCCGGTCCACATCTTTCGATTGCGAGTGGTCCTTGAGAGATTCTGCTGTTGCAAGTGACTGTGGCTCTAGGGTCATGTCTTCAAAACCTTCAGAAAGTTCTAGACCACATATCCTTATTTTTTTTTTACATTTTTTACGAAAAAGTGGCTGTTTCTCATTCCTTTCAGAGGAGACCGAGAAGGGCTGTCCAGGTGGCAAAGTTGCGCATGCGAAGAGAAAACAGACCAAAATAAATTAACAAACGTTCTTCCAAGTAGCGGGACAATTGGGTTGTTAGGGATCGCTCATCCCAGAAATCAACCCTGGCCCTGGGAGAAGGACTTTTAGCTAGGTGTGGTGTGGTGGGGCACACCTCTAGTCTCACACTCAGGAGGCTCAGATCCTAAATTCCAAGGCCAGACTGGGCAATTTAGAGAGACACTGTTTCAAAATAAAAAGTTAATCAGGCAGTGGTGGTGCACTCCTTTGATCCTGGCACTGGGGAGGTGGAGGCAGGTGGCTTTCTGAGTTCAAAGCCAACCTGGTTTACAGATCCTGGACAGCCAGGGCTACGCAGAGAAACACTGTCTCAAAAAAACAAAAGTTAAAAAACGGCTAGGGACAATGCTCAGTGGTGGAGTGTTTCCCCATCTTGAGCAAATCAGACTCTGGGTTCATTCATGAACACACCAAAATAACAGCAAAGGATAAAACAATATGTGGTCTGGTCAGATGGCTTGGCAGCCAGAGACACTTGCACCCAAGCCTAAATTCAATCTCAAAGATACACATTAGAACAGAGAGACCCAATTTGTGCAAGGTGTCCTTAGATCTCCATGCGTCCAGCCCACTGTATTCTCTGCCAGCATGCAAATAAATAAAATAAAAAGATAAATAATTTATCATTTATTTATTCCTGTCCTACTACTGTTCTATACCCAAGGCCTAAATGTATTTAGTTATGTCTTATGGTACAACCCAGGTTGACCTTGAACTCATGTTAATCCTCTTACTTCAGCCTTCTGAGTGTGAAATTACAGTTGTGAGCCACCACACCACTTCTGGCTAAAAGTTTTATAATAAGCTAATAGACAAAGGCCAAGGGTAAAAGGCAAAAATTTTATATGATTTGACGAGAACCAGAGCCATGGGTCCCGGCCCAGGGGTGGAAGCACAGGATAAGTTAGTAATCTGGGCTCCTATATGGCTTTGGTCCTTCACCTACATGTGCCGTGTGCACACACAATCCTCTTTGAACAAGGCACCCAGCAACTTCAGAACCCCTTCAAACCCTACCTGCATTGGCCTGTACACATACCCCTTTCTGGATAACAGAAAGTTTCTCCTTCACTAACAACATCAATCTTAGACATTTTCTGTTCAAAATATTCCTAATGTATTTGGGTAAGAGATCAGAAAACCTAATCTGGTTTGAACTGGTTTTAGGTGGATGGACCGTAAGGTATGTCCTCAGAGTGAACTTGTAGGAGAACTCTATTTACTACCTTAAGCCTATGCATAACTGGACACATTTGTGATTAAAATCAGAAGGAATATGTACAGTAGGAAAAGATTAGATGGCCTAATCTATCAATTAAAATAGAGAACCACCTAAACTATGCCCCTTAGCAACCAAATCCCTTTTTCTCTGGAAGGATGCCCCAGATAACTGGGGCCCTTGGGCATCTTTGATCATGTGGCCTGCTATTCTCTCAAAGTGTATTCTGACATATTCTATTGCTCTGCCTGTTTGTTTTTTTCTCTATCTATCTATCTATCTATCTATCTATCTATCTATCATTTTGAGATAGGACCTCATCCTGTAGCCCTGATCAGCCTAGAACTTGTTACATAGAACAGGCTGGCCTCGAACTCACAGAGATCCTCCTGCCTCTGCTTCCTGAGTGCTGGGATTAAAGGAGTGCATCACTATGCTTGACCTTATTGCTTTGTTTAAACACAAGTTGTCTTGAAGCTGCTCTTCCAGAGGACCCAGCACCTACCTTGATTGAGTCAAAACTGCCTAATGCATCTCCAGCTACAGGGTGTTGGATGCTTATTTCAGGCACCTGCACAAAAATGCACACAAATACACATAATTAAAATAAAAAAATGTAAGTAACATTATCTTATTCATGTTGGTCATCTACATCAGTCCTTACTTAGTGTCAGCTCTTAAACCTGGAAACACCTTGCCTAGACCCAGACCTCAGGTAACTGGTCTATAATATCAGCATTTGGGAGGCTGAGGCAGGGGGATCTTGCGTTTGAGGCCAACCTGGCTATGTAGGGATTTCTGGTCAGCCTGGATTACAGTGAGACTCTATCAACAAAGAGAATGGGGGTATGGGGGTGTTGTTTTTCATATTTTATTTGGGCACTAAGAATAGAACCCAGGGCTTCTCACAGGGAAGCCTGCTACAGATGAACTATAACCCCAGCCTCCTTGTTTGAGACAAGGCCTTTGAAATTGTATTTCATTTGTTATTTGTGTGTGTGTGTGTGTGTGTGTGTGTGTGTGTGTGTGTGTGTGTGTGCATATGAGTGCCATAGTGCATGTGTGGAAGCCAGAGGACATTTGGGAGTTGGTTCTCTCTTTCTTCTGTGGGTTCTGAAGATCAAATCCTTGTGGTCTGGCTTACAAGGCAAGCACTTTCACCCATTGAGCTATCTTGCTGGCCCATGAGACATTGTCTTACTCTGTAGCCCAGGCTGACATAAAGCCAGATAGGTAGCCTAGGCTGGTAGGCCAGGCTGGTCTGGAATTTGCTATGATCTTCCTGCCCTAGTCTCCTGAGTTATGATTACAGGCATGAGCCTGATGGGAGAGCTTGTAGGTTCAAGATACTTTTATTCCGATAAATACCAGCCAAACGCAAGCCAGAGCATGCCAGGGGCAGCTGAGCAGCGAGGCCAGGGAGAAGGGGGAGGAGAAGGGCTTCCATGCGCTCTTCCGTCCCTTTAGAGCCCATTCCGAGTCATTCTGACCTCACCTTGACCACGCCTTGACAGGTGTGCGTGGTCAGGCACACCTGTGGCCAGCCTCTAACAGGTGTGGCTTACTGTCCCCTACAATTCACCTTTTAGTCTAAAAGAGGATTAAAACTTAACAGAAGTATCCAAAATTAACAATCATAAAGGTGAAATACAAGAAATCTGCTATTGCACATCCTAACCATGTCTATTTCAGCTAACCCCTAAAGTCATCTGTAAGACGTGTCCAAACCTGAACACCTCCTTCCAATCCCAACCCTAAACAATAGGCTTTACACTTTTATTACACTTGTGTGCATGCACTCTCTCTCTCTCTCTCTCTCTCTCTCTCTCTCTCTCTCTCCCTCTCTCTCTCTCTCTCTCTCTCTCTCTCTCTCTCTCTCACACACACACACACACACACACACACACACACACACACACACACACACGAGAAATATACAAATAAATAACTATAAATGGCAAACTGGAAAAACAAATTTTCTTTTTCCACACCTGATCAAGTAAACACTTGATTATTTTTTCTTCCTTATTCTGCTTTTTGTTTAGTTCTAATTAATAAAAATAAAAGTTTCTAAATTTACATTTTTATAGGGTATTGTAAATAAAAACAAATTGTATACTTGAAAAAAAAAAGAGAGTATTCTTGCTGGACGTTGGTGGTGCACACCTTTAATCCCAGCACTCGGGAGGCAGAATCAGGTGGATCTCTGTGAGTTTGAGGCTAGCCTGGTCTACAGAGAGAGTGCCAGGATAGGCTCCAAAGCAATACAGAGAAACCCTGTCTCGAAACAACAACAACAACAACAACAACAAAACAAAAGAGTGTATTCTTTTTGTGGCCAGGTATAGTGTCACACACCTTTATCTCAGCATTTGGGAGGCAGAGACAGGCTGATTTCTGTGAGTTCCAGGACAGCCTGGTCTACATAGTGAGTTCCAGGATAGCCAGAATTATGTAGAGAGACCCTGTCTCAAAAAAGAAAAAAAGAATGTTTGTCTTCTATTCATTTAATTCAAACAAGGTTACTGTTTGAATTGACAGCTTGCCTTGCCCCAGCAGCAGCTTCAAAGTCTGGTGTCTACTGTGTTTCTTGATTTCATGAAGGACACACATTCAGTAACTGTCGTGGACCACTGGGCCTGTGTGAGTTCACTCTAGGATGTTCACACATCCATGAGACCTCTTCCAACATATCTCTCAGAACTCATCCCCACCATTAAGCAATGAATGGCTGGATCTGGTGGTTGCACTTACCAGTGTTGTGAAGGCCTCTGGCTGCTCTTCTTTCCAACTCATGTATGGCAGAAAGTCTACATCTTCTTTGGCAACAAGTTCAGAAATATTTGGGACATTAGCAAAAGGAATCTCATTACCGTCCTACATAGAATCACAATTGGGTTAAATTTTTTAAAAAGATAGTATCAGATTAAATAATTAACACATTCTAAAGCTTTGTGGCCGTTGGGCTTAGATGGAGATTTACGTGGCTCACTATGAGGGCATTTGCATATCAATCATCAACCAAGAAAACGCCCTATAGGCTTTGCCTAAAGGCCAATCTGAACAATAGATCTAGAAATTAAAAAAAAATAATAAAATTATAGTATGTCTTTTTTGTGCATGACTGCGTGTTGGGGCTTAACTATAGTATGGTACCACATCCCAGCCCCCAAACTATCATAGATGTCTTTTTTTTTTTTTTTTTTTTTTTTTTTTCAGTCTTTTCAAGACAGGGTTTCTCTGTACAGCTCTGACCACCCTAGAACTCACTCTGTAGACCAGGCTGACTTCTAACTCAGAGATCAACCTGCCTCTGCCTCCTGAGTACTGGGATTAAAGGCATGTGTCACTGCTTGGCTTTTATAGACATCTTAAAGTATACATACAGGCCAGCAGGACTACAGAGAGAATTCCAGAACAGCCAGTTAAGGCTGTTACACAGAGAAACCCTTTCTCAAAAAACCAATATATATATCACATACATAGGGCTAGTTAATAACCAAAACATTAAAAATACTAACACATATGTGCTGATTAGTTTTTGTCAACTTGACACAAGCTAGAGTCATCTGGGAAGAAGGGCCTTCAACTGAGAAAAAGCCTCCATCAGATTGTAGGTAACTTTGTGGAACATTTTCTTGATTGATGATTGATTTGGAAGGCCCCAGCTAGCTATGGGTGGTGCCATCCGGTCAGGTGGTCCTGAGTAAGCCAAGGGGAGAAGCCAGTAAGCAGCCCGCCTCCATGGCCTCTGCTTCAGTTCCTGCCTCCAGGTTCCTGCCTGGATTTCCTTCCATGAGAGACTATGACCTTATGATGAAATAAACCCTTTCTTCCCCAGATTGCCTTGGGTCAATTCGTTTTATCACAGCAATAGAAACCTAACTAGAACAACATGCTATTCATGTAGAGAAATTAGCCAAGTGCTAGCAGGAACATCCTCCTAATAAGGAGGCCCTGGCTCCTCTATCCTGGCTTCTATCCACTTTGTCCTTCATAACCTCCCAGTGTCATTACTGGGTTTTGTTGTGAAAGACCCCTGCCCATTAGCTCCCTCTCTCGCTCTCGCACACTCGGTGACACGCCCGCGAGCGCGCGCACACGCCCGGCCGCCGGCGCCCTCCCAAGCTGGTCCACCCCAGCAGGGCCCGCGCCCCCGGCCCGCCCGCCTGGCACCGCGCCCTGGGGCTGGGGCTGGGTCTGTTGTACCCAACATAAGATAGAGCCAAGGTCGCCTGATTACCAGACCTTGAGAACATGCTGACTTGAAATAACTCTGTACCTCATTTAAATTGTCCAATAGAATCCCTGTAACTATGCTTTTCGCTTCTGTACTGTGCTTTTTGCTATATAAGGACCCCTCTCCCTTAGCTTGGCGCGCTTGGCCTCACAGAAGCTAAGTCACCCCGGGTACCCGTGTATCCAATAAAGCCTCTTGCTTTTTGCATCCAAGTTCGTGATCTCGCTGATTCCTGGGTACGGGTCTCCTTCTATGAAAGTACCTCTTCGGGGGTCTTTCAGTTGTTTTTCTAATATACAGTCTCCTTGTGTATCCCTGGATGGCCTAGAACTCACAATGTTGATCAGGCTGCCCTCAAACTTGTGGCAATACTGTTTCTACTCTGAAGTACTAAGATTATAGGTCTGTGCCACCACAACTAGATGTTGCTTTTGTTTGTTTCTTTTTGAACCAGAGTTTCTCTGGATAGCAGCCTTGGATGTCCTGGAACTTGCTTTGTAGACCAGGCAAGCTTGGAATTCACAGAGATCTACCTGACTCTACTTCCACCTCCTGAGTGCTGGAATTAAAAGGGTGCACCACCACACTGCAGGATGTTGCTGTTTTTGACACAGAATTTCACTGTGTAGCCAAGTTTGAACTCAATCTCCTGCTTCTGCCTCCTAAGTGCTAGGATTGTAGGTATGCCTCCACACCTAGAGAAAAGCTTACTGCTTATTACATTCCTTTTTATTTATCTACTTATTTTTGTTTTGTTTTGAGACAGGGTCTCAGTAAGTAGCCCTGGCTATACCACCTGCCTTTGCCTCTCAGTGCTGGAGTTAAACACCTGCACCACCACTTTTGCCAATAATCTTTTTCTTTTTCTTTTTCTTTTTCTTTTATGTGTGGGCGCCTGCAGAAGCCAGGAGAGGATGCCAGATTATTTGGAGTTCAGGTTGCTATTGTAAGTCATCTGTGGGTCTGTGGGCTCTGGGAAATGAATTTGGGTCCTAGCTGAGCCATATCTCCAAGTCCAATGGTGACTAAATAAAAATTTAAACTTAAATTAATAATAGTACATACCCTTTTCTCAACTGCCACAAAGCTTGTAAACTGCGTAATTAGAGAATTTTCTTTACTGAGTTCAATAATCAGAGATTTCATGATTTTTTTCTTCATCTAGGATAGAATGAAACTGTGTTAGTTTGTTTATATGTACTGGGATTGAAAAGGCATAAAATAATCTGAAGTGTTTTCCTGTGACAAATAAGTCATTTGATGTATACATTCACTTTCTCTTCTTAGATTTTCTTTTTTGAGGTAGTCTTACTATGTATCCCCAGAACCTGCTATGTAGACCAGGCTAGCCTTGAACTCACAGAGACCTACCTGCCTTTACCTCCTGAGTTCTGGGAGTAAAGGCATGAACCAGCACTCCTGGCTCATCCATTTCTATTGAGACAGCGTCTCGTGTCTTAGGCTGGCCTGGAACTCAGCTATGTTGCTGCTGATGACTTTGAATTTCTGAACTCTCTGTCTCAACTTCCCAAGTGCTGGGACTATAGGTGTCCACCATCACACTTGGTTTATACAGTGCTAGATACTGAATTTGGAACCTTGTGAAAGAGGGGTAGACCTTCTACCAACTGAGTTATATCTCCCACCCTACATAAATAATTTTATAATTAGTATTTCAAATTAGACACTCAGTCAGGGGTCCTGTCTAAGTATCATAGGTAGGTGACATATGATTTCTGTGACGTGAGAGAGAAGAAATTTAGTTACACAGCCCTCTACAACTTTCAGAGCACTCTCTCATGCTGTGAGTCTCCTCATCCTCTCAAAGTTCCCACTGTGAAGTTCCTTGTTTAGGTATCGTTCCTTGTTTAGGATCATTCAAAGCAAAGCTAGTCAGATGCATGCAGAGATAAATGGGCCTTAAGTCAAAGGGGATACAGAGAGAGCTAATCCAAGTGGTCACTGAAGGGAGTAGGCAAAAGCACCTTGACCTACGTACCCCCATTTTGACTTCATATTCCATTTTACCCATAGGGTGAAACCAAGTTCAGGGTCCCAGGCTCTAGGGGAGATAAAAACTTTTCAATAGCTGATCCACCTCCTCCTTAAACCATAGAAATGGTCTGTTATGTATCTTTAATTCTCTAAAACATCATGGCTGCTCCTAACAACTGCAAGAACAAATGAATCTGATTGGTTGGACTGAAAAGCTTAGTCTATGTCAGTTGACAATGATAGAAAACATAAAGAAAAGCCCCTAATCTTTGAATCCTGATTGGTAGAAAATTGCAACCCTTACTTGGCAACAGGTTTGTGGCTTTTGTGTTTATAAACCCTGCTTTAACCCCTGCTTGGGGCTGTCAGGAAAACAAGGCTCCTGATCCTTGTTGTGCAGCCCTGCAACGGTCAGTGGTATGGAAATCCTTTTTATGAATGCCATTGAACACCAATGCTAGAACCTCATTTAAGACCTCGGCTTGACCAAGGTTGTTGGCCAAGGGGGCCCCTCTGTAAGAACAATACACCTGGATGACCCTGACCCCACCCCCTAACAACGGGGCACTCACCCGCCATGCATTGCAACCTGTGAGGTGCAAAACCCCAGTGCGCATATGCAACCTTTCCTTTAAAAGGTCCTGCCCCCCTCCCCCCCCTTTTCTAGTAAATAAACTCCACGTGGGTTGTTTATCCGTTGTTCCTTTCTTTATATCAGCAGCTGCAGCTTAAACAAAAGCACAACACCCTCTGCCAGGACCCTCCTCTGTCCATCAAGGAGGGAGCAAGGTGAGTGTGTCTCTTCCTAGTGTCTTGAGGCATCTGATCACCGTCCTGCCTCTGAACTGCTGAGTTACAGCTCAGGAGATGAGAGATGATGGCATCCCAGGCATTCTGTGGACATCCTGTGAGCACCCCTCTAGACTATTTCTCACGGGGAGAAATCACACACGTCTCAGGAAGTCATTGCCGGTAGCTCTTTCATTAATGAATCCAGCAAACAGCCACTGGGCACCTGCACCCCAGGACTGACATCACAGATGTTGATGGCTGCCCTGACATCACACTCTTCTTTATTCAGCCATCCCTACTCTGTGTTGATATGAACGAATTAAGAATGTCATAGAACAATGCCCCTTGGTCTTTATGGGGAGAACAAACCTCGTGGTTGGTTTCATTGTCATGGAGAACACCGTCTTCATAATCTCTGATCAGCGCTCGAGCTGCCAGCTTGTGAATCATCTGTGTGTAAGCAACGAGGGGGGGCGATTAAAATGGCTTTACATGTGTGTGAGAGACAGGTGAGTGCATGTGTGTGTTAGCTCATGTGCATGGTGCAGACATGCTAACAGTGTGTGTGTGCAGGTCAGAGCACAGCCTTCAGGTGTCAGTTCTCCCCTTTCCACCAAATTTAAGATTTTGCTGCTGTGGTAGCAAGGCTAGCAGGCTTCTGGAAGGTCTCAGCACTTGGGAGGCAGAGACAGGTGGATCTCAGTGAGTTTGAGGTCAACCTGGTCTACAAAGTGAGTTCTAGGACAGTCAGGACTGTTACACAGAGAAACCCTGTCTTGAAAAAACAGGGAAAAAAGGAAAGGGAAAAAGAGATCTGTGCCTTCACTGTAACCATCAGCAACAGTAAATGAACAGTTTTCCTCAGTTCTGAGAAAGGACTCAGAGAACCCCCAACTCCTATGTAATCTTGGCAAGCTGGACAAGCAGTAACGTGAGGACCAAGACTTGCAACTGGCATCTGAACTGGGGAGTTTTGTGTGGCCAAGCCCTTACCCAAAGGGGTCTGTGACAACTTGTTAGACAGAATGTGGTGGTGCATGAGTGGAGGCTGAGGCAGGAGAATTGCTCCCTATTCAAAGCCATCTTGAACTAGACAGTATCTCAAACAAAAACAAACAATCACATTTTGTTTTGAGAAAAGGAGGTCTCATGTAGCCTAGGCTGGCCTCAAACTTGCTTTGTATCCAAGGAGGACCTCACATTCCCACTCTTAATGCCTCTACCTCCCAGGTGCTGGGGTTGTAAATGTGCCAACACAATTCCACCTGGCAAAGATCTCACATTTACTTGCAGTTACTCATACCCATGGACACCTGTAGAGATACACCCAGATCAAAGAATTCCAAATGAAGACCCATTAAAAGGTGTGTCCCCATCCGGACTGCACAGAGAAGCCCTGACCACCCTTCATGTGTGCTGACACATCAGCACAGAAAAGCAAAGGAAGTCCATGGAGCTTATAGGAGAAAATTGAAAATTGTAACCTTCTGTCCATAGCTTAAGTGTATGTGTGTGTGTGTGTGTGTGGACCTGGAAGCAGGAGGTAGACTTCCACCTGCTTGCTAGTGCTCTCCCACTGAGTCTACCCCGCAGCCCAGTACTTTAAGGTTTGAATATTACAGTCCCAGTCGTCTTCTGCAGCTCAGTAGTTGACACCATTGTATGAAATTCCTTCTCTTGGATGAATGCACACAGAGTTGCCTGAAACAGGAGAAACACGAATGTTTCGTTAGCTTTTCTACTCCCAGTGTGTCACAGCTGTTCTGTTAACGTCCTCCCCTCTCAAGAGAAATCAAGAGCTCCCCCAGCCAGATACCCAGGGGGAGGGAATCATAATGCCAACAAGAGGCAAATCCACATTCACTGTCTTTCCCATGCTGGGAAGAATCAGGCATCTTTTTACCTGTGTACAATGAGGAATGAATCCGTACACGAGGAGTCGGTCATTATGAAACAAGGAGGGCACCTGGGCTGGAGCCTGCAGAGGCTCAGGGGCGTCTCTGCTGAGCTGCTGCCACTTCACAGAGACAGAGTGGCAGCTCGGGGAACGTATCCTGGTCATTTGGGCTTCTATCTGTAATAAAAGAAAAATGCTTCCTCTTCAGTGGTATCATTTGACAAGCAGCCTGGGGTGTATCTCAGTTGGTAGAGTTGCCTTGTAGGGATGATTGAATGGCATTAGTCCCCAGCACCCTAAAATAGCTACTTAACACTTGAAAGCTTAATTCTGTCTTTGGGGTTTTTATAGCTTTTTTGGTTTTTCTTTTCTTCCGGTCATGGGGTACTTTTCCATGGGGGGAAAAATTGAGACAAGGTCTTACTCTGTAGTCCTGGCTGGCCTGGAACTCGCTTTGTAAACCAGGCTGGCCTCAAACTCATAGTGATCCACTTGTTTCTGCCACCTGAGTGCTGGGACTAAAGGTGCCAACAGATTAAATATATGTATTTTTAGTTTCTCTATTTCAGTTTGTGGCAATGTCTCAACCATTGGTGGCATTTGCTACACGAGCTTGGCAACTCTGGTATTGCTCTGGGGGGATTGCCAGTGGGAATGTGAAATGTGTAGCTGCTATGAAAAAAAGAATGGCAAATCCTAAGAGAATGAAAGTTACTACATGAATCAGCAATGCCGATTCTGAGTACAAACCCATAATCGAACAAATGGAAGGGCTCAGACAGATACTGGGCCAGTATTCGCCTCTGGGTCATTCACAGCAGAATACGGTAGAAATAAGCCACGCCCATAGATAGGCTAACAAATGAGTGTGTGTGTCTATGATGGAATTATTTTATGTGTATATTTGATAGACTGTTAGTCATTTCTAAAATGGGTACTGTGGCACATACCTAAAATCTCAGCACTGGTGCAATGGAGGCAGTAGGATCAGGAGTTCAAGTCCAGCCTCAGCTCAGCCTGGGTTATATGAAACTCTTTTTTCAAAACTCAATAAAAAAAGGTATTTGGCATTAAAATGAAATGAAATCCTAGCCAGGCAGTGGTGGCGCATGCCTTTAATCCCAGCACTCGGGAGGCAGAGGCAGGTGGATCTCTGTGAGTTCGAGACCAGCCTGGTCTACAAGAGCTAGTTCAGGACAGCCTCCAAAAGCCACAGAGAAACCCCCGCCCCCCAAAAAAAGAAATGAAATCCTGCCAAAAACTCAATACAGATGAGTCTTGTGGACATCATGCTAAGTAAGTCAGACACAAAAGAATAAATGTGTTATGCCTCTGTATCTAGAAGTATCTGGAAAAGGCAAATTTATAAATTTGTAGAATATATATTAGGCATTGGAAGTAGAATAGATATTAGGCACTGGAGGCAGCAGGCAATACAGCGTTATTATTTAGATTTTCTGTTAGGGATGGTGATGAAGTTCTGGAAATGGCTGGTAATGCTGGTTACACATTGTGAGTAAATTTATAACAATGAAACTGACTTGTAAATCTTGCAAGTAATTTATCACATTGAAAAACTAACCACTGGGTGTAGTCACCTCTGTAAACCTGTACTGTGGGGTAGAGGGAAGAGGAGAGCTGGGATTAAAGGCGTGAACCACCATGTCTGACTTGGTCCTTATTATTTAAGAAAATGTTTTTAAAAGCTTTGACCTCCTTATAGGTCTTGTCTATTCACAAAAAGACAGAAGTTACTATCACACTTGCAAGAAGATAGGATTTAAAAACAGGAATACACATAAGATGTTTTTAAAAACCCACATACCTGTTTTTTCCAACTCTGCTTGGATTTTGAGTTAAAATATTCAAATACTCCAGCACCACACTGAGACAAGGTCCTTAAGATGTGACGATTTGCTGTAGAACTGATCACATTTCACACATTTTAATTTTTGTTGTTACTTTTTATTTGTTTTGGTTTTTCGAGAAAGGGTTTCTCTATGCAATATCCCTGGCTGTCCTGGAACTCACTCTGTAGACCAGGCTGGCCTTGAACTCAGAGATTTACCTGCCTCCTGAGTGTTGGGAGCCACTCAGCCTACTCTCAGATCATCAGCATATGACCACCTGTCTAACCGGTTTCCTCTTGGCAAGGCACCTGTGGAAACGGACTCTCACTTGTCAAGGACAAGTAGTTCACGGGACAGTGTAGGAATTTGCAAAGTTCATGCAGCTCACAGGCTCTTTTCTCTCTCATTATATTGGTGATTCTTTGGGTGGTTTTTAGTTTTGCTTTGTCAGTCACACATGCAACAGTTATAATTTTCTCTGGAAATTCTGTTCCTTTTCAAATATTTTCCCTTAAGATTCAATGGGGTGGGGGACTAATGTTTCTCAAATTTCTTATTTGGAGTTACTAACTACAACTACTACTAATCCTGGGAACTTTTCTGACTCAACAGAGACAGGTACATATGAGAAAACAACACTTGGAACACTAACCATGTCTCACAGTTCTGGCAAGGAGAGTAGGGCATGCATACACAGAACAAGGAAAAGGCCTCAGAAATACACATAGTGCCAACTGTTGAGAGTAAGCATAGAATCAATGGTAGGTTCTGGTAGGTTCCAATGGGGAAAATACAATGTAAAATATGATATGAAAAGCTCCACCTTCACCATATACAGGAGCTTATCTTGGTGGAAGAAGTACGGTACAGTGAGATGGGAAAAGAGTGCCTTATCAAAGCCTGCCTTTTACAGATTGAAACACAGGCCCCTCTTGTAGAAAAGGGAAACTGTATAAAAAAATATCTTGCAGACATGAAAGCATTATCTGAATTTGACTATTGTCCTTAAAACATGTACCCATGTCTATTACATTTTAACTCTATAACTGCAAGTAGCTCAAAAGAGCAGGATATGTCTGACTTGATATTAGTTAAGCCTGCAAAAATGCTGAACTCTATGTCTAGAATAAGGTTATGCAGGGGGTGGGAAGGTGTATTTGGGGAAGCATAAAGGGAAACAATGGGGGCTTTCATTATGATTATGTTTTCCTTAAAATATGACATATTTCTTAAAAGAAAAAAAAAAGGAGCCAATAATAAAGCTGCTCATGTAACCCCAGTAAGAAAAACTCTAAGTATAAATAAAGACAGCTCAAGCTATTCAGGACCACTTGAGTGTATCCACTTGGTGGTCAGTTTTCCTTCTGACAATGACCCTTCCCTGCCACAGGATCTGAACCTGAGCCCAGGCTGAACCCTGGTACCTGAATGCTGGGATTAAAGGTCTTCCTCTGTTACTTTGAGAGTTCATGGCCAGCTTGGGCTGCTCGAGACCCTGCCACAAAGCCAGGCATGGTGGCACATGCTTGCAATCTCAGCATTTGACAGTCTGAAGTGAGAGGATCATAAATTCCAGACCAGCTTGGTCTGTGTAATAATTTCCCGGCTAGCCTGGTCTATTGAGTGAGACCTTGTCATAAAACAAACAACTAATGCAAAGGGGAAAAAAATAAGCAGATGCACCGAGAGTTGTGCAAACAGCTAGAGCTACTTTTAATCACTTATAGCCATAGTGCACCTTCAGAGGCCATGAAGAGACAGGAATGGAATGCTGGGAAGGTATGTGGGTGTCTTGGACACCAGACAATGGGGGCTTGTGGTCAGAGCTCTCTTGTAAGGACAGCACAGCAAGTCTACAAATCACCTCACTAATCTGCCTCATGCCCTGCCTCAGAACAGGGGCACAGGGACCTCTGGTGTCCTGGGGTGGGAGCTGTGCAGGAAGAATCTAGGAGCTTCGGGCCAGGCACCAGGTGAGAGGCTTTACACAATCAGCAGGAGCACCCTGCCCTGCCCCGCCTCGCACTTTCCTTACACAGATGCTAACTACAATTGGCAAGAATGAGTCCAACAACTTGTGGAAAGGGTTTCAGTGCAAATGCAGGAAACTGATAGATAGATAGATAGCACAGGGAGGGAGAAGGCAGGTGTGAGACAGGGTAGCCCCAAGTGAAGGCATTGTCAACCATTCCCAAATCAGCCCCAGGGAGCTAGGCCAGGCCGCTAAGGACAAGCTAGTCACCTGAACTCTTAAGCAAAATAATAATCCCATGAGGTAGGTATTTCATTTCCATCGTCATTTTACATATGAAACAGCCTGCCCAAGGTCCCTGTAGCGGTGGGACCCTGGCAGCATGGTCCCAAGCCAAGAGCTCAGCCCCTCTGCAACATACAGGTTTCATATACTCATACCAACTTCTAAACTTGTCCCCTAGCTGCCTTTGTCACCATGGAGACCTGATCTCCGAGACGTACCCGACAGCACAGGTGAACAGTCTGGTGTGCTGGATATTTCTTTTCACAAGCTGCAAGGTCAGATTCTCACTCTGGAGGTGCCCATCAGATATGAGGAGAATGTTCCGTAACCCTTCAGAAGGGTACAGGAAACTTAAATAGCGGAGAATTTTCCAGAAGTCTGTGTTCCCCAGGGTAGGTGCTGCAGACTGCAGGGGAGGAAGCGTCATATCTTAAGGTACATTCATCAACTGTGGGGTGAACGTGTCAACTGCTACACTCTGGATGTTATGACAAATTAAGGCTCCTTCCAGTCCCCCAGTAAGGATTCACTCCAAACACCAGGGGATGCTGAAGGAAAAGCTCTTTAGTGATAGTGATGTCTGGTTCTGGCAAATGTCCAAAGAGAAACTGGTCCTGAACAAAAATCCTTCGCAGCTTGGATAGATTTTGAGCTATAGCGTTCCATATATGCTGTCACTTGTAAATCTCTTATAAGGCCCAGATCCAAGTTACGATTTGAGCAATTAAATTAAACACATTTAATTTAAATTAATTTAATTAAATTAAACAGAGACAGACACTGCAATCTTGGCCATTTTAGACAAAAGGGACATTTGCACAGCAAATATATTGTCCCAGTTATTTTGTATCAGAGCAGTGCTGTTCTTCTTGGGTAGTTGTTAACCCGAGTCCTCCTGCCTGGCTGGCAGTCTTGGTGAACAAAGCTTAACAGACTTCCTAACCCTGAGCTCTAACTGTATTAGAGGTCTGCTCTACTTTTCTAATCTTTCTGTAGTTCCTAAGAAGCCCGGTGACCACATCACTTATCTTCCAGTCGAATCTGAAGCAGCACTCCTGTAGCTAAATTCTACTTTTGTATAACTTAATATTTCCTAGGTAAGTTTACTGGCAAGTCTTTTTAACATCAGTTTATTACTCCCAGCCTCTCCATCATGGACACCCGCCTGATGTTATTAATTCCTCATTCATTGAAGCAAGCATGTCGGAACCTGGAGACACAGTGTCATAAAAAATTAGTTTCATGGAACAAAGATACTTATATCCTTCTAGTTTATTCCATGCCCCATAGCAACTATAATACTACCACTGAATATCTAAAAACTCGTTTTCAAGGAACTGAACATCTGTGCAGAGAAACATGTTGCCGAAGCAACCTTGAATTTGCCGGCCTGGGCAATACGACGGTTCATTTTCCAAAATGCTTATGGAGTCATATAGTCATATTTTGTGGTAGGGATGTAGCCAATTTTTCTTCCTGGTTGTTTAATTTTTTTATTATATTTTTTGACTTGTGTAGGGAGTGAGGTGGAGCTCATGGTTGTCATGGAGCACGTATAGAGGTCACACAACAACTTGTGTAAGCCAATTTTCTCCTTCTAACATGTGGGTCCCAGGGTGGAACTCAACCAATGTCTTTACCACTGAGCCTTCTCACCAGCCCCTTTCTTAGGCTTTTTTTTTTTTTTTTTTTTTTTTTTTTTTGGGGGGGCCCCGAGGCTGGCCTCAAAACTTTCTAAGTAGCTAACTTCCTTGTTCTGAATTCATGATCCTCCTGCCTCTGCCTGTTGAGTGCTGAGATTACAAATTTGACTTTTCTCTTTTCACTCTTGCTAAATTCCAGTTAAATAAAGGTCATGCCATTCTTACCATCACCATCATCAGAGGCCACTGCTGTGGTATGGATAACTGGCATCTCCCATCCCACAAAGGTTTTATTATCTGCCTGTGGTACTATTGGTAGTTGATGGGACCTAGTGTACTAGGATTCAGATTGGGGTGTGTGCCCTTAAAGAAGGGGATACTAGGCCCCTGGCCCCTGCCTTTCTCTGCTCCTGAGCCCTGAGATGAATGACTCTCCTCCCTCTGCTGTAATAAGCTGTGCTGCCAAAGGACCAAAGCCAGAAGGCCAAGCAAGTACAGTCTGAAACCTCTGCAAGTGTGAACTAAAGAAACTCCTCTCCTTATGAATTGGTTTATGCATGCATTTGTAGAAAAAGCTGACTCACATCCACCAATGTGCAAACATCCCAGGATTAAGTTCTGGAAAGCACCACTCAAGCTTCAAAGACAAAGACTCAGGAGGGGAGGACAGTTCTCTTACCATAATGAATTCTGTGGCCATCTTATTGTTTGCAATATACTTAGGATATGAAAATAGCTCCTTGTAACCTGTGTAATAAGAAGGTATGACATATTGCCATTAAACACTCACCAAACTGATCACTAATAAACACCAATGCTACTGTACAATACTGCTTCTGCCGTAAAGAACATTAGAAATTTATGTGAATGTTTCCTTTACAGAGAACTATGTACAAACACTTTAATATACAAAACACTCATGTTTCAAGCATATTTTATAAGCTCTACTATATAAGATGTTCTTAGTCAAGTTTTACATAGAGATCTCTGCATCATCCATGAAAAGCAAACTGGAGGACACTTCAGTGGCATGGGCAGCTCAGCCCCCACAAGGCAGAGATTCCAGCAAAGTGCTCACCATCCATGTTCCTGGCAGAACAATCTTAGCTTCATTGTAAAAAAAGCTAGATGGATGGCATAGAAGATGACAGTCAACAGGACAGGATTGTTCCCTGACCCTACTCTAATCTATCTGTCTGTCTGTCTTTCTATCTATCTATTTATTTTTGTTTTTGTTTTTCGACACAGGGTTTCTCTGTGTAGCTTTGGAGGCTATCCTGGCACTCGCTCAGTGGACCAGGCTGAGCTTGAACTCACAGAGGTCCACCTGTCTCTGCCTCCTAAGTGCTGGGATTAAAGGCGTGCACCACCACTGCCCGGCATTTATTTATTTATTTATTTATTTATTTATTTATTTATTTATTTGAGACAGGGCCTTGCTCTGTAGCTCAGGCTAGCCTGGAATTCACAATGTAGCCCAGGCTAACCTTGAACTCTTGTCAGTTCTACCGCCTCAGTCTCTGTAGTGCTGGGATTACAGAGATGAGCCATCATGGGGCGGCTCAAAGGCACTATTAACCATTTGATTGGTTATCCTAAGATTATTCTTGTAATCCCTTTACCAGTATGTAATGCCCAACTAGGATGACATAGCCAAATAACTGTGTTTTAAGCCATCTTAAGTAATTTGGTGGTTAAGCCACTAACCTGATCCATAGATGGAGCCACCACTCCTAGCACTGCCCTGTCATATTCTTGAGTTGTCCCTGCTCTCCTTCCTGGAGGGTGACATTGACCTTCTACTAACAGTGCTGGCCTGGTGCTGCCTGAGCCATTTCTAACATATTATCTATGAGTGAACTGGTTGCAAATGTTGGTCCTGTCTTTTGGGCCTTCCTATTAAATAAACCAAGGTTCTTATGTTTTGTTCAGCTGATGATTACACTGGTCACATTTGTGTCTTACCAACTGTATGTATGTATGTATGTATGTATGTATGTATGTATATATAGCAAAGCTTAAAATCATTGGCCTATGTTAGCTCCACCCATACAAGACTATGATGTCAGGGCTATAGTCATACAGATGAGAAAAAAACAAGGCACCAAAAGTTTAAGCAGACTTGCCCAAAGTGACTGCTGAGCTTATGAATGGGAGAGGTGGGATCTTCACCAAGAGGTGCTGACTTCAGCCCTCTATGTTTCAGTTTCATGCTAAGCTATCTCCCACTGCACAGGCGAGGCCAGCCAGGCCCCATCAGTCTGCACATGCTCATGTTAAAGAAGAGATACAGGAAGGACTGGGGACAGTGCACTAACCTGTGCCAAACTGCATAATATTTACTTTTTGCTCCTCACCCACCAGAGACAAAGCGTACAGGGCAACTTGCTTGGCTTGCATGAATGTCACACCCTCCATGGAATTGGAACAGTCAAGACAAATAATCACTTCATTCTTTTCACGGAGATCAGGAAGGGTAGCTGCAAGATCCGGTTGAAAGACAAGCATGCAAGCCTAAAAGGAGAGACACTGGGTCAGAGGTTCTCAGAATTTAAACAGGGAAACACCTACAATTCTGAAAGCGTTTAGGGCCTGTGAGATGGCTCAGTAGGTAAACATGCCCTTTGTTCAAGCCTGATGACCTGACTTCAACCCCCAGAAGCCACAGGGAAGTAGAGAACATGCTCCAAGTTTTCTTTTGGCCTTTACAGGCTTTCTGTGGCACATGCTCACAACACACACACACACACACACACACACACACACACACACACACACACACACAGGAACTCCACACTCAAGAACTTAAAAGAAGAAAATATCCAGTAAACTAAGGCTACCAAGATAAAACAGATAACAATTTCTCTTTTCATTCTTTTGAGGCAGTCTCCACCATCTAACAAAAGCTAGGCTAAAATTGCTATAGTCAAGGGTGACCTTGAACTTTTGATTCTCTTAACTATTTTTCCAAAGCACTAAGATTACAGGTATGTATCATCACTCCTAGCTATTATTTTTCCAATAATAAAACCACCAACTGGGGGCTAAAGAGTGGGGGGCATTGTAGGCATTCAAATAAAAAGCAGAATGTTAGAGATGGAGATGTAAACATGAAGGACAAAAACACCTGAGAAATCAAGAGTCTACAAGGGGTCTGGGATACAGTTCGTGGTAGAGTGCTTGCCTAGTACAAACAAAGGCGTTGGTTTGATCGCCAGCATTGCATAAAATGGATGTGGTAGTTCCCTGTAATTCCTACCTATGGGTAGTAGAGGTAGGGGGATCCGAAGTTTAATGACTTTCAGGCCAGCCTGGGCTACACAAGACCCTGGTACCTCAAATATGGACAATCTAAAAAAACAAAACAAAACAAAAACAAAACAAAAAAACACCCCAGAAACCCCACAGGATCTGACCTAATGAATGGCTGCATCTCTCTCACTCACACACTATTATTAAAGGAACACAGATGCTGCAGTGACTACTAAAACATGTGCACAAACCTCTTCTTTTTTTTTTTTTTGGTACAAATGCTGCTTGGCCAATGACTAGGATTCTCATCTGTTAGCTCAGTCTTAATTATCATAAATCTATATATTTTATAAGACTTATCTTATTGGACACCTTCCGTTGGTGTCCTCCCTTGCTGGTGGATGAAAAGGGGAAAAGAGGACACTTCCTGTTTGTCCTTGCTTAAATATGAGTCTCCTTGCTATGTCATTTCCTGTCTGGATCATCACTTCTCTACTACATTTCCCAGAATCCTCTTTGACTCCTAGTCCCGTCTAACTTGCTGCCTCATTGGCTAAATAGAACTTTATTTATCATCCAATAAGACAAACACATACACAGAAGCACTTCCCCCATCATCACCTCTTTTCTGTCTAAATAAAAAGGATAACTTATCTTTTATAATAACTGAAGAAAACTATAGCCATAACTATCTGTCTTCAACTCTAACAAAGACCACAGAAGGATAATATATAAACTCTAGAACTGACAGAGATATCGCTGCCTGGACAGTCACCCGAAGTTCCTCTGTAACGTTGGAGTACCCATCTTCAGCCTATAGGCCACAGTGTGTCTGGCAGACTTCTCAGTGAAGCAGGAAATTTTAAACTGTCCACCTGTATTGGCAGTTTGTCAGCCACTTTCCTCTGTGTCCTGCAGAATGTCTGGCAGATGCTTCCATGAAGCAGGAACCCTTCAGGACTGCCCATCTTGTTTTGTAAGTTCAGCAGTCACTTTCCTGAGGGTCCTGCAGCACAAACCTCTTCTTAACCAGTATGTAAACTAGTCCTACTATCTTTAAATTTCAGTTTTGGGTTTTTTGTTTTGTATTTTCTTTTTTTTTTTCCACTTGGAAAACGTTGGAAATGGCACGTCCAACACCCTTTATCTTCTCTTTAGCTCTTCTGCTGAAAAATTTGGCTTTCACGATGACAGGTTGCTTAGGGAGCTCTCCCTTCCCCAGAACTTTGTAGTAGCCTGATTGATTGCACAACATCAGTGATGGGGGCAGCTCCAATCTTGTTCTTGGCAGCATTGACCCGTATCTGCTCACTGACCAGTGTCCACACTTATCCAGGTTGACAGTCGGGCAGAAGCTCTGGTTCCTCTTTAAGTGGTAATGCCTCATACCAACTTTCCCAAAGTAACCTGGATGGTATTTGTCGAAGTTGATCCTGTGGTGATGCATGCCTCCTGGATGCTTGCGGTGGTTACCAATGCGACAGTGGCCATGGCTCACGTGGCCCTGGAGTTTCTGGGTCTTCCTCAGTCTGGATGGCATGGCAGCAGCAGCTTGTTTTGTATTTTCAAGACAGGATTTCTCTGTAGCTTTGGAGCCTGTCCTGAAATTTGCTTTGTAGACCAGGCTGACCTCGAACTCACAGAGCTCTGCCTGCCTCTGCCTCCCAGGTGCTGGGATTAAAGGCGTGCGCTACTACTACCTGGCAAGTTTCACTTTTAAGTTCTGTTTTAATTTTGTTTTTTATGTGCATGGGTGTTTTGTCTGCATGGTTATCTATGTACCATGTGTTGCTGTAAACAAAAAGAGGATGTTGGATCCCCTTAACCAGAGTTTCAGATGGTTGTTAACCTACCATGTGGGTGCTGAGAATCAAACCTGGGTCCTCTGGAAGAGCCACCAGAGCCACTGAGCCACCTCTCCAGTCTTTTAAGTTATTTTTATTAATTTTTTTATTTCTAAATTACTTTGTTTATTTAGTGTGTATGTATGTATGGGCACATGTGTGTGGAAGTGAGAGCACAATTTGTGGGGGCCTGTTCTCTTCTTCTGCCAAGTGGGTATCTCAGAGCAAACTCAGGTCTTCAGACTTCCTTTTAAGCCCCAAGGTACAGTTTTAATTTTAACCAAAGTAGCAATTATTTGTTACAAAGGCACACAATTGTATTATGGCCATAAGTAAACACACACACACACAAACACAAACACACACACAAACACACACACACACACACACACACACACACACACACACACATTTGGATTTTCAAGAGAGGGTTTCTCTATGTAGCCCTGGTAGTTGGCTCTTAAGCTAGGCTGGCCTTGATGGGATTAAAGGTGTGTGCCCCCACTGTCTGGCTAATTTTATTTATTTTTAAAAAGTATTTTAACTGCATTTTGCTTATTTATTAGTTTATTTATTTTTATTTGTGTGTGTGTGTGTGTGTGTGTGTGTGTGTGTGTATGTATGTGGGTGGGTGGATGCACACATGACCCTGTGTGCACACGGAGGTCTGAAGAAAATTTATGGGAGTTGCTTTTCTCCTTCTAGCATGTGGGCTCCAGGGATCTAAACTTGGGTTGACAGACTTAGAGGCAAACACCTTTAACTCCTGAACCATGTCTCTGGGCTTTATTTTTCTAGTATCAGCTGTTTTTTGTTTGTTTGGTTGTTTTTTTTTTACATTTACATATTTGTGTGTGTTCGAGTTGAGGTCAGAGGATAACTTGTAGAAGTCAGTTCTCTCCACCATGTGGGTTCCAGGTAACAGGAATACCAGCTGTATCTTGGTAGCTGTGTCTCCTGGCATATAAAATGCCTCATGCAGTGAAACATCCTTGAAACTATAGTCAGGTTGTTCCTGATACATCAGAAACTAAGGCACCAGGGCATTTCACATGCACTAAGGCGGAGTCTGCATCCTAAAAAGACCCACCTCTCTTGTAACATCACTCAGACTGTGATTCTGTGCCATACACCCTGTGGGCATTTCTAGAAGGTCATAGGAAGAAATGCCCTAAGATGAAGGTGTGATCCACCATGATTTGGGAGGGAAAGGGCCACCTCACCCCATGAATAAACCACCCGTTCTGTAAGTATTCATGAAACTTGCTAAAAATCCATGAAAAAAGGCACTGGGCTTCTTCTTGCCTTTGTGACAGCCCACTTCAATCTCTTTGGAGTGTTTGCTTTGCTTAGCTTTGCTAAACAAACTGGCTAAACTGTCTATGCCTCTAAACTGTCTTCTTTCCTTAAAGGAGACACAGACCAAGAACCACCCTCACCCCACTAACACCAGATAGGGTGGCACATGCCTGTACTTCTAGCACCTGGGGGACTAAATCAGGAGGATCACAAGTTCAAGGCCAGTCTGGGATACAAAGAAAGTTCAAGACCAGTTTAAACTACATAGAAAGACCCTGTTTCAAAAAACAAATTCCAACTTTAGTAGCATATTCATTCATATATTTTCCCCAATAGATGGTATCTCCCACTTATACTATTATCATTATCATCATCATTATTACTATATTTTTGAGACAGGGTCTTGTATAGCACATGCTGGTCTTAAATTTTGTATGTAAGGATAATATCAAACTCCCGATTTCCCCCTGCCTCTACCTCCCAAGCACTGGATTAATAGGCACGAGGCACTATGCTCAGCCACTTCATGTATGTATACATGTGTGTATGTATGTATGTATGTATACATGTATGTATGTATGTATGTTGGTGTTTTCTTGCTATGTAGCCAAGGCATGCCTTGAACTAGTGGTAACTCTCCTGCCTCAGCTTTTTTAAATGAACTATCACATTTGGCAGTGTTTCTTACTCCTAAGTAAGAAGGAACATACCTCACTTTCTTTTTCTGGATGTTTTTCAACCCACATTCTTGGGAGATAGGCATCATGCAAACCAATGTGGAGAGAAAATCCACTGCTGTCTAAGGAGCTGCCTTCCACAGTGCTAATTACAGCTTTACAGTCTGTACTCTGCAAAAGAAAACAAGCACACAACAAGGTAAAGAAGGGAATGACAGCATCCTGCCTGTCTGTACTAACCTGCCATCCCGTAAGTACCTGGATTATTCACATAACTCCATTATGAAGCAACACTGCAGTAATACATTCCAAAGTTATGAATGGCCACTATCAGATGGGTTAAGTTTCTGAAACTCTCAGGTTGACCGGTACAGTCAAATCTAGTTAAGTCTGAGACAATTCATTCTGTATCTAAAGATCACAGATCTATATGCTTATCTGGATACAGCAGAAAGCATACCATATAATCAGAACAACAAAACAACATTCAGGAGACACCTTGAGATTATACTTTGTAAAGTAGGTATTCGTAAATATGAAACAACATTTGAAGGCCGAGATGATAAGTTTTAAAATAAAGATGACCACACAGTACACTGTAAAATGGCCACAGGACTCTGCATTCCAGGACACTGACGCTTTTTGCAGTGACTTAGGATCTCCCCCATTTGGAAGTGGCATCTATTGTTCTACTCTTGAATTTGCCAAGGGGTTGACCATGTGACTTCCTTTGGTCAGTACTACTGGCAAATGTGATACAAGCATGAGACTGAACAGTATGCCACAGGGCTGGCCTTGACTTGTTGCCAGTGGGAACTCATCCACCACCACATGAATGACCCTGAACAAGCGTGATTACGATGAGAGACACACAGTGGCCATACAAAGTGACACAGGCCAGCAGCTATGTTCCTAGACTATCTTGTCCCAATCAAGTCACAGCCACCTGCGGATGAAAACTGATATTTTAAGCCACAAAGTTGTGAAACTGTTTGTAACAAAGGGAACGGATGAGGAGGGCTTGCTCCAAAATGATTAAACCCGCACACTAACTTCTGCTCCCTAGAGAAAGCTAAGATCTCATAATGGAAGAGAATCAATAAAAACCATGTGTGGGGTCACAAGAGGACTGGGGATAGCAACAAAGAAAGCTGCTAACACATTTTTTATTTTTTGCTTGTTTGTTTTGTTTTTTTGAGACAAGGTTTCTCTATAGCTTTGGAGACTGTCCTCCAGCTCACAGAGATCTGCCTGTCTCTACCTCCTGAGTGCTGGGAGTGTGTGCCACCACTGCCTGGTCTGTTAACACATTTTTTTTCCTGGAGCTGAGGACTGAACCCGGGGCTTTGAGCTTTCGAGGCAAGCTCTCTACCACTGAGCCAAATACTCACCCCCTTGATAACACATTTTTAGGAGGATGAATAATTGTGAATTTGTGGTAGGTGACTTAGCAAAAACAATTTCTACCCAAATGAGACAGAAGCCTACAATGTACTCATTGGCTCTGAGGAGCCAGGAAAGGAAGGCTCACAGCCTGGAGGCACCAGTTACTGAGCCCTGGGCAGGAGCCTCTGACCCATGTAAACCAAGCAGTGTCATTTATCCCTCATCTAAAGGAAATTAGAGATGTATTACTTAAGAGAATTCAGCCAATAGAACTCAGGCTAGGAAGCTTTGGGCTTATGAAGCTTAGAGTACAGGGCTGCTTCACTTAAGGGAGAGAAAAGTTAAGCCAGCATTCTACACCAGCCCCTTACTCATCTTTCCCCTTCATCTGCAAACATCCTGATTTTAACTGACCAATTCTTGATCTTATTCAGAATGATGAATACAAAGAGTCACCCATACTCTTGGACTTTAAAATGAAATATGGAGACAATAAACAAAAAAGCCAGTGTGGGAAGAAAAACTCACAGAGACAGGACACAGGAAAAAAAGAAAAAAAAAAAAACATTAAACGTATTTTCAAGCCAGGCATGGGGGCATAGAACTTTTTTTTTTAATTGAGACAGGATTTCTCTGCATTATGCTGGCTGTCCTAGAGCTCATGCTGTAGATCAGGCTGGCCTCAAACTCAGAGATCTGCCTGCCTCTGCTTCCAGTGCTGGGATTAAAGGTGTGCATCACCACCCCCACCACCACCACCACCGGGAGCAAGGGGGCACACAATTCTAATTCTAGCTTTTGGAGACTAGGGCAGGAGGCTCAGGAGTTCAAAATTAGCCTCTGGTACATATCAAGTTCAAAGCTATATCCCCAGCCTGGAGGTCACTTTTTAAAATGAATATTATATAGAGGTTAAAAAATAAAATGTCAGTGCTGGAAAGGTACCTCAGTGGTTAAGACCATTTACGGCTCTTGCAGAGGGCTAAGGTTTGGTTTCCAGCACCTACATGGAGGCTTATAACTATCTATAATGCCAGTTCCAGAGAATCCAATGCTGTCTTCTGGCCAGAATGGGCACCAGGCACTCAGGTGGTATGCATATATGCATACAGGCAGACACTCATCACAGAAAATAAAAATAAACAATTTTTTGTTGTTTTTTTGAGACAGGGATTCTCTGTATAGCTTTGTTAGCCTGTTCTGGAACTTACTCTGTAGACCATGTTGGCCTTGAACTCACAGAGATCCTCCTGCCTCTGCCTCTTGAGTGCTGGCATTAAAGGCATGTGCCACTATTGCCTGGCCAAAAAAAAAAAAAACTTTATCTAAAAAGAAAATACCATCCTAATACATTTATTGGTGCAATGATAAACATATTTACATACTCCTATCAAAACAGGGTGTCAAAAAGCAACTTCCTCCTCACCCCAATAATGAGGATCAAAGCCAGGGTTCATACATGCTGGTCAAACACTATACACTGAGTTACACCCCATCCTTACATAAAGTAGATGAATAAAGACAAAACAGTAAAAATGAATATTGAAAGCCCTGGGACAACAGCAGAGAACAGCTCAAGTGACAACTGGACTCCAACCTGTGGAGCAGCAAGGGGCAATGACTGCTGCTTGTGGAAGCTGGTGTCTTGTTAGATCACTTTTAGACCACATACATACATTTTTGATATGATAAAATTAATGATAAACTAGGAGCTCTTCAGAAACCAGTGCAGGATTCACTGACCTTTTGTCTCAGTTCATGTGTGTCACTGGAAATGAATTCAATCTTGTAGGGCATCTCAATGGACATAGCCAGGGAGAAGCTACCAAAAATGAAGAGGACATATTAGTACAGGATCTTAAATTCCCACTCACAGTTGCTTCAAATAGTTTTTCTTCTTTTTCTTTTCATTTTCACAGCACTAAGAATCAAAGCCAGGGCTTCATGAGTAAGAGCAAGCAGTCGAGCAGTGAACTCTACCTCCCAGCCTTTCCAACATTGCAAATGAAAACTTCAGCTATAAAGCCAATGCCCATTGAATGAGTTAACCCACAGGATTTATATTTTAGGTACTGACCTTTGCTTCGTCCCTATTTCCTTTATACAAATCTTCTCCACTGTATCCTGTTAGAAGAAAAGTATATGTGAATAAGAGAATTTCCAGTAAGTTTTAGGGTACTACAGTGATCTCAGCCAAACACAGCTAACAGCATCAAGAGAGACAGATTCATTTCCAAGCAGTGACACATAGCCAGGAACACCTCTAACCATTACTGTAAAGATTTTTTTTTCTTGAAATTTTTTTTTCTTAATGCCTGTAGGTGTTTTCCTTGCATATGTGTACTAGGTATATCAGTGATTCCTCTGGTACTGGACTTACAGTTTTTAGCTGTCATGAGGGTGTTGGGATTTGAACTCAGGTCTTCTGCAAAAGCAACAAGTGCTCTTAAACCACATAGCCATCTCTCCAGCCCAATATATATATATTCACTATGGTGCTTTGGCTGTCCAGGTTAGCTTTGAATTCACAGAGATCTACTCACCTCTTCCTCTCAATTGCTGGGATTAAAGACGTGCTATACCTTGCTTCCATCAAATCTCATCTTAAGCACACCCACCTGAAGGTTCTCATTCAAAGCCTTGTCCTGTTGCCAGGGCGCTACAGTGGCAGGCATGAAGAAGATGGCCACAGGGCTTTGGATGCTGAGCTCCGTGATGTAGGTGATTTTGATGAGAACCTTAGCCCGAGGGGGTAAGTTTCCAACACTCACAGTGAAGACATCCTGAAATACAAACAGCTACTCAGAAGTGTATCCACTCTCTGCTAGTTAATTCCTTGTGTCACTAGAGTGAGCCAAGTTCTTTCTCAGAAAATGGTGACAGACCATCGCTAGTGTAAAGGGGAACTCTGGAGCAACTCACTAGTGATGGGGACAGGGTGACATCTGTGGGAAGCAGACGAGAGGACAGCTATTGGGAAAGTGCTCAAGGCACTCCACATTGAGTCACTACTTTGCACTCTGCCACGTGGGTGTCCCCACCCAACCCCTTGAGGGACCTGTGGCTTCTTTGACCTTGATGGCATTTGGCACCGGGTCCCCAGTGGGTGCAGAAAGTGGCTTTCAGCTTGCCCTAAGCTGAATCTGCTCAGTAAAGGGTAAGTTTATAATTGCACTTTTTTAAAATATCTAAAACCCTTTGAATGGAATATGATAATTATTGTAGAAGCCAGCAATCCAATGATCGGGAAAATGGAAAAATAGGAGAAATACTTTTCAGTCTTTCCCCTTTTCTTTCTTCTTGCTCTGTCTTCCTGCCTCCTTCCCTTCTTTTCTTTCTTTCCAGTCTCATGTATCCTAAGTTTGCCTCAAGCTCACTCTATAGCCAAGGGTGACCTTGAATGCTGAGCCTCCCATGCTAAGACTCACAGGTATGTTACACCATGCCTGGTTTGTCTGGTGCTAGATGGAACCTAGGGCTTCAAGCAAACACTGCCGCCTGAGCTACTACTGATATAGGAGACACTGAGAATAATAAATTAAATTATGAAGCCACTATTAAGACTGTTTAGGAAATACGAGGTTCCACAAAGTAGAATTTAGCTAAAGGAGTGCCCCCAGCTCTCTTAATACAGGAAGAGCATAATTCTGCCAGGCAAACAGGAAACAGGACAACCCTGGTTGGCAGCTGCCTGGGAGAAGCAGCCCTGGCCCATCTCGGGATGACTATGACAGTATCTAATGTCATAAATCTCCCCATTTGAAAGGGACAAGATCGGCCGGGCGTTGGTGGCGCACGCCTTTAATCCCAGCACTCAGGAGGCAGAGGCAGGTGGATCTCTGTGAGTTCCAGGCCAGCTTGGACTCCAGAGCGAGTGCCAGGATAGGCTCCAAAGCTACACAGAGAAACCCTGTCTTGAAAAACCAATAAATAAATAAATAAATAAATAAATAAATAAATAAATATAAATAAAATAAAAAAATAAGAAAGGGACAAGATCTCTTGACTTAATTGGGAGCATGGAGGGGAGGGGAGAGGGAGCTAGAAGAGAGAGAAGGTGAGAAGAGGAGGGGAGAGGAGGATATGAGAGAGCAGGAAGATTTAATCAGAGGAAGAATAGAGAAGAGCATGAAAATAGATTCCATAATAGAGGGAGCCATTATAGGTTTAAAAAGAATTCTAGCACTAGTGAAATGTCCAGAGATCTATAAGTTTGACCCCTACTAACAATCTAAGCAATAGTGGAGAGGCTACCTTAAATTTAAATGCCCTTCTCTGATAATGAGATTGATGGCTACTTTATATGCCATCCTAGAGCCTTTATCCAGTAGCTGATGAAAGTAGAAGCAGACACCCACAGCTAAACACTGAACTGAACTCTGGAATCCAGTTGCAGAGAAGGAGGAATGATGAACAAAGGGGTCATCAAACAAAGGGCTGGAGAAACCCACAGACAGCTGACCTGAACAAGGGGGAGCTCATGGACCCCAGACTGATAGCTGGGAAACCAGCATAGGACTGTTCCAGACCCCATGAACGAGAATGTCAGTTTGGAGGGCTGGACAATCTATGGGGCCTCTGGTAGTGGGTCAGTATTTATCCCTAGTACATGAATGGACTTTGAGAGCCCACTCCACATAGAGGGACACTCCCTCGGCCTAGACACACAGGGGAGGGCCTAGGCCCTGCTCCAAATGATATGACAGACTTTGAAGATTCCCCCATGGAAGGCCTCACCCTCCTTGGGGAGCAGATAGGGGTTGGGATAGGTGGGGGGGCAGAGTAGGAGGGGAGAGAGACGGAACTGGGATTGGCATATAAAAGAAGCTTGTTTCTAATTTAAAACTGGTCTAATTACCATTATAAAATAATATATATATATTTATTATATATATAATAAATCTCCCCATTTGACCAAACAACCAAACCTTGGAATTTCTGTCTCTTTGCAACATGTTTAATGACTCAAAGTGTAATGTGGGACTCTGAAACTATATAAGCTGAAGCGGGCTTCTGTTCAGGACTGGTTCCCTTTTGTGCATTAGCCAGAGCCCGGCATGTACTATTAGTAAAGAGTTCTTCCTTATTCACCTCTACGTGCTGGAGTGACTTCTCACTGGGGAAGCATGTTAATTCTCTAACAGTATGTGCCCAGTTCTAGACCTGCCTTTTTTCCTGGTATCTAAGGAGCGCATTTCAGCATCTCTAAATACACTTGCCATTCTCTCTATGATACAAATTTAATGCATTGGGATTAGAAGAGTAGGAGATTAATGATTAATGTAGGCTTAAGTGTTAGTGATATTTTGTTTGTTTTTAAACTTATTGAGTGTGTGTGTGCATGATTGATGTATGTGTGGCATGAGGTGTGTGAGTATGCATAGCTGCGTGAATTGTGTGTGAATGTGGGCATGTATGTGCCATGGTGTGCACATGTACATGGGAGTGAGCATTGCTTTCCATATATGCGTGTGGAGCTCAGATGACAATGACAAAGGAAATCCACTTTCTCATGCTACCTTTGCGTGGGTTCTGGGGACCCAACTCAGGATGTTGCGCTTGTATATCAAGCGCTTCTCCTTGCAAAGCCATCTCACAAGCCCTAAATTTCTGCTTTTGACATTAAGTACATCCATTTGTAGGAACGTGCTAAAACAACACAGGGAAATTATTAAAGAATTCGTAGTGCCAGTCCTTAAAATGCATGAGTGGGAGCCCAGGCATGGGTTCATCCGATGGTAAAGGCACTAACCACTGAGCTGATGACCTGAGTTCAGTTTCCTGGACTTATGTGGTAGAAGGAGAGAACCAACTCCACAAAGCTGTCCTTTGACTTTCACATGCTGTGGTATGAGAGTGTGCACGCACACAGAATGAATGAATGAATGAATGAAAAGAGAAAAGCAACTTATCCCATAGATCAGTATTAACCTTTAGTGTGTTCTTCCCTCAACCAAACATTAAATTTATAAAAGCACTTTCAAGAAATGCCTTCCAGGTTATAACTGGGTGAAAACAGGACATGTTGATAGGTGAGTTTAGTTCTGGGAAAAACATAAATTATTACATTTTACATTTGGGATTGTGTACTCCAAATGTGTGCCATCAGTTCTGGAACCCAGTGCCCAGTGGTTCTTCCTGTTTCTTGTAGTACCGATTTCATTTCCCCATTTATTTGGACAGCTCACATGGCTACGCCTGGCTTGGCCTCCTTACTCCTAAGGGATTTTCATTAGTGTGTTTGAGACAAGGTCTTGCTAGTTAGCTCTGAACAGCCTAAAGCTTACTATGTAGAATAGACAGGCCTTGAACTTGCAGCAATTCTCCTGCCTCTACCTTTGAAGTCCTGAGATTATGGTGCATAGCACCATCTATGATATTTACAAGAGATTTTATAAGCCTAGAGTACTATGAATGATTTTTGTTTCTACTATGGATTCCTATTTCAAATCATTTCCTATAATACACTGGCTACTGGATGAATAACGAGCTGTACCGGTGTGTCCTGGTCCATCAAGTAAGCGCCATGGCCTTGGCTGATAGCCTCTCTGTATTCCTGCTTGGCTTCCTCCTTCTCCTTTATCTGGAAAAGACAATTATTATGATGATTTTGTTTGTTTTGATTTTTTTGAGACCAAGACTAGGCTAGAATTCATCATGTACCGCAGACTGCCCTTGAACTTGCAACAATCCTCCTGCCTCTGTTAAGATCACAGTTATGAGGTGCCATGCCCAACTTTGGGAAAGACTTTTTTGTTTTGTTTTGTTCTTTGAGACAGGGCTTCTCTACATAGGCCTGGCTGTCCTGGAACTCGCTCTGTAGACCATACTGGCCTTGAACTCATAGAGATCTGCCTGCCTCTGCCTCCCAAGTGCTGGGATTAAAGGTGTGCACTAGCCTGATTATCATCTCCTTCTTCCTCCGTTTCCTCCTCTTCCTCATCTTCTTTGGTTAGGGAGGGACCCGCCAGTGGAGGCTGACTGTACTTTTGGTTTTAATGCTTACATTACAGCCATGGGTACTCAGGTAATGAAGATTTGGGATATGGGAACTCAGTGCTTTAGCCTCTTACCTCTCCTACTATGTGTTTCCCGTTGATAAATGCCTCGAAGCCACACACAGCTGCCTTATCATCCAAAGGAAAGATATATTTTGCCTCAATAGGCACATGACTTTGATTTGTGTATGTCTGAAAAACAATGACCTGAAAGGGGAAGGAAAAAAATTCCGTATAATTGAAAAAAATCACATGAAACAATTACAACTAGTGAAAAGAATTACACATACTCATTCTCTAAAAACTTTTTTTTTTTCTCTTTTTGAGATAGGGTCACATGCAGCCCAGGCCGGTCATGAACTTGAAACTGACCTTAAACTAAGGACTCTCCTGCCTTCCTTCATTTCCCAAGTGCTGGCATTACAGGTGCGTACCACTGATCACGGTTTAAATCTCTTAAATTTCAACATGTCCTCCAAATTCACAAGCCGGGTTTCTGGGGTCGATGCTTTCTACACCTCAGTGGGCCGTTCATGCCACATGACCCAGTGCACCAGCTTCATATTTGGCAGTTATATATGCCTGACCAGAGTAGAAGTCAAAAGGCCCCTCTCATGCTAAGAATTTTGCTGCCTCCCAAGTGTCATGTGGCTGGGAACTTCTGGAATACAGACATTCCTGGCCCGATGATGGAGCCATGTCCCAATAAATCCATGATACAAGCTAAAAATGTAAGTGGAAAATGCATTTAATGAGAAGATTCTAGAATAATACATAATTGGTTTTCGATATCTGTGGATGCCAATCCCATGATGGATTCAACTAATTATAGTTAGAATATTTGAAAAAAAAAATGTGGGTCGGGCAGTGGTGGCACATGCCTTTGATCCCAGCACTTGGGAGTCAGAGGCACGTAGATCGCTGTGAGTTTGAGGCCAGCCTGGTCTACAGAGCTACACAGAGAAACCCTGTCTCGACAAACCAAACCAAACCAACAAACAAACAAAACAAAACAAAACAAAAAACAAAACCAAAACAAAAAACCCAAAGGGTCTGTATTAAGTTCTTAATTTAAAGTTTTCCCTTCCATTATTCCTTAAACAAGTGACAAATGCATTTCAATATGTATTTCATTTAGTTTATATAACTGCAGTCAAATTCTTATTTATGACTTATATTCATTTAATTATGTGTCATAAAACCACAAAAAGCATACCTGGGCTACAAAGTCTATTATTCTTCCCTTGATGTGAACACTGTCAAGAGGGACAGAATTTGCAGATGCATCCTGAAGACCAGCTTTGATGCTGGCAAGGGGCTTGATGTCTGGTAACTGGAAATCTGCAATTTATAAACACAATGCCAGTTTTAAAACAGCCATAGCTCTGTTGTTATCATCTTCATCCCTATTAGTTACTCCACTGTTTAGACACTATAGCTTGGAAAAGATGGAAAATAATATTATATTCATACTGTTCTATGAGATTTTTTGTTTAAGATAAGATCTCCCTGTGTAGCTAGCCCTAGTCTACTCTCAAACCGGAAAGCTGCCTGCCTCAGCCTCATAAGTGCTGGGATTATAGGTGTGTGCCACCATGTCCAGCTGTTATTTTATCTTTTGGTTTTGTTTCATCTTTTTTTGCTTCGGTTGTGGCTGTGCTCAGGATTGAACCCAGGCCCTTGTGCACACAAAGCAAGCACTCTGCTAAAAGAGCTACCTACACTCAAGCCATTATAGTTTTTAATACTCTAAACCCAGTGAGGAAAGCATTCTCAAATACATTTCTATTTTTCTATTTCACTAAAGAAGTATTTTATTGGGCTGGTGAGCTAGCTTATTAAGTAAAGGCACTTGGTCCCAAGGTTGACAACTTGAGTTTGATTCCTAGGGCCCAAATAGGGAAGGAAAGAACTACTTACCATGGATTGTCTTCTGATCTCCACATGTGTGCAACGTGCTCATGCATGCACACACATATTCATAAGTTTTGCTATTTTTTTTGTTTTCTTTTTTATGTTTTTTGAGACAGGGTTTCTCTATATGTTTGGAGACTGTCCTGGAACTTCCTTTGAAGACCAGGCTGGCCCCGAACTCACAGAGATCCTCCTGCCTCTGCCTCCTGAGTGCTAAAAATAAAGGCGTGTGCCACCAGTGCCCAACATTAATAATTTTAAAAAAGGATTTATTTATTTATATGTGTTGGAGACCAAAATAGGACCTAAATATTTCTTTCCAAAGAACCAACTGTTTGTTTCATTGATTCTTTGTATTGTTTTCTGTCTGCTTCTATTTTTAAATTATTTAAAAATTGTTATTTTATGTGTATGGGTGTTTTGCTGCATCTTGATCTGCAGGCAACAGGAAGTAATAGCATGTGTGAGGCTCTTTGCTCAATCCTTGGCACAGGAAAGAAAAAAAAGAAAAAAGAACAGATAAAAAAGCGCTGGGGACGTGGCTCAGAGGCGGGCACTTGTTCAGCATGTGCAAGACTCTGGATCAGTCCCTAGCATCACAATAGACACTCAAACTAACAAACCCAAACAAACTTGATTATCAATAGAAGTGCTCTTTGGGGAGGATATGGTCAGGGGGTCTTGCTATGTAGCCTTGGCAGGCATCAAACTGGTGGCAAGGCTCCAGTGCTGGGATTATAAGCATGCAGCATCATGGCTGGCTTCTAACGTGCTTTTACTCTTACTGAAGGGACCAGCTCCCCATTTCAGCAGCCATGACAGTAACACGTGCTTTTCTGACCTTGCCTTGGTCACTAGAGGTTAGGTGACTGCCTCCTGGCAAGGAACCAATCAGAAGTTAGCTGGCAGCGCTATGCTTTACGGCTCTGGGTGTGCTTTACAGACAAATGCACAGCAATGACGCACAGAGCATAGCAACCACCCTGGGAGGGCCTATGGGCCATAACAACCATTTGGCCAATCAACACAGGGCAAGCCCTCCAAGCCTGGAGGCACACCAATCCTGAGCCTGTGCGTACCCCTAGACACTCCCCTTACGCTGCCCTACAAGATCTCTATGCAGCCCCTTCGAGCTGTCTTTGCTAGCCATCCTCCATGGCAGGTGGGTGAAAGACCCGAGCTAACATGGGGTTAGCTCGTTAAACAACAATAAAGCCCCATGCAGTTTGCAGCAAGCTTTCAAATCTGCCTGGTGATTGGGGTGACTGAGGTCCTGGGCTGAGACCCCAGAGGCCTGAGTTTTCCTGGGGTCTAACATTACTAGGTGATACTATAAGGGCCAAGGTCTTCCAGGAAGCTTGTTTTCCGCTATTTGACTTCAGTGTGCATTACAATTTGTGGTCCCCTTTCTCTTTTCTCATTCATCTTATAATGACATTTAACAACGACATGTGCTCATGCCCATCCGAGAGGAAGTCAAGTGTTTACGAGGACACCACCTGCTAAGTGGGCGCCACAATCAACACCAGCTTCCTGACTCTACAGTCACATCTGCCTACTCTACCCCCTTTACTATTGCACCCTGACCTAGTTCCATGGATGCCATGGCTCGGGTATAGCTCATCTTTCAAAGGTTCATGTGCTGGAAGCTTAGTCACCGCTGTGATGTCTGGGGTGGGCGGAGCCTTTAGGGGCAGGACCTAATGGGAGCTGGCTGCTGGTTCCACTCCTCCTCTGCCTGCCTGCCCCTGATGTGATCTCCCTCTTGCCCATGTTTTTGTTGTGATACCATCTGCCTTGAGGTCCACATCACAGCCAAGCTGATGGCAGCACCAGGCCCCTGAACCTCTAAAACTATAGACCAGACAACCTTCCTCTGTTTTGGTTTGTTTTGAGACAGAAGCTTGCTATATAAGTCCAGGAGAGTCTGGAATGCAAGATCCTGCTGTTTATTGAGTTCACCCCCCAGGGCCTACAGGTGAAAAGAGGAGAATTCTTGCAAGTTGTTCTCTGACCTCCACACACATATCCACACACAGACACACACACAAACACAGACACACATATATAAGTATTAATTTTTTTTCTTTATAACACACCTAGTGTTTTGCTATAGAAACAAAAAAATAGAGACCCCAAAATGAATTGCATTATTAAGCCATCCCCTGTGGAGAACAAAGAGCCTTGTGCACACAGGTATGCACTGGAGAAGCCAGGGAAGTTTAACCTGCAATGGAATGAGGTGCATAGCTGCTCTTCCTGGAATGCCAGGAATGATGTCGTTTACAACCTGGTGATCCTTTGTTGTCTGATGAGACAGGCTCTGCTCTATCTCCCAGAATTTATGTGTTTACTTATCTGAGGCCTTTTTTCCTAAATCTTGAGCATTGTTTTTAAACCATAAACCCACTCTTATGAGTGAGGTCACTTATATTTTACAACAGCCTAAGTGGCTTCCATGTTATCTTAGGGTCAGGCCAATCCTGACTCCCACAGGCATTGTGTTTACCTCAGGCAAGCTCCCTAGACCCTAGATCTTGGGCACTGTCTCTGAGTCAACAGTCCCCATTCTTGTGATAGAAGCCGGATGTACTTTGTAAGGAATCTCAGTGCAAACATGTCTTAAAATGTGCACTTGGGGCTGAGTTAATTGTTATCTGAATATTTTTTTCCAAAATTGTGCTGTGCTTAAATATGACTAAAGTAAAATTATCTGGGCCAGACTCTAGGAGTCCTGGTCCAGCCCAATTACAATAAACTAGCACTGAGTTGAGTTTTATTCTTGTCTCTTCATGGATCATTTTTTCTCCTTGCCTGTTGTAAAGCCTGTAGGGAAATCACCATAATCCCCAAGAACAAGTCAGTTTAGATGTGCCTAGTGACAAAGCAGGGGTTTTGAGATCACTTCATCTCTCTTAAGCATCTGTTTTTTAAATGTTCAAGATAAAATGAAATAGGAAGTCACAGATACTTACCAAACAGAAATATAAATACTTTTGAAAAAAAATTCCATTTTATAGTATCTCATAAGACAGCACCCAAGAAACTTGTCTTACCTTCAGGCTTTGAAACATTTGAAGGTGCAGCTCTGTGTTCCTCTAATTCAGTATTTTCATGAGGATGGAAGTCCTTTATTTGATCTCCAGGAATGAGAAATTTAACAATGTATTTCATTTTAACTTGATTGGTTTTATAAACAACAAATTCGTCATCCTACAGCAAATGGGAATTGATAAGATGTAAACAAACACAGAAAAGAGCAGCCTGAGGTTCCCAGAGAAACAGAATCTCAGATTTGTTAACTTAGCAAAGACTGAATTTGGGCCGTAGATAGATGGGCATGACTTAAATGAAAACATATTTAATAAAAATAGAAGCAACCCTCTGGGGCTGGTCATTGCACATTTGGGGCCCATTTTGTCTATTTTGTCTTTTTTTTGTTGTTTGTTTACCTGACTGATTTGTTATCAAGTGCTAGGCAAGGGTTTGGCTACTGACCCATGACCCCGGGTCTGCATGTCTCCGGAAATAAAATACCTCAAAGTCTGTGGGGACAGAGGCCGTTTTGGAAACTCCATGCACACTGTCATATCCTGGTGGAGCCTCAGTTAAAGAAAAGTCCTTCTTGAGTAAGTCCATACACTTTCCCAGGGCAACATCACAGATAACCAGGAGTCTGGCGCCATCTGTCTCCCCTGCGTGTGAGTACTTAATGCTTGTACTGCACAAAGAAGGAAACAGACACAGGTTACAATGGCTACCGGCCAATCTCACTTCATTGTTTAAGAAACATAGGTGGGGCATCTCAAATCCAAAACTGTGAACCAAAATCTGAAATGACTTTGAAATAGAAAACTTTGAGCACTGGTGTGGCGACATGGATGGAAAATTCTACCCCTAAACTTGTGATGGTTGCTGCCTGAGGGTGGACACACTAAACATATTATAAAATCGCCAGCAGGCTACATTTATCAGGTGTACATGACACATAAATGAATTTCACATTTTTATTTGGGTCCTCCCAAAGCTCCCTTATCATGTATACACAAAATCTCAAATCTGAAAAAAATATTTAATTTCTCAGACAAGGAATACTCAAGCCTGTATTATTGAGAGATTTTTGTAGGGACATCCTGCCAAATCTCACTGCCATTGCAGTATCTCCAAAGATAGAAGTTAGAGCTTGTGAAAAGTTGGGCAGGTGCACACCTATAGCCCAGTACTTGGGAGATCAAGGTAGGAGGGTCACGAGTTCAAGGCCAGCCTAGGTTACATAGTAAAACCTGTTGAAGACGAGAGGGGTGGAGGAGAGAAGGCAAGGAGGAGGATGAAGAGGAGCTGTCATTATGTACTTCCTTATATAAGAAATCCAGTGTAGAACACATCTGTAATTCTACGCTTAGAGGGTTGACGCAGAAAGATCACTGCAAGTTCCAGGCTAGCCTAGTGTACATCGTGAGTTCCCAGACAGCCTGGGAACTAGTAAGACCCTCTCTCAAAAGAATAAAAACAAATAAAATCTTAGGTAAAAGTATGATAGTGCCCTTATTTATGGCAGTTAAAGTACTTTGTTCTCAGAGACTCAATCTATGACAGCTACTAAAAATACCTATTTTGTGCTGCAACAAATGCCAGAGTAATGAATAAAAAGAAAAAACCATTTTTTTGCATAAAAATAGCTAGTTTATTTTACATCCCCCCCTTTTTTTGTTATTTTGAGACAGGGTTTCTCTGTGTAGCCCTGGCATCATAGAGATCTGACTACCTCTGTCTCCCAATTGCTAGGATCAAAGTGTGAGTCACCACTGCCAGGCTACAATCCTATTTAAAAAAACAGATCAGAAATGTGTGAGACAGTGGCAAATCAAAGCTGCAGCCAGCTTCCTTCCTTCCTTCCTTCCTTCCTTCCTTCCTTCCTTCCTTCCTTCCTTCCTTCCTTCCTCCTTTCTTTCTTTCTTTCTTTCTTTCTTTCTTTCTTCCTTCCTTCCTTCCTTTCCCTCCTTCCTCTTTCTTTCTCTCTCTCTCCTTCCTTCCCATTTCTTTCTTTTTTAAATTCTTCTCTCACACATTTCATACTGACTGCAGTTTTCCCCGATTCACTCCTCTCAGCCCACCCCCCCCCACCCCTCCTGTCCTCCAGATCACTCCTCCTCCACTTCCCTACAGAAAAGAACAGGCCTCTAGGGCTATCAACCTAACAGCATAACAAGTTGCAATAAGAGCAGGCACAAACCCTCACATCAAGGCTGGTTGAGGCAACCCTGTAGGAGGAAGAGTCCCAAGAGCAGGCAAAAGTGTCATAGACACCCCCACTCCCACTGTTAGGAGTCCCACAAGAACATTAGGCTACACAACCATAACCTACATGAAGAGGACCAAGTATAGACCCATACAGGCTCCCTGGTTGTCACTTTAGTCTCTATGAATTCCTATGAGCCCTGCTTAGTTGATTCTGTGGGCTGTGTTCTTGTGATGTCCTCAGCCCCACTGGTTCCTACAATCTTTCCTCCCCCTCAAAGAGAAAACATTTTGTTAGTGAAGAAAGCAGTATTGAATTTGCTGCACTAAAGCTTATGAAGATCATTAAATACTAAGCAAGCAAGCACTGGCCAAAAGAGAGGTACCCTAGTCTCATAATCTCTGAGTCTACAGGAGAGTGACATTTCTTGGTGACAACCAGGTCAGAGAATCATAAGCTTTTCTTTCTTTGTCCCTGTGTTCCTTTCTTCTTTCTTCTTCCCTCCCTCCTCCCCCTCCCTCCCTCCTTTTTTTTTGTTTACTTTACTTTGCATTGTGCGCGCGCGTGTGTGTGTGTGTGTGTGTGTGTGTGTGTGTGTGTGTGTGTGTGTCCAGGCATGACTGTGGAGGTCAGAGGACAATTTTGTGGAGTCACTTCTCTTTTTCCACACTTATATGGATTCTGGGAATTGAACTCAGGTTGCCAAAGGCAGAGGCAGGCAGATCACTGTGAGTTGGAGGCCAGTCTGATTTACATAGCAAGTCCTAGCTCAAGAAAAATTAAGTAACAAGGAGACAAAGTCCACTAGATGGCCAGCAAAAGCAAGCACGGCTGGTGTGGCATTTGAATGAGATGACCCCACAGTCTTGGGCATTTGAACACTCTGCCCCAGATGACAGCACTGTTTGTGGAGGCTTAGCAGGGAGTGGACTTATTGGAGGAAGTATGTGCTGGAGCTGGTTTTGAAGTTTCAAAGCCTCATGCCATTTCAGTGCACTCTGTTTTGTGTTGAAGATGTGAGCCCTTGGCTGTCTGCTCCCGAAGCCTGCCATCACTCCACCATCACAGACTCTAACTCCCTGCAACCACAAGCTCGAATAAACTTTTCCTTCTGTGCCACACCAAATCCAGTAGATTCTGTGTGACAAGTTCCACAGACTGAGGCAATAACTTCAAAAGAAAGAGGTCTCCTGGTTGTGGAACTCTCAGCCAGAGAAAAATATTGGGCTGTGATTCTCATGGCAATTTCTGTTTGTTCTTCTATTCCTTTTTTTCACATTAACGAAATGTTCCTAAAAGCCTATGCTGACATTTCAAAGAAAAGAAATAGATAAGAAACCATCCCCTGAGATGGGGTCACTAGCCATGACCTCATCTCAGGAAGAACCAGCGCTTTCCAAATCATTCACGTCATTCATATAAGTACAAACAGTAAAAACTTTCCCATCAATAAAATTTAATATAGCTGTACCTGTGTCATCGAAAGTGGGCTTAAGTGTCTGGTAAGGAAAGCTTTTAATAAGAAACAGTTAAAATAGTTCAATACTTCAAAAACTCACAAGAATTAGGTAATAGAGGTTAAACAATAACTGACCATAAAAATATATTAATTTAAGAAATATGTGGTTAGCCTTGGATGATCCCATGTTAGTCAAGGACGGTCTTATGTTTTGACTAATCAAGGACAAATTTTATGTTTTGATTAACCCTGGATAATTCTACGTTTTGGATTCCTGTGTCACTGTGCCAAGTAACAATAATGTCACATGTTTGGGTTTGTTTAACAAAAACATCCCCTGAAAAAATATCTCTATAAAAAAATCTTGTTTGAGAACTGCAAAATACACTCGTATTCAACCTGCCTCTGTGTTTGTTTCTGTTTGTCACCGCTGAATCCTACCTATTCTTCGAGGACCCTCATCCCAGGGACTCCCATACCCGACTGGGGTGGTCCATGGCACTTCTGTAGTTGCCTTGTTGTGGTGTTTTATTTCAGTAACAGAAAAGTAACTAATACCACCAGCCTGGAGTAAGAACATATTGCAAAAGCCTGCTCCTGAGTGTGTCCTATTTTAGTTGCATGACCTGAGAAAAGAATCCCCCGTTGGCCTTGAGGTCCCCATCTGTGATACGAGAGGATTTACCCATGGGTGGGGTCTGAGGGTAGAGGAAGTGAGGGGTACTGGGGAAGATCCAGCTAGAATATGTAAAAGCTGAGGACAGTTGGCAAGATGGCTCAGTGGGTAAAAGTACCCTGCTACCAAGCCTGATGACCCTGGATCCCTGGGATCTACTTGGTGGAAGGAACTGACTGTGGAGGTCAGGTTGTCCTCTGAGTTCCACAAATACACTGTGGCATGCCCATGTCTCCCCCACCCCCAGCCCACTACACACACACACACCCACACACACACACACACACACACACACACACACAATAAATAGCTAAGAGCAATAAAACATTTTTAAAGGTTCTGAGGAAAAGAAAAACACTAAGATGATTTCAAACACCATTTCTCAAACATTCACCAGGAAGCCATGCTTTTATAGTATGTTGAGGGAACTGACTGCTTTTAGTGATGTGTTGATGGGAGAGAGACTCCCTCACTCAAGAGGTTTTCAAGGAGACTCAGTGGTGGGGGATGGGACAGAACACACCAACCTGAGTGAGTCGCTGAAGTAAATCCCGCTGCCCAGACTTCCAGCATCTGTTCTTTGCACACCACGGTCTTCCACAACTTTAGGTAAAAGCAGCCCTCTGAAAGAGAAGGGCAGGATCGTCATTTACCAGAAGAAAGGACTCTCCACACAGCCTTTAAACTCAGTGACCAACAGCTATTCGCCTGTCTGTACAAACCTCAGGTCAGAGTTCAGCAGCAGGCCCTCCATACTTATATTCAACCAGCCATGGATTTAAAACATTCATAAAAAAATCATCTGTATGGAATATGTACAGAAATTTCTTGTCATTAGTTTTAAACAACACTTCCCGGCAACAGTATTCATAGCACTCACACTGTGTTAGACACTATTACACCATGTAGATGTAATTTAAAGTATATTGTAAAAACCACTTCTGTTCTTTGCAGACTGCATTTTATGTAAGACCCTTGAGCATTGGAGGTTTCAGCATCTGAGAAAGTTCTGGAAGCAACTCCATAGATACCAAACATGCCTGTGATCTCCCAGAGCAATACATGCCGTTAACATGTAACCAGCTATGGTTGTTTCCCCATCACTGTCTTGACCACATAGGCTCTTGGTCATTGTTCCTGCCTCTTCCAGGCAAGGTCCCAGATAAGCCAGTCCAATGCTGACTGTTTCTCTTCACCACTTAGGATCTTATACAGGTTTCCACTGGACTTCAAACATTCAGAATTCTCTCAGCATGAAAACATGACGTTCTCTACAGACAGGCCAAGGAAGGCTTCTGTTCTTATTACAGAAATATCAATTGTTTGAATATTTTGCACCGGAAGATTGAATTGATTTTATAATATGGTTTTTGGGATTTTGTCCTATACAGAAAGGACTTTTCTATACCATTAATTTGTTTGTTTTTCTGTACTTGGGATTGAATCCAGGACCTCACTCATGCTAGGCACTCTACCATTAAGCCACATCCCAGCCCTTAAGTTTCAGCTTCTTCCTCCCCTCCTCCTCCTTCTCCTTCTTTCTTCCTCTTCATTTTTGTCTTCTTCTTCCTCTTCCCCCTCTTCTTCTTTTCAGACAGAGTCTTACTATGTTGCCCTGGGTGGCCTGCAACTTGCTCTGTAGACCAAGTTGGCTTTGAACTCACATAGACCTGCCTGCCTCTGCCTCCAGAATGCTGGAATTATTGCATCACCATCCCCAGGGGGTACCTTTTAATTTTCCTAGGTGCTTGAATAAAGGACCAAAATATACTCTTAATTCCCCTTGCCCCTGAAGAAGAGAACTTCAGCTTCTCTTCCAATATTAAGAAATTATCCAAAGCAATCAGAAAACTTGTGTTGTGCTTTGGATAAATAACTCACATTCCCTGGGACACTCTGACTGTGAAATGTAGACTAGCTCTTTTTCATACGATGTCATTGTGAAGGAGCAATTGATTGTTTTGGTTTTGGGGTGTGTGTGTGTGTGTGTGTGTGTGTGTGTGTGTGTGTTCATTTGTAGTTTGTTTTTGGGGCTAGGGTCTTGCTATAACAATCTTGCTTGCTGTGGAACAATCTTTGTACACTGTAAATATGCATTACTCTAATTAGTTAATAAAGAGCTAACTGGTCTATTGAGCTGGGCAGGAATCGATTGGGTGGGAGAGCCAGACTAGGGGAATGCTGGGAAGAAGAAGGGCAGGGTCTATATAGTCACCAGGGACATAGAAGAAGTAGGACATGAACATGCTGTTCTGAGATAAGGTACCAAGCCACACATGGTAGACCATAGGTAAAATATGGGTTAATTTAAAATGTAAGAGATAGCTAGTAACAAGCCTGAGCTATTGGTTGGGCATTTATACTTAATACTGAGTCTCTGTGCATTTATTTGGGAGTAGCTGTCAGGACAGGAAAACTCCACCAACACTGGATGGCTTTGAATTCATTCTGTAGCCAAAGCTGGGCTTGAACTAGATGCCATCATCCTGCCTTAGCCTGCTGAGTGTTAGGGTTATAGGCATCACCATGCCCAAATTTCAAGGAGTAATTCACACCTTTGTAGAACACTAAAAATCCCTCACAAATGTATAATAGATAACCACAAATACAAAATGTAGTTGACATATAATTTTCTCTATGTATAGATTTTCTGCTATTAACTGAAAAGTCCATGTGATTTGTGTATTTATTTTGGTATTGTTTAGCATCAAAGACACAATTTAGACAAAAGCAGACAAAAAGGGGGAACATTTCACATTCGTGAGCCTGAAAAACTAAAAACTAAAGATGGCGCATCTTACCGGGACAAGATTCCAAGAATGTTCCGCACAGGAGACCCATGAAACAAGGACTGCACATTGCCCAGTTTGCTCAAAAACTCTGAGGCTTCATTCACTCTGCCAACTCTAAATATCTGCAAGACATCTACTGGATTTGCACTGGAAGAATTAGAAGAGAAACCTTGAGGTCATATAGTTAGAAGAAAATTAAAAATGATTAATAAGTGAAATTTCAAGAAAACTCGGATGTCCTTGCCATGGCTCAGCAGTTGAAAGTGCTTGTCAGAGAGCCTGATATTCTCCAGAGCCCATGTGGTAAAGGGCAGAGCCACAGACTGTCCTCTGATTTTCATGAGTACTATGTGGCAACTGCATGCATTTACACACACACACATACACACACACACACTTTGCTTTCTGTTGCTATGATAAACAACATGACCAAAGAAAGGCAAGAGGAAAGGGTTTTTTGTTTTTGCTTTTAGATTATGGGTCACACTCCATCACTGAGGGAAGAAGCCAAGGCAGAATCTCAAGCAGGAAACCTGGAGGCAGGAACTGAAGCAGAGACCACAGAGCAATGCTGCTTACTGGCTTGTTCCCCTGGCCTGCTTTCTTATACAACCAGGACCACATGTCCAGGGATGTCACTGTCCACAGTGGGCGGGGCTATCCGTATCAATCATTAACCAAGAAAATATCCCAGAGACTTGCCTCAGGTCAATCTGACGGAGGCAACTCCTCAATGGAGGTTCCCTCTTCCCAGATAGCTCCCAGATAGTTCCTGTCATGACAGGAACTAAGCAGCACACACATATATTATGATCTGTGCTCTAAATGCTCCATCCTTGGGCATTTATTTGTGCATTCACAATCATAATCCATGCTGAGTATTTCCCCAGGAATTAGAAACAAGACAGCAGGGTCTCTGCCTTCATTCAGTTTACATTCTAATAGGAGGGACAAAAATTAAGCTACTGAATTATTTATATTATTGAGAAGACCAACTAGGCCCAGAAAAAAATGTGGTAAAAGGCCACTCTTTTTAGGTGTCATTTACTGGAATATGACATGATTCGGGATGTCCTTCAGTATGTGTTTCTCTTATTGGTTGATGAATAAAACACTGTTTGGCCAATAGAGGCAAGTAGATAGGGAGGACTAGAAGATGAAGAGAATTCTGGGAAAGATAGGCAGAGAAAGAGATAGTGAAGAGACACCATGTAGCCGTGAAAGGAGTAACAGGTCCAGACATTCTCCAGTAAGCCAAGACCATGTGGAAATACATAGATTAGTAGAAACGGGTTAATAATTAAGACAGAGCTAGACAATAAGAAGCCCTAGTCATCGGCCAACAATTTTATAATTAATATAAGTCTTCGTGTGTTTATTTGGGGCTGAAGCAGTGGTGGGACCAGGCTGGAAAGAAAAACTCCAGTTACAGTGGCATGACGCAATGCACATGCTATGCTTTAACCGACTGTTATAGGAACTCAAGTGGGTGGATGGGGTAGGAGAGGGAAACACCTCAGGGTTACACCTTTACTCTCTGGAAATTTAAATCTGACCTTCAACTATAGGTCACAGGCTGGCAAGATGGCCCAGTGGGTAAAGTACTTGTTGAGTAAACCAGAGCCCACAGGGAAGAAGCCGGACAACTCCAGAAAGTTGTCCTCTGACCTCTACATGTGTGCTGTGATATGTGGGTATCTACACATACATGTGCACCATGTATGCACACAGTCATCATAATCATAGCAATAAAATTCAAGTCACTGAGAAAACAGATGGGAGGATGGGAAAAACCTGCTAGCACAGGATACTCCCCCAGATAAAACCAACTTTTCTTTTTCAGAATTGCACTTATTTATTTGGTGTGTGTGTGTGTGTGTGTGTGTGTGTGTGTGTGTGTGTGTGTGTCCATGAGTGTCATGGCACTCCTGTGAAGGTCAGAGGACAGCTTGTGGGAGTTGGTTCCCTCCTTCCACCACGTGGGTTCTAGAGATCAAACTCAGGTCATTGGGTTTAGCAGCGGTGCTCTGACCCACTACATCATGTGGCTAGTCCCTAAAGATGATACTGTAAACACAAAGTGCTTCTTTGTCGTCACACTGCTGCTGTCTTTTTTGAATGCAGAGGCTTACTTTCTCTAGCTATTTTAGCAGGATCTCAGAGAACATCATTGTTACAGATCCCAGGAGGCTCACTTTATGCTTACCTGTGATTACTCTGCAACACTTCTTTTCTAACCCTGGAAAATTCTTCAGTGTTCTTTTCAACATGTTCGATTTTGCATCTCAAAGCTCGGTATTTGGCAAGAGATGGTGGATTGGGTTTGGACAAATTAGTTTCACAAACATTCACCATGTCTCTTACTAGCTGTAGGCAGAAGTGATACAGAGATGTTAGAGACACCACACATCAGAGTTAATATGTATATTACCACCACACATCAGAGTTAATATGTATATTATGTTAATATTTTTCCAGAAAGATACAATTTTTAGTTTTTTCCCCAAAGTTTTTTATTAATATTTTGTGTTGGTAGTATTCTAAACTGAATAAATGTTGGGTACAAAGCTGGGAATGGTGGCTTACATATGTAACCTTAGCACTTGGGGAAGGGCAGGAAGGTTGCCATGAGTTCAGGGCTAGCCTAGGTTATATAGTAAATTCTAGGCCAGCCCAAGTTGCAGTGTAAGACTGTTCTCAAAAGTGAAAATAAAGTTTCAAAAAAATCAGAAGGCTTGGTACAATACTAGTTTTCCTGGCTACTTGGGAGACTGAGGCAGGATTACTTGAGCCCAGAAGTTGAAGGCTAGCCTGGGATGAATATAGAAATCCCCATCTCAAATAGATAGATAGAAGATAGATAGATAATAGGTAGATAGACAGACAGATAGGTATAGAAAGAATTGCCTCACTGGCAGCACAGTATACGTTAGCATAGTACTTTAAAAGAGTTACTTTTCCCATTGCTGTGCCAATGGGACAAAGGCAACTTAAGGAGGGAAGGGCTGTTTTGGTCCCTGGTTTAGGGAGGACACAGCCAATCATGGTGGAGAATGCACGGTGGCAGGATTGTGGGACTGCTGGTACACTGTGTCTGCAGTCAGGAATCAGAGAGAGATGGATGCTGGTGTCAGTTCACTTTCTCCTTTTTATTCAGTCTTGGACCCCAGCCCGTGGGATGCCGCTGCCCACATTCAGGGTGAATCTTCTCTCCTTGGTTAAACAGCTCTGGAAACATCCTCACAGATATGTCAAGAAGTGTGATTCCAAATGCCAACAAATTGACATCAAAAGCACACACAATCACATGCATCACTTTTTTTTTTTTTTTTTTTTTGAGACAGAGTCTCTCTATATAGCCCTGGCTGTCCTGGAACTCACTATGTAGACCTGGCCTAGGACTCAAAAAGGTCCACCTGCCTCTGCCTCCTGAATGCTGAGGTTAAAGGTGTGAGCCACCTTGACCAGCACTTGCATCATCTTTAAAAGATTTATTCTATATGTATAAATGTTTCAACTGCATGCATATATATGTACTGTGTACATGCCTGGTGCCATAAGAGGACATGGGATCCCCTGGAAGTAGAGTTATGGATGACTGTGAGCCACCATGTGGGTACTAGGAACTAAAACCAGGTCCTTTTTTTTTTTTTTTTTTTTTTTTTTTTTTTTTTTTGGCTTTTCAAGACAGGGTTTTTCTGTGTTGTTTTGGAGGCTGTCTGGGAATGAACTCGCTCTGTAGACCAGGATGGTCTCTTTGAACTCACAGAGATCCACCTGCCTCTGCCTTCTGAGTGCTGGAATTAAAGGTGTGTGCCATCAATGCCTGGCTTTAAAACCAGGTCTTTGGCAAGAGCAATAGGTGTTCTTAATCACCAAGCTATATCTCCAGCCCCCCCCCCTCTTTCCCTGAGACAGAGTTTTGTGTAGTCCAGGTTGGCCTCAGACTTGCTATGTAGTTGAGGCTGCCCTTGAACTCCTGCTCCTTCTGCCTCTGCCTCCCTTGAGAGCTGGGATTTACAGGTGTACATCACTATGCCTGGCTTTACTCACCATATAGATTTTATTATTATTACTTATTATATTTTTGTTTGTTTTTTTTTTGAGACAGAGTGTACATAGCCCTGGATATCCTTGAACTCACTATGTAGACCAGGCTGGCCTCAAATTCATAGAGATCTACCTGTCTCCATGTCCTAAGTGCTGGGATTAAAGGCATATATCAACACACCCAGTTTTGCTTTTTAAAGACTTTTGTTTTATTTTTATCTGTATGAGTATTTTGCCCACGTGCATGTATGCATGCCTGGTGCCCACAGATACCAGAAGATGACACTGAATCCCCTGTAGGTACAGATGGTTGTGAGCCACCATGTTGGTGCTGGGAACTGAATTCAGATGCTCTGCAAGAGTGACCAGTGTCCTAAGTCATGACCCTGAAAACACATTTTAAGTTGAATTCTTTATTCCAGGGGCATACCTGACAAAGATCCTCTTTCTGAGCTAACAACCTTAGGTTAACGTCTTCTGATGCCGGGTGTTTGTGGGGAATCAATCGGTAGAAATCGGCCATCGCCTTTTGCAGTTGCTCCTGTGTTTCTCCATTCTTCAGGGCTGATTTTACTAGAAGGAGAACCCCCTCTGCTTTACTCACCTGCAAATAGAAAAGCAAACATGCTTTTTAAAATTTAAATCCTGATACTCATAGAAGAGACATGCATAAAAACATCTAAAATAGCAGCTGGAGACATTGGAACTTTGAGTTTTCTAGAGACCGCTGACACTGCTACAGTTTGGGCCTTTTAAAAAATAGAATATCTTCTATTAATTCTTTCACAGTTTCAAGCCTGTTAGTTTGGGTCTTAACTGTTTTTCTAAGGTTCAAAGCTTAGTCCCTAGGAAGGTGCTTTAGGCAAGTGGTCAGACCTTTAGGAGGAAGAGCCTAGTGGAACCCCTGTCTGTTCTTTCCTTTTGTTTCTTGGCCTTGAAGTGAGTGGGTTTTGCAACACTATACACTCCTGATATGACATACTCACTCATCAGAAGCCCAAAACAATAGGGCCAATCTCTCATAGCCTGAGATTTGCAAAACTGTGAGCCATAAGCAATCTTCTCTTTATGAATGGATTGTCTCTGGTATTTCCTTACAGTGACTGAAAACTGACTAACACAGCCACCAAGGCAAATGCGGATCTTAAGGTACACCTCAGCTGTGAATGATGCCAGGAAGGAAGATGCTTGGAAACTGGTCTCAACTCAACTGTGAACAAACAACCAGGACTCTTCGTTTCTTTCTTTTTAAAAACAATTTTTAATTTATTTGTGGACAGTCTTATACATGTATGCATTTTGATCAAACCCACTCCTTCTCTCCTCCCTCTCCTGCTCCTTCTGGATCCTTCTTCTTCTTAACATAACCCCCAGCTGCACAAACATCTTTCTAAAAATAACCCACTGAGTTTACTTAGGGTTGCTTGTGTCTCTGTAAGGGCAGGGCTATTCTCTGGATCATGCACAACTTTATCAGTGGCTACAACACTGAAGAAAAATGCAGTATCATATTTCTATACATATGTGCACATGAACAGATACACATGCAACTGTAGGGGACTTAATTTTCGTAGAGAAACAGAATGATGTCAACCTCAAACCAGGCCACGTTCCTAATTCTCCGAGTGCATCATGAACTTAAAAGCAGGAAATCTGTTTCTCCCTGAAACAGTTTGTCCCATTCCACAGTGAAAGCTGCCTGCATTGTTTCCCTTTGACTACTCAGGTGCAGGAGTTGGATCATTGGGAATACCATCTGTCAGTCACTTGTTCTTTCAAGCACTGCTATACATAATGGAAGAGAACAGCATGTCCTGGTGTGCTAGAAGCAAGCCTGCCTTTCCTAAGACAGCGAGGAGGTAAAAGGATGAAGGAGTTATTTCAAACTAGGTCAGGATCTGGGTATTTAAGATGGGCACTATCACTTTGTTGCTTGGCAACAACACCCTCAGCGCCAATGCTTAGGCAAGAACTGACATGGCAGGGACATTTGGTTCTCGTGATTCTGCCTTCCTTCTGAGAATGAGGAAAGAACACTAAGGGGTGGACTTCAGAGTAAACCAACCACCACGTGATGGTTAGCACTAGAGTTTACACCAATCCACCAGGAAGTAGGTTTGTGGTGCTGATCTAGTGACACTTGTGACTTACGTCATTCAGGCTTATGCTGTTCACTGGCTTGAGAAGTGTTTGCTCCAGGTGTCCCAGAGCTTCTGCCCAGACCATCTCCACCAAATCGCTCACCTCCTGGCTCAGAGTGCCCGAACTTATAACCTCCTCCAAAAGCAGCTGAAATAACAACACGACAAAGAATCACCACACATGCGTGCATCACACACACACACACACACACACACACACACACACACACACACACACACACACGTCCTTATGAGCACTTTGTGTAAAACTGACACAGGAGCTGGGTGCTGGTCAATAGTAGAGCACTTGCCTAGTGTATCCAAGACCTTGGGTTCCATTTCCAACCTCACAAACAACAAACAACAGTATAGGCCCAGAAAAGAAGTATAAGAAAAAATAACAGAGCCCAAGAGAGGCACCAGCTCCCATAGCCAGACACTAAGGCTGGGAATGGCTTGAGTGTCCCTCAGGCTCAGATGCTGGCACCCAGTTCCCACTGTGGAGTAGTGGGGTTGTAGTCCCCACAGTGGTTGGCCCTTTAAGAGGCGGAGACTAGTGGACGGTGCCGGAACTCAGGGCAGGGCCTCAGAGTACATGGATGCTTTTCTTGAGGGAGGTGCTCTGCTCTCCATATTATAAGGTAGACAACGGGCATGTGCCACCATACCCAGCAATTTGTATGTATTTCTTAGTTATCTTATGTGTAAGGATGTTTTGCCTGTGTGCCTGTCTGTGTGCTACATGTACCGACAGAGGCCAGTAGAGAGCATCATGTCCTCGGGAACTGGAGTTACAGATGGTTATGAATGCACATGTACATGCTGGGAATCAAACCCAGGCCCTCTGGAAGGTTATCCATGGCTCTTAACCACTGGCCCATCTCTCGAGTTTTCACTTCATATTTTTTTTCTTCCTAGCAATCAGGAAGCAGAGGCAGATGAATCTGTGAGTTTAAGACCAGACTGGTCTACATAATAAATTCTAAGCTAGCCAGAGTTACATGATAAGACCTTGCTTTAAAAGAAAAACAAAACAAAACAAAACAAAACAACAACAACAACAAAACAATCATCTGGGTATGGTAGTGGCATCTAAAATCTCAGTACTGAGAAGGCTGAGGCAGGGGGTGTGTTTGAATTTGATGCCATCGTGGACTAAAGAGTGAGAGGGTATCCAAAATAACAAACCAAGCTGGGCAGTGGTGGTGCATGCCTTTAATCCCAGCACCTGGGAGGCAAAGGCAGGCAGATCTCTGTGAGTTCGAGACCAGCCTGGTCTACAGCGCAAGTTCCAGGACAGCCTCCAAAGCTACAGAGGAACCCTGTCTCAAAAAACCCAACAAAACAAAAATAAAACAAACCAAGCCAAACAACAATCACACACATCCCCCTCCCAACTCAGTCAATGCCACACAATCCTATCAAGCAGCTAGCTTACTGCTTGCAGTTTTTCAGACGCTAATTGTGTTGCTTCAGCTGTAAAGTGTTCTTGGAGCAGAAATCCTTGTCTCTTCAGGTCTTCAATGTAATGCTCATAATATTCACTTGCGCTTTCAGAGGTTTGCTTTCCGATGCTCTCTCTTCTAGTCTGGGAATTACAGTACACAGGACACAGGAACTATGAACACCTATGAACACACTCATCCTCAGTGAATCACTTACTACACCCCACCAGGAAGGGGTTTAAACTACTTTTCTTAATGAATTACCACGTTGGTTTGAACGAAATGTGTCATCCCCCTCTCCCATGACCTCGGGGCTTGGTCCCTAGTTGGAAGGTGCTTTTTGAGGAGGTTTAGGCCTTGCTGGGGGCCAGGCTTTTGTTTCAAGTAACAGGCTCATTCCTAGTCCCCTTTCTGCTTTCTGTTAGAGGTGGGAGCTCTCAGCTTGCCTTCCAGCTGCCAAGCCCCCCTGTTGCCATACTTCCCAGAAATGATAAGACTGTTACTCCCTTGGAACCCAATGTCCAAATAAACTCGTCCATCTCTCTGTTGCCTTGGTCATGGTGTTTTTATCACAGCAACAGAAAAGGAACACTTAAAGCTGGAGTTGAGGGAGCAAAAAGCCGGAGTGGGTAGGACAGAGAGAAAAGACTCCTTGTGGGGAAGTGTTCCTTCAAGCACTTGTTGAGAGCCAGTGAACTTGGGAGACTGGCATTCCACTCCTTTTTGGAAATGTAGAAAGTCAATCAGGGTAGGGAAGAAGAGAAAAATACCCTGTAAAGAATGGTACAGTGGTGGTGGTGGTGGGGGGGTGTTAGGCATCAGTCAAGACCAAGTGAGCTCCCAGCAAGGAAAAGGGCAGGAAAGCTCTGTGGTCAGGCAGATGATATGAAAGGCACAGGCTGCTCCTCAGCCAAGACTGCACACACACATGTGGCCTTTCTGCTCTTCTTGGAAACCCAACCCATGACAGTGAACAACTCAGCTCACTGACCCTAGACGATGGAGGAAGATTTGCCCGGCTTGGGAGTGCCGGTGTCCCCTAGATGTTGGTTAATCCTGACTCTGAGGTATACAGCTATAGAGAGATGTCACGCTCATAGACTGTTCACTGCAGGGTATCTCTGAAACTTTAGAAAGGAAGTATACACCCAAGTCACTCCATTTAAAAGGTATCTAGAGTTTGGATCTTAATTGCCCCAGGGCCAAAGAGAATCACATGGGTCTCATAAATCAACTAGCAACAGCCCTGCCCTTAAAGCTCTTCATTGTTAAAAATGGGTGCTTGGAGTCAAACTCCTCTGGATAAGGAGCAAGCACTTGGCCTCTGAGCCATCTCTCTAACACCAACCTTTTATAAGTTAATTATTTCAGGTATTTTGTTAAGTAATGGAAAGTGTCCTAACAATGGAATTTTGGAAATTTCTCCTAAGATGGCTTCATGAGGCAGGACAAGCCAGAGAACACCTCTCACTACTGCTTGGGTGAGGCTTACTCCTGGCAGGTGGACAGGGTCCCCCAGGGAATCTGCCAGAGTGCTTAGGTGTGAGTTTGCTAAGAATGGAAGGTAACCGAGGCTCACCAGTACGGTCTATGCACTATTATAAGGATAAAACACGGGTCTCTGTGGATTTTATTTGATTTTAAATTACTTTTTTCTTTTTGATTTTTGAGACAGGGTTTCTCTGTGTAGCTTTGGAGCCTGTCCTGGCACTCACTCTGTAGACCAGACTGGCCTCAAACACACAGAGATCTGCTGCCTCTGCCTCCCAAATGGTGGGAATTAAAGGCGTGAACCACCACCATGTGGCTTGAATTACTTTTTATCCAAATAACAAAATAACCACATATTTTGGGGCAGAAGGCTAAATATCTCCCACTTGGATACATGTGACCCTGGATTAAGGTTCTAGCTCTGTTCCCATGGAAGCCTGATAAAAAGTCAGCTATAAGGCTGGTGCTACAGTGTAGGTTTGTAATCCCAATATTTGAAAGGTTGAGGCAAGAGTGAGATCTGTCTCAAAATGCAAACCCTCCACCCCTCCCAAAACAGTCAGCCGTAATTGTGGTGATAATTCTGGTAAATTTGCACCAAGATTAGGACTTCAGTGAGTGTGTGGTGGAAACCAAAGCTTTGGGCTTTCTTGAGAGTGGCAATTCATAGAACAGGGTACATCTTCGGGTCATCTGGAATCCGTGTTATGAGACAGGAGCTCCTGAGGGTCAGGGCTTCTCAGATGGTCCCATCTGATGTGTGTATCTACCTGAGTGACATCTAGGTTAGGTGCCAGATGAGAAGCTTCAAGAGCCTGTGTGGACCTGTGTGAGGACCTCTCTCACTGAAGAATGGACTCTGTTTCTGGCTATAGTAGATCTGTAAGACTGAATACCTATGTGAGAAAACTCCATGGTGGGTGATATATAATTTTTGGGCATTCGTTCTGGATCTGTTTTCATTTCAGAATTGTTTTAGACCACAGCTGGGCTCCTGACTTGACACTGAACTAGGACAACAGTTGCGGCTTTTGTGGAGCCTTCTGTGATCTCCAGCATTCTATGGTCATGAGTCCTGAGTAACTCACATGCACAGCAGTGTCAGAACTGTCACTGTGGGTCCTAGAGAAAACTCTGTTGTGAGGTGGATGTGTGGTTCACACCCGTAATGGTAACAGTATGGACACTAATGGAGTACCATGTTTGAAATAAGCCTGGATACAGAGTGAGCCCCTCTGTCTCATTTTTTAAAAGGGGGGAAAGAAAAGAACAAAGGAGGAAAAGGTAGAGGGGGAGAAGAGCAAGATGGAGGAGGAGGGAAAGATGGAGGAGGAGGAGGGAAAGATGGAGGAGGAGGAGGATCTCTGCTACCCTTCATCTTTGACTTTCTGCTTCCAGCACAGGGAGAAACACTCTGTTGCTTAAGCCACTCAGTAACCATACTATTCATTTCAGCAGCCCAGCTGACTGTGTCCCCAGGTAAGAAGAAATGTTTAGCAGGTTGGTTAGTGGCTTGATTCGTTTAAGCCAACTAGCAACGGGAGGAGTAAAGACACAGGAATCTAACTCAAGGGCATCACCTGCAGGTGGTCAGCCCGGAGGAAGTGTGCTGATATCACAAAGGGGCAGTCCCCTGGGTCCTGGGAGCACTGCAGCTCCACTACTGCGGCCTCCTGGTCTCCATCCGCTCCCACCTGCAAGATGGTACATTTTAGAAGCAGAGCTATGGAAACAAGCCACATTCCACGTCGGAAAAGGCTGCCTAATATGCTGGAGCAATGCAAGTTCATTTGGAGAAGTATGTTAGAAAACACAAAAACATCAAGAGAGTAAAAGTCACCTGAAATAATAAATAAATAAATAAATACACCTAAAACCCAGAGCAATATAATCGCCATCAATAGTTTTGTATATTTTTATCTCTGTGTTTATAATGTATCAGCACCTTTCTTATTTTTCTCATTATAGAGGGAAACATCCTTTTTAATTTATATTTTATTTAGACATCTAAAAATATGAGTAGGACATCACTTCTAAGGCAAGTCTTGATTTTAATTTGTGTGACTTCTATCAATAAAGTTTTCTGTTTTCTTTAAATGCAAAAAGAACAGTTCAACATAGTATAAATATGAGTATGAGAAACAGTTAATGACAGGGTAGAGTTTTATTTCTAATGCCATATTGATGTTTTATATTGTTAAATATTTTCTGTAAATGGCTGGATTGTAGCTCGGTTGGTTGAGAGCTTGATTAATATGCCTGAAGTCTTGGGTTTGAGCTCAAGCACTGCACAAAGCAGATGGTGCATAGTTATAATCCTAGCACTTGGGAGGTAGAGGCAGAAGGGATCAAGAGTTCAAAGTCATTTTCCACTATGTAGCAAGTTCAAGACCAGCCTGGGATACATGAGATCCTCTCTCAAAAAACAAACAAAATATATTATGAGTATGACTTCCTTTCTTTCTTTCTTTCTTTCTTTCTTTCTTTCTTTCTTCCTTCCTTCCTTCCTTCCTTTTTTTTTTTTTTTTTTTTTTTTTTTTGGTTTTTCGAGACAGGGTTTCTCTGTGTAGCTTTGGAGCCTATCCTGGCACTCGCTCTGGAGACCAGGCTGGCCTCGAACTCACATAGATCCGCCTGCCTCTGCCTCCCGAGTGCTGGGATTAAAGGCGTTCGACACCAACGCCCGGTGCATGACTTATTTTCATTAAAAACACTAAAAAAAAAATTGCTTTTTCTTGTTTAAAATTTATTTAGTTCTTGGATTTTACTTGAGAGGGGGTTTCATTGTGTAGCTAGGGTTGTCCTTGAACTCATAACCTCTGGCTAGGCCTCCTAAGTGTTAGGATTATAGGCATGAGCTCCTATACCAGGCAAAAATTTAAATAAACATTTTTCTGAGCTTGTGTTACAGGACATATGATATTCAGAATATGAACAACTTTTCAAAACAATGAGAAAACCATCAAAAAGGAAATGTTTTCAGAAATAATTCAGTTTCTTTTTTCTAGGTAGAAATCAGGCTTTTACCTTTTCCAAGACGTTATATTTCACAACTTCAAAGTCTTGAAGAAAATGAGGAATTTCAACATTTTCTGCAGAAACCCTGAAATTTATATGATTAAACACTTAAGATTGAACTGGAACTTTGGACACAGAGAATCTCCCAACAGATCCCCTAATTCCTAATGATGTACATAGTAAGTCCCTGGTGCCTCCTTGAGTATTCTAGAAATGGTTAAACAAATGGTGAAAAATGGGCTTGATTCATCTTCTGCATAACTAACTTATCAGTTATTAATTCCTGATTTTACATACTTGTGGGGGGAGGGTGATAATTTAACCTGTTCATTAAGTGAGAGATGATCAGGTAAACCCCATGGTCCTCTTCCAGATTCTCAAACACTAAAGCCAGAACCTGGAGTCACAGGGAGGCAAGGATAGGCAAAAGCAGAGACAGAAAAAACAGCCACCTTCTGTGGTCACCATGTTTGGTTGGAGCTCTAACTCCTAGCAACTGTTTTCTGTGAAGTCCTTTTACAAAATAAAGGAGTCCAACGGATAGCCTGTTATTTGCTTGTTTGTTTTGTTTTGTTTTGTTTTTGAGACAGGCTCTCCATAGGTAGCTCGACTCAGCTTCAGCCTCCCAAGTGCTGGGATTACAGCCATGCATAACCACTCTCAGCATATTTGTATTTTTAATACCACAATTGAAATTTACAAAACACTTTGCTTACTGAGTGACTTCGGTGTTTTCATTCTCTGGGGTGTTGTCCAAAGACACATCTTCTGTTTCCACCTCTAGAATTAAAAGGAAAACTTGTTGACTGTTCAAACACTTACTGTGAGCCTAACTGCTAGAATTGTTATGACTTTGTGTTTGTTTTGTTTTTTTAGAGACAGGGTTTTTCTGTGTAGCCCTGGCTGTCACTGGAACTCGCTCTGTAGACCAGGCTGGCCTTGAACTCAGAGATCCTCCTTCCTCTGCCACAGAAGTGCTGGGATTAAAGTCATGTGGCACCACCACCTGGCCTTGTTTTGATTCTCAAATATGATCTTTGCTACATAAATTCCCTTCCTGTTCAATGTTCTGGGGACTCAAACTCAGGATCTTACATAAGCTACCCACACTCTCAGCCTTAGTTCTCTTTTTGCTTTGTTGGTTTGGAAGATATTTTTAGTTGAGGGTTTCACCACTTGCACAACTTGGCCATGAACTCCGAGGTTCTAGTGATCTTCCTGCACCTTCTTACAAGCCCAGCAATCATTTTCTTAACACCAAGGATTATTCTATTCCCAGTTAAAATTATAACGGGGGCTGGGGATAGCTCATGCAGTAAAGCGCTCTGCAAGCATGAAGACCTGAGTTTCAGCCTCAGCACCCAAGCAAAAGGCTGAGTATGGCAGGGCAGTCTTGTAATTCCAGTGCTGGGGAGGAGGAAACAGGAGGATGCCTGAGGCTCTCTCACAAGCCATCTTCGACTGATCAGTGAGCTCCACACCAGTGGGAGACGCTATCTGAAAGGAGGAGGATAGCATCCCAATGGATAATGCCCACACCTGTCCTCTGCCCTCCACAAGGGCACCACGGGGCATGCATTCATACACATATGCAAAATAAAGAAATTAAAATATAACAATTAAAAAATTACACATCACATATTCTGAGACCATCAGGGTTCATTAGCCATTTTGAGTCTGACCTCACAAGACTTCACATTGAAAAATCTGTACTGTAGCTGAGCTGGCCTTTTATCCTTCAGGGTTTTGTTTCCTGTTTCTAAGGTAAAATGAAGCATAATTATTTTGTAGTATTCCTGGACATTTTTTTCTCATAACACCTCTGACATGTCCAAATGTCTACATGGTGTCTATAACGTATTAAGTCTTGGTAGGACACACTTACCAGCACAACCCTTTTCACCTGGAGGTGGCATGAGAGCCAGTGATTTGGGATCATAATTCGTCACGTTCATGAGTCTCCTCTGGTTGACAGAGTCCCATATGAAATCTGGGCTTGCAATCTGAACATCGTTCTTTTGGATGGAATTCAGTTGATACTGACTCAGGGCGTCAGCATTGTCTAAGATTACATGTGTGCACTAAGGACAAACGGGAAGTTCATTATGTAGCAGCAAAACCTTTAACAACAGCATTTGTATCTGTAACTTTAACCCCTAACGGTCTTATTTTAAGGTAGTTCATAGTGGTTTTTTTCAGATTTTGAAAAACATGAACACATTATTTTGTCGTGTGTTCACTTCCCTGCCCCAACCACAGTTCTAGCTCGAACCTCTGGCCGTGACCACACTGGGAAAGCACTGTGCTTCGAAGCTACACATCCCCGCCCTAAGCCAACAGTGATTCTGCTATGGGTATGGATGGTCTACGCCATAGGTGGCTTCCAAGTTCCCCATGCTGTGAGTGTCCTCATGCATACGTTTTCATGTTCTTATTCTGTTATTTCTTGAGATAGAGGCAGGCAGAGCTCTGTGAGTTCAAGGCCAGCCTGGTCTACAAAGTTCCAGGGCAGCCAGGGGTATTACACAGAGAAACCCTATCTTGAAAAACCAACAAATAAATAAAAAGCAAGAAAGGAAGGAAGAAAAAAAAAGGAAGGAAAGAAAAGGGAGGCACCAAAAGGTATTTATTTTGTTATTTTGTAGTTCTAGTTTTTCAAAATTGGGAGTGCACACATGTGTGTGTGTGTGAATGTGTGTGACTTGTTTGTTCATACGAATGACTGTGGGTGAATGCATAAGTCACACTGTGCATGTGGAGGTCGGTTACTGAAAAACCAGTGATGAAAAAGCAGCCAAAAAAGGAAAACTGCAGCACAGATGGGCAAATTACCCATTCCCCACTGGTGCGTGGGCTAGCCACGATGTGTGGGCTAGCCACGATGCGTGGCCGCTGTAGGTCTAGTGAATTTTCCCCACTTTGGGCGCCAGATGTCCAGTGGGAATGGGGATTCACTAGATGCAGTGCAGGTTAAGTAAAGTGTATTTGGGGAGAATGCACTTACACATGAAACAGATAACCGAAGCCGGTTCCCTCTCCAAGGATCCATCCAGGCTGCTCTCAGAGACCCGACCGGAAGCAACAGAGAGAGTGAGCTGGGCTCGGGACCCCAGACCTAGCCCTACCCTCTGTCATGTCCGCACCTGTGACCATGCCCAAACGGTGCTACAGGTGCTGGGGTAGGGTGGGTGTGTGGGGTGGATATCTCACTACAGAGGTCAGTCTTCCAGTCTACCTTGACTGACGTAGGATCTCTTTTTTTGTTACTTGCCACAGATAATATATGTGTGTATGTATACGTACATACATACATACATACATACATACATATGCATTCATACACCAAGAAGTGACAAGGATTCATCTGTTTCTACTTCCCATTTCACTGTAGGAGCTCAGAGATTACAGACCATGTTTCTTCATTTACATAGGTTCTGGAGGTCCAAACTCATCACCCATCTTTTTATACAGTGTAAATAAAGAGTACATGCATATTGTAGATATCTATAAAGTAATAATAGGGATCTGCTAACCCTCCTCCACCACTGCTCCTGGTGCCTTCACCAGAGGTACTACTGTAAACTGCTCCTCATAGATCTTTCTAGATTTCTTCTTTGCAGATAAAGGGTATAACTGCACAAAGGGCAGCATGCTTTAATACTACATGAGTTTGCTTTTCCCCTTATAAAAAAGCTTATCTTCAGGTTCATTCCTCATCATTAGGTATATACAGATTTTTATTAATTGTGACGCCTGATTGTATTTTTCCATTTAAGACATTTGGCCAACCTGGTCTGGAACTTCATCCTCCAGCCTCAGCCTTTCAAATGCTGGGATTACAGATTTGAGCCATCATGCCTGGCTTTGTGTCTCCTTTATTACTGCTGCCATGCACATTTCAAACATTTATATACACTGGCAAAAATAAATAAGCTTCAAAAGGTCTTACAGTATGTGAGAATTTCCTAAACTGCAGAGACCATGGGCAACTCTCTACCCAGAAGATTACTTACTTAATACTTTTTTTTTCTTTTTTGGTTTTGTGAGACAGGGTTTCTCTGTGTAACTGCTCTGGCTGTCCTGGAACTCTCTGTAGACCAGGCTGGCCTTGAACTGACAGAGATCTGTCTGCCTTTGCCTTCCGAGTACTGGGATTAAAGGTGTGCACCACCACCACCGGGCTTACTTCTTACTTTTAAGTGGACTATTTTCCTACCCACGGGAATGGTGAGGCTGGGAAGTCGGGAAGCCATGTGATGGAAGTGTGCACAGCTCTGCCTGAACTGGAAGCCAGTAGGGACATTCTCTTTGTAGTACCCTGCTGGAGTTGAACTGGCCTCCTTGGAGTACATGATGCTGTCTATGGTTAGTGCCTGGGATGGACCCAGGGATAGGGTCAGACCTATCCACAGAGGGAAGAGGAAAGGACAGGGCCAGAAAGTCGGGAACATAATGTCTTTAGACTCCCATTTTGCCTTTTTAAAAAAGAGCAAATTGCCTTCTGTATCTAAATGCTTAGGCCTAAAATTCATCTTTGAGAAGCAGTAGCTTCTTTCAACTCTTACGAGGTAAGCTACTGTAGAAAGACTAGTCCACCTTACACTTCTGAGCCCATCTGTCAGCCCTGCGCCGGCCTACTGGCCAGTGACAGCATGCCTTTGGCAAGCAGGTACAATATGACTTTTCTCTTTTAAGAACAGGTGTGGCTGGGCACTCTGGAGGCAGAGGCAGGCGGATCTCTGTGAGTTGGAGGCCAGCCTGGTCTCCAGAGCGAGTGCCAGGATAGGCTCCAAAGCTACACAGAGAAACCCTGTCTCGAAAAACAAAACAAAACAAAACAAAACAAAACAAAACAAAACAAAAAAAGAACAGGTGTGACTAAACCTGAATGATATCATATTCACAAGGTAGGGACAATGTTTTGAAACTCCCCCAGGGGACCACGCCCCTGTGTCTCCTGCTACCAGTCTTCTCTGCTTACTCTCTATCCATGACAGTTCCTATTACTCAGAAAGTAACAGAAGAGATTTGGAGATACCTGAGGATTTAACAAAAAGGAAAACTTTCCACCATTATTCTTAATATCCGTCTGCAACTTTTTCTTCTGTTGACGAGGTAAGTATTTGATTTTCAAGCAGAATATACAATTTGCAAAGATTCCCAAAGTCATTCTGAAAGAAAAAAATAGTTTTGAGTCATTGGCTTCTGCTTGCTGTAATCACTTGATTTTTAAATTTCATATATGTGTATATTATACATTGAACACATTCCCTTGTGTTCAATGTATAATCTCTACCCCCTTCTCACTCCTATTGATCCTCTTTGTCATCCTAGATGGTCTTACTTATATACATACATATATATGAGAGACCCTCGAGGTGGGGAGTCTCCCCGATCCGGCTGGTCCCCCAAGAATTCAATGTTCAGTCCAGTTGATGCAACACGCAAGAGGCTTTATTGCAGTTGTTTGGGCCATGTTAGCTTGGGCCTTTCATCCATCCACCATGGCCGATAGCTAGGAAAGACACTGCAAAGCGTCTGCATAGAGATCTTATAGGGCAGCGTAAGGGGAGGGTCTAGGGGTACGCACAGGCTCAGGATTGGTGTGCTTCCACGCTTGGAGGGTTTGCCCTGTGTTGATTGGTCAACTGGTTGTTATGGCCCATAGGCCCTCCCAGGGTGGTTGCTATGCTCTGCGCATCATTGCTGTGCAGTTGTCCGAAGAGCACACCCAGAGCCGTAAAGCATAGCGCCACCAGCTAACTTCTGATTGGTTCCTTGCCATGAGGCAGGCATCTGACCTCCTAGTGACCAAGGCAGGGGCAGGGCAAGCACATGTTACTGTCATGGCTGCCGAAAGGGGCCGGCATCTGACCTCCTAGTGACCAGGGCAAGGTCAGGCAAATACGTGTTCGGCTGTTATGGCTGCTGAAATGGGGAGCTGGTTCCTTCATATATTACATATATGCACATACATTTGTGGTTTTATATATTTATCTGTAATTCATGAAGCACAAATGAGAGAAAACATAGTTGTCTTTCTGTGATTGGTTTAATCTAGTTTCCTCCATTTTTCTGCAAATAATATGGTTTTGTTTCTCTTTATTGCTGAAAAAATTTGATTGTGTATATATATCATGTTTTCTTTGTTCTTGATGTTGGACACCGAGGTTGGTTCCACAGTTTGATGCGGGAAGTCCTTCTATGTATATGTCTCTCTTATTGGTTAATGAATAAAACACTGTTGACCAATAGGGAAGCAAGACAGGCGGAACTAAGAGAGAAGGAAGATTCTGGGAAATGTAGTAGAATGTAGTAGGAGTTGCCATGTGATCCCTGGAGGAGAGGATGCATGAGGCTGGCGTTTTTGGTAAGATAAGACCTTGATGTATGTATGTATGTATGTATGTATGTATGTGTATATGTATATGTATATATTAGTAGTTGTGGGTTAATACTTAAGACAGAGTTAGCCAATAGAAGCCCTAGACATTGGCCAACAATATTGTAACTAATAGAATCTCTGTGTGTTATTTTCGGGGCTGAAGCAGCGACGGGACCCAGGTGGGAATCCCCCAACAATTCCCTCATGTGGAGATAGGTCACAACCCTTTACTTGGGAAAATGAATTACATGTGGGTGTTTAACATGTGGCAGAATTTGATCACTACAGAGAAGCTCTCTGGCCTGGGTATTGTCCCACAGTTTGTTGATTCTGGTTGATGCATGAGCTGTGTCAAAAAAACCCCACTCAATTCAAGTGTTTCAGCAGGATGGGCAGCTCAACCTACTCCTCACAAGCAACTACAGGGTAGTGTATCAGGCTTAGAGGACCACAGGGTAGGGCCTTTTGGGAGAGGGGCTGGAGCCCTTCAATCTTGTGCCTCACTGAGATAATGGAGCCAACACCACATTTGTATTATCAGTGTGATGATGGACCAACCGTTAGCTTTTCCTCTACTGTGGACCTGAGTCTCAGCATCAGGATCCTCCCTCTGAAAGCCAATAAAACACAGAGGTGACAGATGCTCTAGAGTGAAAGGTGAACAGGGCAGAGTGCAAAGGCACCGGCCACCAAGCCTGAAATCCATATGCATACATGATGGAGGAGGTCCTTCTGTATATATGTGTCTCTTATTGGTTAATGAATAAAACACTGCTTGGCCAATAACCAGCAGAGGCAGAAAGATAGGCAGCACTGGGAGACAAGAATTCTGGGAAAGGTAGGCAGGGGAGACGCCATGGAGGACCCTGAGGATAGGATGCACCAGGCATTCCCCAATAAGATAAGACCATGTGGAAATACATGGGTTAATAGAAAGGGGTTAATAATTAAGACAGAACTAGCCAATAAGAAGCCCTAGCTATTGGCCAACACTTTAATAATTAATATAGCGTCTCCGTGTGTTCATTTGGTGGGGACAAGAGAACCACCAGCAACACACATACATATATGGAAAAGATAATGAAATAAATACAAACAAAACAAGAGAGTGACTAGCCTGGGAGTGGCTGTCAGACAGCCTGTAGGAGAGGGCAAGACCAGTGCAGAGAAAACACCTCCTTAATCTCAGATACCTCCATGAGCCTATGGTTGTTGTGTGTTCTGTCATTCTTTTTTATGGCTGCACCCATAGTTCCAGGATTACAAATGTTCCTTATTTTCAGAGTTCTGAGGAACCTGAGAACCTCAAATATTCTGTCATCAAGCTACACTCCTAGACCCCTTCGTAGGATTTGTGTGTTTGCTTTTCAGTTATTTTCCCATTAAAAATGTTTTAAAATATTTGTTTTAAATATTTTTTTAAATTATGTGTGGGTATGTACATATGAGTGCAGGTGCCCTTGGAGGTCAGAAATGTTGCATCCAACTGCAACTGGCATTATAGGCATTTGTGAGTCACCTGTCCGTCATTGGTGCTATGAACTTAAATTAGATCCTTTGTAGAAGTAACATTATAATGGGTTTCATTATGACATTTTTCAAGTCATGCATACATACACACACAATTTATTTTATTTTATTTTATTTATATTTTATGTATGAGTACTCTTCATGTATGCCTGTAGGCCAGAAGAGGGCATCAGATCCTATTATAGGTGTTTGTGAGCCACCATGTGGTTGCTGGGAATTGAACTCAGGACCTCTGAAAGAGCAGCCAGTGCTCTTAACCGCTGAGCCATCTCTCCAGCCCAACACACACAATTTTTAAGACAGTTTTTTTTGTGTGTGTGTGTGTAGCCCTGGCTGGCCTGGTACACATTTTGTATCCCAGTCTTGAACTTGGAACAATTCTTTTGTCTCAGCCTCTGTGTCCTGGGGTTACAGCTAGTTCAGTCACAGTCTTTAAGGAGTCACTTCTCAGTGAATATCCTGACAGTGACTTTAGGGAAGTGAATCTACATCAAAACTGTCACATCCTGTTCCCTGTCCCCTTCCCTGCCTCCTGCCATCAATCAGGGAGCCTGGCTGCTGGTTCTTGCTGAGCACCCTACAAAATGCATAAAAGGAAGCAACAAGGTCTCCCTCTGGTGCTGGGGCCTGAACGCTCCTTGGAGCCACTACCACGGTGTGTCCCATCTGTCTCTCTGCTCATGGTGTTAATAACAAATTCCTTAGTCCCCAGGAATTTGTCACAATGTCCACTTGAACCACCTGTCCCATCCAAAAACCAACACTAACACAACTATCTTAGTCTGCAGCAATTTGATATGTGTTGTTTTTGGAATGCTTTTTAGTTCTCATGGCTGATATTATGACTCTAAGAATCCTTTCTACAGGTTTATAATGGACATGTTATTGAAGATGTAACTCCTCTGTGATGACTGTCACAGGCTAAAACCAGGAACTGGGCCTTTTTTTTTTTTTTTTTTAGGCAGAGTATCTCTGTGTAGCCTTGACTGTCCTAAACTCACTCTGTAGACCAGGCTGGCCTTGAACTCACAAAGATTCACCCACCTCTACCTCCTAAGTGCTGGGATTACAGGCGTGGGCCACCACACCCACACCCAGAAATTGAATCTTTAATCTATGCTTTATTCAGAAATTCAGAAATTTGGTATTGGGTTGACATCTTAAAGATCTGTCGTCTCTCTCATCTTTAGGCAGCCTGTATAGTCATTTCAATTAGTCTCTGGTCACGCACTTGTATCTTTGTGGTTGATGAGGGTGGGTCTCTGCTTCATTTGGTCTCCTCTCCCTGTGTGGCAAGGGAGGGTTCATATACACAGAGGCCACTGGGTCTCATGTTCCTCCTGCACTGCCCTTACAGTGACATCTAAATTGAAGGCTGACTCAGCACAATGAGCAGGATGGATGGGCAGCTTCCTCCGGATGCAGTGCCAATGCGGCTGTGGTGTAGAACATGGGGCCCCCGTCAAAACGTGAGATTCGGTGTGGATCCGACCTGCGGCTCAAGAACATAGAAGCAGCTTTTCTTCTCTCTCTCTCTCTCTCTCTCTCTCTCTCTCTCTCTCTCTCTCTCTCTCTCTCTGCCTCCCTCCCTCCCTCCTTCTCCCCTTCCTCCTTCTCTCTCTTCTTCTATCTTTCTCTTTCCTTCTCTTCCTTTTCCTTCTTCTCCCCCCGCCCCTCTTTTTCTTGTAATGCTAGAGGTCCAACCCAGGGCTTGTGTTTAAAGCCTTTGTCAACGAGGTGTACCCCCTCCCCCCAGCACAGAAGCCTTCACTTTTAACATAAAAATTAAATGACATGAGGCTCAAAGGTTCGGCTTGTGATGAAGTGCACATGACAACCTCCATTTGCCAAAATCTACCTAGGCCATTTGCCAAAGATTCGATCTTGGCAGCTAGCTGTCACTTTATCTGCCAGGCTCATTAATCAGTGACTTTCAAGGGTGTGGCTGTCCACTTCACAAGGAAGGAATGGGCCAGCCTGCTACTTGCTCAGAGCATCCTGTGCAGGGTCGTGACGCTGGAGAAGTACGAGCATGTGGCCTTTTCTGGTGCTGCCCACTTCCAAACTAGCTCTGATTGCTTAGCTGTGGCAGGGGAAAGAGGTGAGCTCTCCCAGACAAAGGGAGCCCTAAGTAGGAGGGGCTGGAGAGCAGGGGTGCATCTCAAAACTAACAAAACACGGTCAGTTAGCTGAAATAATATCATATGCAATGAACTCAACAGCCCTTCAAGTCAGTGCTGGGGTGACAGGAAAAGCTCAGTTCTTGACCTTTAAAGGGCAGCTTGCCAAGGAAGGAACGGATTTGAGAGACCTGTTAAACGATGCTCTTTTCACTACATTTTATGAATATTTTCATTTTTTATCGTATTAAAGAACACCAAAAACTGGAAATGTTTTTATATTTTCATATATTCATCTAGTTTTTTTAATACTTGTTTTGTCATTTTTGGGTAAATCCTTGTTTATTTATTTTTATTTTTGTTTGTTTTTCATTCTCTAGCCCATGCAGGCCTTGAACTCATGATGTACCACAGCTTCCCGAGTGCCTAGATTACAGGTGTGAGTCACTACACTGTGCTGCTTTCTTCCTCCACATGTCCCCATTGTTACACTTCCTTAATATTTTTACTGTCTTATTGTACAGTCAATGAACTTAGAACGGAAAATCCTGCAAATCTAGAGAAAGAAAACAGACAGACAAACACACGAGGCATCACAGACAGACACAGCCAGAGGAACGCTCCATGACATGGACTAGTCAAGATGTCAAAAATACAAGGAAGTGGTACATATGGAAAGTGCCAGCTTGCCTACAGAGACATAGAACAGCATCTCTCTCATCATCAACCTCAAAGCTAGGACAGAACAGGATTGGATATTTCAGTTGCTGAATGTAAATGACTGATGATCAGAATTATTATATCCAGCAACTATCATTTAAATTTGATTGAGAAATAAAGCATTTCAAGAAAAGCACAGTCTAAGGCAGTTCGTGGCCAACAAGCAGCACTGCTTGTTGTACAGTATTATTCTCTGACAACTACAAAATTTCTTAAAAATACTGTAAATTGATTTTCAAGAACACATTAATAAGATCATAGACTGTAATAAACTTAGTTTCATCTCAGGGATGTTAAGATTGGTTTGACATATCTGCACCTATAAATATAATACAATGGACAAATAGATTTTATGCCAAAATCACGTGATCACAAGTAGACACATTAAAGGCCTTTGACAAAGTCCAACATCCCCTTCATGACAAAACCCTTGAGAAAGTAGAAACAGAAGTACTGTACCTCAACATAGTAAGAGCTAAATATAACATACACTAAATGGAGAATTTCCTCTAGAATTAGGAAGGAGTCAGGGTAACCACTCTCCACTCTTTTCAATATAATGCTACAAGGCTTACTGAACTAGTAACAGAGAGAAATGAAAGAAATACACATGGGACAGGAAAAGGTCAACTTATCCCCGTTTCCGGATGACATGACGCTATTCTCAAATACCCTAAAGATGCCACCGGAAACTTGTGTCGCTGGTTTGTTTTGTTTTGTTTTTAATTGTTTACTTTGCTTTAGGTTTTTGTTGCTTATTTTTGTAGCTTTGGCTAGCTTAGAACTTGCAATGTAGGGCTGGGTTTGAACTCAGAGATCTAGCTGTCTACCTCTATTGCCCAAGTCTTAGGATTAAAGGTATGCATCACCATACCTTACCGGCCTGGCTTAGTGTTGGGTAGGATTTCATTGTTGTACTGGCTGGTTTAGAATTCAGTGTGAAGCTCAGGCCTTACATTCATGGTAATCTTCCTGTCTTAGCCCTCAGAATGTTGGGACTACAGGTGTGTGCCGCCATGCCTGGCTTCTACCAGAAAATCCTTAGACTTGATAACACTTTTTAGAAGAATGGCAGGAAACAACCAAGAAAGATAGGCATCCTTTCTATGAACCAGTGACAAACTTGTCAAAAAGACCTGAAGAGAAAAAAAAGTCATTCCAATAGCTTTTAAAAATCAAATTAGAAACAAACCTAACAAAGGAGGTGGGATACCTCTACGATGACAACTTTAAAACACAACTGGAAGAAGAAACCAAACGGAAAGCCTCCCATGGGAATGTGCTGACAGAATATTATAAAATAGTATATTATTGAAAATGATCTACAGATTCAAAGCAATCCCCATCAAAATCCCAAAGACATTTTTCAAAGAAGTAAAAAAAAAAAATGCTAAAATTCATTTGGGAGCACAATAGACACCCCCGCCCCCCATAGCCAGAGCAATCCTTAGCAGAAAGAACAATGCTCATCTCAGGTTATACAGCAGAACCATAGTAACCGAAACTCTGGTGCTGACATAAAAACACAGGTACAGACAGATGCAATAGAATAGCGGCTCTAGAACCAGCCTACATAGCTACAGAGACCTAATTTCTGACAAAGGTTTAAAAACACACAGTGTAGAAAAGGCTGCCTCTCCAGTAAATGGTAGTGGGGAGTCTTTACCAGCTACACTTCTTCCTTTGTGGATGCCCCAGGGCTGGCCCATCAAGAACTGTCTTCCTATTGGCTGTCCTGCCGCCAGTCCTGGAACTGATCTCATCCTACTCTCCTCTCATGAGCTGTTCTCCACCTTGTCATCATTTATGCATGAAGGCTAACTACTTAGGAGCTATGCCTAGCTAGGATCCAGATCACTTCAAAGCACTCACACATAAAGCCCTGGATTATATAAAAGCCTTCTGACACTATTAGCATGGCCAGACTAAATGGCATCAACGACGAACCTCTGGAATGGGAAGCAGAGGTTCTGGGTGTATCTCCTTGGCACAGTGTTAAACCTGCATACCTAAAAAGTACTTCCTGAATAAGGACGGAGTCAAATGTGAGGAAAAATTCTGCAACATGCTCATATTCAGTGACTTTCTCCCTGAAAACACCACACTTGGTTTACTGCTATTAATGCATTGTCATTCACAGTGTAGAATCCATACAAGGCTGAGGTCCACCCACTCCATCCCCTAATGAATCATTCCAAATCCTGGCAGGAACTATTTTACTGACCTGAACGTTTCATAACGGGGCCTTAGGAAATAGGATCCCAGCAAGAAATGCCATGCAGGGAATTAAGAGGCCCACTCAACAGCCTTGTTTTAATTATGTTTCTATTCTTGTCATAAAGATCATAACCAAAAGCGACTTGAAGAGGAAAGGGTCTGTTTCATCTCACAGCTTACAGTCCATCATGAAAGGAAGTCAGGACATGAACTCCAGACAGGAACCTCAAGGCCAGCGATTCTCAGTTTGAGGGTAGCAACCCCAGGGTCAAATGACCCTTTCACAGAGGTCACTTAAGACCATTGGAAAACATATACTTGCATTATGAGTCCTTTTTTTTTTTTTTTTTTTTTTTTTTTTTTCCAGACAGGGTTTCTCTGTGGCTTTGGAGGCTGTCCTGGAACTAGCTCTTGTAGACCAGGCTGGTCTCAAACTGACAGAGATCCACCTGCCTCTGCCTCCCGAGTGCTGGGATTAAAGGCGTGCGCCACCAATGCCCAGCGCATTATGAGTCTTAACGGTAGCAAAATTACATTTATGAAGTAGCAATGAAAATAATTGTATAGTTGGGGATCACCACAGCATGAGATGGCAGCATTAGGAAGGTTGAGAACCACTGCTGGAGTCAGAGGCTGTGGAGGAGCACAGCTTTCTGGCTTGCTTTTTGCTGTGCTCACCTGGTTTCCTTACACAATCCAGAACCACCTGCTCAGAAGTGACACCTATTGTGGGCTAATCAGTCAGCAACCAAGAAAATGCTCCCCAGACATGCCCCAGAGGCCAATCTGATGGGGACAACTCCTCAGTTGAAGTTCAGTCTTCCCAGGTAGTCAACTCGACAACCAAGAATAGCTATAACACGGAAAGTACCTTCTAGTAGGGCAGAGGCACAAATTCAACACAAGGACAAACCTACATGGGCATATCTCCTGACCTTTCTCTTTTTCTTTTAAAATAACTTGTAACATTGTCACAGGCAAGGCCCAGACAGATGACAGTTTCTCTATCCCCAGTCTTGGCTAAAACTGTAAATTAACCCAACCAGGTTAGGACTCAGCTAAGCTTTACAGTCAGGTTTGGCTAAATTTCAACTCCAGACCTCAAGCAACTATTTCTCTATTACCATACTTCCTACGTTTTCCGCAGTATTCACCAAACCATTGCACTTTTGCATAAGTTTGCTTGGAAACCCAGCTATCAGAGAGTAAAGAAAACAAGAGTTTCGGCTCTTAGAGCAGTCTAGTCGCAGAAAGTTGACCTCCTGGGCACAACTGGCCTGGGGCCACCACCCCTGTGCAAGGCATCAGCAAAGGTCACGGCCACCCAGCCAGGACCACTCGGTCTCTTGGAGCGATCAGACGGCCTCCTGGGGCATCACGCACCTGCTTGGAGATCCCGGCTGGGCGCCTCCGGCGCCGGACGGTCCGCTCCTGGGTCTTCCGCAGCCTGCGTTCCAGCCGCGGTGCTTCCGCTCCGGGCACAGCGGGGCGCGGCGGGGCGGGACCGTGGCTGCGCCTCCAGAACCCCGGGCCTGCGCTGTGGCCAGCGCCCCTTAGCGGGTGTCTCCGACTGTCCCTATCATCTCTACCAGCCGCCCAGAAGGCGTGTCCCAGCTGGCTGAATTCTGCCTCCAGGATCAACCTAGTGTTCAAGACTTTCAGTTTCGTCTTTGAGACTGTAAATTGCCAGGAGGGGTAAATCCAAAATTTGAGTCTGGGAGACGAAATGAATGGATGGTGACTTTTGACAGAAATAATTGAGGATGGGATGCAAGGGCAGGTAAGAAACAAGTTTCCCAAAGGTTTGAGATCAAACAGGAGCATTTAGGGCTGAAGAGGTAGCTCATGAAGAGTAGCTTGACTAACCCTCATGGGTCCCTGGGTTCGATTTTCAGCATCATCAGCGGAAAAAAATGAGAAAATTTGAGCATCCATCACTAATTGGAAATGCTCAAACGATGGGCTAGGGCTATACAGCTCAGTTGGTTGATTGATAGTCTCGAGTGGGTGGGCCCTGGGTGCTAGGATCAGAAATGTACTGAGTAGGGACTAATTTGGAAATAATTTGATTCCTCAGATCGAGATGAGTGAAATGAGAATAAAAGGGCTAGAATAGAAAAGTGAGTGTAAAAGGTATGGAGCTGAAATCTGGCACCACGGTTTATTGCTGGCTGGCGAGTTGTAGACAAGGTACTTGGCTTGGGTGTGGGGTTCAAGTTTCATCATACAACCTACTTTATGAGGTTGTATCAGAATCACTTTATGCTGGACATGACTTCTCCCTTCTATAATCCCAGCACTGGGTGGGGAGGCAGAGGCCAGAAGAACACAAGCAGATCCTGGCTAAACTGCTAGTTCCAGACTGGGCAGGGCTGCAAAGGGAGACACTTTTTTTTTTTTTTTTTTTTTTTTGATAAAGTCTTACTGTTTAGTCCTTTCGGGCATGGAACTCACTATGTAGACCAGGCTGGCTTCAGCCTCACAATGATCCATCTGTCTCCTGTTTCTGCTTCTGGAATCACTGTACCAGACAAGGAGACCCTATCTTTAAAAAAGAAATCAACTGATGATTTAATAGACAAATGGAAATGTGTAACACGATCAATACAAAGCTTGTCAACAGGTACATTGTGGTTGGGTGGTGGTGGCGCATGCCTTTAATCCCAGCACTCAGGAGGCAGAGGCAGGTGGATCTCTGTGAGTTTGAGACCAGCCTGGTCTACAAGAGCTAGTTCCAGGACACCCTCCAAAGCCACAGAGAAACCTTGTCTCGTAAAACCAATAATAATAATGATAATAATAACAATAATAATAATCATAGAAAATCATCATCTCTGAACCGTAATGAAATGAAAATGGAAGCCTGAAACAGGGAAAATTGACAGCAGAAAATATATAGAAACTAATGTTTTCACTTACAGTGAAAGAAGTCACAAAGGACATTAGGGACCATTCTGAGAGGAATAATAAAAGAAAAACAACACATCAACATTGGTGGGATATAGTAAAAGTGTCCTAATGGAAACTTACACTTGTGAAAGCCTACATTTACGTGTGTGTGTGTGTGTGTGTGTTTGTGTTCCCGAGGGCCCCACAGTCAGAGGACAGTTTTTAGAGGTGGCTCTTTCTTTCCACTATAAGTCCAAGATGTTGTTTGTTTGTTTTTTTTTTCAAGACAGGGTTTCCTCTGTGTATCTTTAGCTGTCCTGAAACTAGCTCTTCTAGACCAGGCTGGTCTCAAATTCACAGATATCCACCTGCTTCTGCCTCCATGTTCTAGCAAACACACGAGCACACACACATATGTGCACACACACGCACAGGCACACATGTGCACTCACACACGAGCACACACACACACACATGGGTGCACACACATGCACTCACACACACACTCTCAAGCAAAGGCAGAATGCCCATGTGCCAGTCTCTTGGCACTGTTGTGCTGCACCTCAGAGTAAGGCAGAACTCTCCTTTTTTGTGAACTTAAACATTCTAGAATTGGTAGGCCCAATAAACCTTTGCTGTACAGAGTTAATTCATTTTCATGATTTTTTGCTGCAAACTTGAGGCACCAGTAATAATTAAATCTATACTAATATAGTTTAAAAAGCCTTTTAGCATCCGACATTGTTTTTAGAAGCTGTGAGTGTTCACATATGTGTGTGCTTGGTAATTATGGATGTATATGTGGAGACTGGTGTTGTTCCTTAGGTGCCATCCACCAGGACTGGAACTCATTAAGTGTGTTAGATTGGATAGCCAGTGAACACTAGGAATCTACCAGTCTCTGCCTTCCATCACTGGATTACAAAGAATGCCACTATGCCTTGTATTAATTATGAAAGCTCAACCTTAACTTAGGCTTGTTTTTAACTAGTTCTTATAACTTAAATTAACCCACTTCTATTAATTTACTTTCCATCTTGTGGCTTAATTACTTCATGCTCTGCATCTCCTGGTGTCTCTACCTTCTTTTTCCCAGAGTCCTCTCTGTCTCCCAAAGTCCCACTTATACCTCCTGCCTAGCTATTAGCCATTCAGCTTTTCATTAAACCAGTCACAGCAACACATCTTCACACCGTGTACTGACATCCCATAACATTTCTTCCCTTTCTGTTTAACTCTAACATAGTAACACTATGGACAATGAGAAAAATTATCAGGTAAGAATTACATTCACAATGTCCAGTCCATTAGTATTAGTGTACACGTGTGTGTATATGGGTTCTCTTCTCCTTTGACATGGGTTCTGGGGATGTCATCACGCTTGTAGGGCTAATACTTTACCCACTGAGGCAGCTTCTGCCTTTTTTCTTTCCAAAATGTTGGTATTGTGGGTTGAATGCTGCTCTTTATGCTCACAAGACAAGCATGGGCTGAGCTATCTCTCTATCCCTAAAAACCTTTTTACTGGGCTGGGGATATGGTAATGTAGGTTGGAGTGCTTGTACAGCTCTTGTGAAGCTCTGGCTTCAGTCCCTAGCACTGTATAAAAACAGGCCTGGTGGTATACATGTCTGCAATCCCTGTAATCTGGAGGTGGAGGCAAGAGGAGCAGGAGGTGAAGGTTATCCTCGGCTATTAATGAGTTCAAGATCAGCCTGGGTTATAATAAACCCTGTCTTAAAAGAACAAACAGAAAAAGAAACATTTTTACTACACTATTTACTTGTCTTACTGCTGTGACAAAATATTTGACAAAGCAGCTTTAGCAAGGAAAGGTGTGTTTGGCTCCTAGTTCTAGGGGATAAGTCCATCACGGCAGGGACGGCTCTAGGAGCAGCACATCTTGTCCACAGTCAGGAAGGAAAGAGTAATGTCTGCTTTCCCTGTAATTCGATCCAGGTCCTTAGGCCATGGAATGGACATAATGTAGAAAGAATCACACATACATGCCCAGATTTGTTTTCATGGTGATTTCTGAATCCTACCAAAATGACGAAACTAATCATAATGTTCTAATAGAACTTTTTAGAAACCTGAGGTTTTGGGCTCTTGCTCTCCCTGCAAGTGGAAATGCCCATGGGTTTCCTTTTTTCTTTTCTTTCCTTTCTTTGTTTCATTCTTTCTTTCTTTTTTCTTTTTCTTTTTCTTTTTCTTTCTTTTCTTTCTTTTTTTTTTTTTTGAGAGAGGATTTCTCAGACTCCTGGCTGTCCTAGAACTTGCTTTGTAGACCAGGATGGCCTTGAACTCACTGAGATCTGTGGTGATTTATTGCTTGAACAAATAAAGCCTGTCTGAAAGTCAGAGGGTGGAGCTTGCCACTAGCTAACCATAGAGATTTGGAAGTCTGTACAGCCGTGAAAACAGGAAGTGAGATGGCTGGGCAGAGAGAGGATATAAGCAAGAAGAAACAGAACTGGCTCTCTTGTCCACTGAGATGCTAAGGTGGTAATGAGGCTTTGGCTTTCTCCTTCTCTCTGATCTCTCAGCATTTTCCTCTCTGTCTGACTCCAGGTTTTTATTATTTAGACCAGTTTAGACTTCCCTTTTACAGAGATCCACCTGCCTCTGCCTCGCAAGTGCTGGGATTAAAGGTGTGTGCTACGATAGCCCAGCACCTGTGGGTTTTCTTGTGTTTTCCTGGGGGTCAGATATTTCATCGCTCGGAGTGTTCCTCCTCATGTAGAATTGCCCTTTTAAGTCTGGATCTGTTATCTCTCAGCAGTTCTGCCACTAGTCTAGAGGACAAAGAGCCTCTGAACATCTTTTCATACCTGTCTTTCATAATTGTACTAAAAAGAATTGTTGAAGCCAGGCACTGTCAGAACAGCATCCAGGAGTGAAGTTGTTCGAGGAGAATTCTGATTGCTTGTGAGGAAACTCTAAAAGAACAGGACTCAGCTCTCCAATCACAAAATTGTTCTTGGCACGTGCTTTGGTGCCCTACTCTGGTGTGTTAAGCAAGAGTAGGTTTCTTGCAGATTATCTAAATTCAGATGATGTTCCAGTGCCGGGTTTCCTTGTGATCGTATACAGCCTAACTCATATGAACACACCCTCATGACTGTATACAGCCTAACTTATATGAACACACCCTCGTGACTGTATACAGCCTAACTCATATGAACACACCCTCGTGACTGTATACAGTTTAACTCATGTGAACTTTGCTCATGTGACCTTGCTTAATCCTCAGGGTATAAATTATCTGATGCCCTGAATAAAGTCAGTTATTACATGTAACTTTAGTTTGCCTCATTTTAGGCTCCACTCTCCCAGGTTCACACCATCAATTAGAGTGGAAACAAGGTAGGATGGTGCATTCCTGTAACGCCTCCAGCACTTGGGAATCATGGGGACTATAGGATCAGGCATTCAAGGATAGTGTTACTGAAATGGTGTTTTCAAAGCTATTCTGGGCTACACAAGATCTTGTCTCTCAAAAGAAAAATAAAGTAAATTAAAAATAAAAACAGTGATGGGGGTAGGCTTGATCCCCAGTATAAAATAAACCAAGCTAGGTAGGTTAGGCCAGTAGTTCCAGCTCATGGGAGGCAAGAGGATGAGAAACTCATGGTCACCTTCAGC